ATATTAATATTATGTGTGATATCATTTATTAATACTACAATGTGAAACGTTATTCTAATTCATTTATTGTAGTAAAATATACGAATTCTTTAAAAGAAAACATTTCGAATGATATAATGCACCTTGCTACCAATAAAATAAAATCAAAGAAATGTTAAATAAACATATGTCCGGGGAAGGTTGTCAGTACATCAATTTACTTATTATATAAAGATTAAAACTTCCTTTGAAAAGGGTTATTGAATGAACCTTATATTGGAGAATAGTAGATGGAGGGGGTAGAGGGGAGGGGAGAAGTGGGAGTGAAGGGGAGTGAGAGGGGTAGAGAGAAAGATAAGGCCGGAAAGAGATGGAGGTAGTGGGGAGGAGAAGAGAATGGATGGATATGTGGAGGGAGGAGAAGGCTCAAATACACTGTATTACTATTAGCACTACACAAAACTGCATGAATTATTGTTCGTGTCGACATAAGTAGTCTAATATTGATATTAATGTCTCATTAAATAAAGAGATCAACTTTTGGAATGCCATGTCGAAATATTTCATAACTTCATGCGGGATATTTATGGAGACCAATTTCAAGGTTAAGGCTAATTAGATTACAGAGCAATAATTCGGCGACAAGTAGGGGAAAAAATCAATTGCGGGATTTAAAAACGATCAGGGCGGAGTGCTTATAGTCCCGGTTTTCAACACGTGGTGTATGGATTGGTGAGAGAGCGGCCCTGTGTGAGGTTTACCGCCGTGTCGGCTCCCGTGGATGCTTAATTGGAAACCCGCTGTCCTACACCGCCCCTCCAGCATGTCCCACCAATAGCATTTTGCATGGAGGGAGACCAGAAAGAAAAAATCGAAAGTGCATCTCAGGTATATGGTTCAGGGGTGATGATATGATGATATGAACAGAACAGTGAATGGAGGAGAAAGTGCAGTCTCATCTTGACGAAACACTGATGATGCTGATGATACTGGCTGCTTTTCCATTGGACGGCCATCCAGTCTGCTTCATCTAGTGCTAAAACAATACCCTATGCGCCATCTACCCCTTGATTAAGCTACCAGTGCACATATGCCCTACTAATGAATTTGCTAACAATGTTTTTACATGCAAATGAATCCTCCAAATGCCTGAGTGTTTCCGCATACTGTACTATGCACTATATATATATATATATATATATGTAGTTTGGGATAAAGTGCATGTCTATTAATGATATGAACAAATATATATTCGTAAAAGAACAGAAGATGTACAGGTAACAACGAAATTATTTATACCCTTACCAAGTTTTGTAAAAAAAAATAAGTATGCAAAAATTGATTTGTCCTGATTTAGGTTTCTTGAGAATGTGAAAAATAAAGCTTATACATCCAATGGTATTAAACAGAGGCCCTAATTCAACCAGTCAACCTTTCATTCTTTAGTTACGAATCACACACACACACACACACACGCACACCCACACGCATGCGTGCACATACACACACACACAAAAAAAATCAAATTTACAAGGGTTTTAATAATTCAGTTGTTAACAGTATATCATTCATTAATTCAACTATACACTAACTCATTATAATAATTTTCACCAGTTTTGAATTTACTGGGCTTATACATGTGTTATTTGCTTACTGTATCCGATGTGTCTTATCCTTTCGTTGATGTCATGTTTTTATAATTGCTGTATGATATGAATATTGCATTTTTTAAATTCCTAAAATCTGATCAAAATGTTTAGAAAACAAAGAACAAAATTCGGCCAATAATAAAGCGCCTTCCGCACTTTCCGTTATGAGCGCTAAACATTAGTGCTACCATTATTACCATTATCATCATTAATTACCATCCCTTCTAGTTTTGTAAATTGAAGTCCTGTGGTTTCCTTGGTTCCTTTTCAAACCAAATTAATTAAAGATCATTACGTCAACTGTTGTGTAATATTGGCCTTGATTCATAATTAAACATTCCTGTTTCTCTTATATTTAGACATAACTTTGGCTCAATTTATGCGCTAGTTAATATATGTTACCATGGTTACTGGACAGATATCCCGTGACACTGTTTATTTCTAGCTCCATCGAAGGTAACAAAAAAAAATGCATGAATGGATGATTTTACAGATGATAGGCAAAATAATAAGGAAAAGAATAATATAAATATAAAGTTAGGACAATGATAACAATAATGCTAATAATATTTTATCAGCAAAATTAATGATAACGACGGTAACAATCATATTGATCATGAAAACGATGACAGTTGTAGTAACAGCAACAGAAGTAGAAGTAGTAGTAGTATAGTAGTAGTATTAGCAGAAGTACTAGTAGTAGTAATAGTAGTAGTAGTAATAATTATAATAATGATAATAATAAAAACAATATTACTACTTCTTATAATGATAATAATAATGAAGATGATGTCAATAGAAACTGCTAATACTACTACTACTAATAATAATACTACTACTAGTACTACTACTACCATGACTACTACTACTCCTACAACTACTCCTACTACAACTTCTACTACTACTACTACTACTACTTCTACTACCACCACTACTACCACTACTACTACTACTACTAGTACCACCACTACTACCACTACTACTACTACTACTACTACCACAACTATACTACTACTACTACTACATGTACTAATACTACTACTACTACTGCTACTACTACTACTACTACCACTACTACTGCTATTGCTAATAATCAAAGTAATAATAATGATAATAACATCAACGACAGCAGCAACAACAACATTTCATGTGTTTCTACAAAGCTGCATAAGTAATACATACTATGTGACTGTACATAACCATAAAGAAATACACGTATCTTTTTAACCAATGAAAAGGTAGACGAATACAGAGTTATTCTCACATAGTCCGCTAAAATGCATATGTTACTTATTTCTCGGTAACCAGTATCTGTTATGTCACTTTTACTGGTGGGAATAATGGGTTTTGCAGTGGCTTTTCTCTCAGCGAATTCCAATCGATAGGACTCCTTCTTTAAATGGCCGTACCAATGTATTCCCATCATTACTAATGACGTTTCGACATGTTAGATGCATAATCTAACTGAATTGGGCTTCTGAGTGATATCTCAGTTATAATGATTATGTTTCATCATATCTCAGTTATAATGATTATGTTTCATCATATAAATTATATACGTTTCATCATATCCCCGTTTATGTTTCATTTCTGTTATATCTCCGTCATATTTGTTCTGTGTTATACTACTGTGGAAAGTGAGCTGTACTCGCAGCTACATTCCAGTATTGCTGCATTATTTTTTCTACCACAATTTCAATTTTCGGCATCCTAGTTGTATCATACTGGTAACTGATTGTAACATAAATGTACTTTTTAACAGTCACGGTGAAAAATAACTTATTATTACTGTACGCATTTGATGCGGTACTTAAGTATGGAAGGCCACCATTTACAATAATGATATCGCGCAGTTTAATTCTAAATGTAATTGTTTATCATTTCTCATTCAAGTCCTTACATGGTAAATTATTTTGAAAAAAAATACCTAAATTGTTTTTTTTTAATGAAATGAATATTGAGGAAAAAAAGTACAGAAAATGAAAGGGTCCATATTTAAAAGTAATCTGTAACCAATCAGACGATATCGATTCTCCGTTGTTCCAACAGGTCAAATTATTGTTTTACTTCATCATTTTACCAAAAACAAAATCATTAAGTGAAATTTAAACCTCTTTATTGTATTGGTAAATTTGTTGACGTTTGAAACAAAGTTAGTTGTTCAGGAATAGTAGTATTACGAGTTTTTTTAAAGTGCAGAAGTAGTAGTTGTAGAAGTAGTGATGATTGTACTAGTAGTAGTAGTGGTAGTAGTAGATGTAGAAGAGGTAGGTATAGTAGTAGTAATAGTAGTAGTAGAAGTAGTAGTAGTAGTAATAGTAGTAGTAGTAGTAGTTTGTGTTGTTTTTGTTGTAGTAGTTGTTGCTGTTGTTGTTGTAGTAGTAGTAGTAGTAGTAGTAGTAGTAGTAGTATCAGCAGCAGCAACAGCAGTTAACAAATAATGGTATCTTGATAAGGCGAAGAAATGCTTTTGTATACCCTGTTGAATATCTAGAATACTTCATGTATAATGTTGATGTATATAATGTCATATTTGTGATATCAAATAGAGAGAAAGAACTTCCGATGTAAACGAAGCTTTCACATTAATGTTGTGAACGCATTATGTAATTTTTACAATTCTTTTTTTCCTCAAATCTTGTATTAGCAATTACAATACTTTATCCATGTCACTGGAAGGACTTTGTTTCATTATTTGTTATCATTATTATCATATATTAGTCATGAAACACTATGAATCAAATAAATCGAAAGATTACGATCTTTTGAAATAATGTATGGATTGTTATATTTGTATATGATTTATGCATATCCTGATTCCCGTGATTATGTTTCTGCCATCAAGTAAAAATTGGTACAACTTGATATAAAGAACATAAATTATTGTGTAATGCACGCAAAATCTCTAGGCCATATTCAATACACAAATCTCTTTTAAATAAATATATATATATAGAAGACGAAGAAAAATCTTCTTTTCTTGATTGGGGTAAAGGTGCCTTGATTTGGCAACGCGAACTCGCATAAGTAGTTTTGTGGTAAACACTTAACCAAGTAAACAAAACGAATGTCAGAGCCCAAAGTAACTTGAAGAGAGGACTTTTTGTAATTGACATTTTTATTTAAATAAATAGTGAGAAAGTATTTTAGTGAGAAACATCCCTAGAAATTATAATTATATTGAGGTTATAGACTCGAGGGGAAGGGGAACAAATTGTTAATTTTCTGTTTTTAGGTCGAGATAAAACCGAGTGATAGCCACTGGGTTATCATCCACACTTAGTAAACTATTATCAGAATTATAACTTCTGAAAAACACGGCACAATCATTATTTAAAAGTATAATTGATGTAAAAATATAGATAAACATACCATCACCGCACATGATCCCGCTGGGTGAGCCGTCTCTGACGGGCATGCCTCCCATCCCATCACCGTGACCGTGATCGCCAAACCCGCTTACATCCTGCAGGTTTAGAAGATGAGACACCGAGAACCCTCGGCCACCATTATGATGCTGATGATGATGGTGATGATGACCGCCTAAACCAGTCGCACCGAGAGCCGCGGCGGCTACGGCATCGGAGGGGGTGAGTCCATTGACGTCCACGCCGGCTGCTTCGGCTTGTAAGGAGGCATCGGTCCGCTGGTGGAGCGCGAGTTGCTGGTGCTGATGCAAAGTGTGATGGTGTTGGTTGTGTTGACTGTGTGCTGCTACCGCGGACTGGTGAGCCTGCGATTGGGAGGTAGAGACGCCGAAACCTTCGGCGACGCCGTGCATGGCTGTGTCCATCATCATTGTGAGTGTTTGTGTAGTCGTCTCTGTACTAATTTATCAACAATCTATGCAAATGATGAAGATAGCGCAGTTTATTTCTCTGAAAGCAAAAGTTGAATAGCAACTTTACTGTTCAATACAGCATAGTGGCAATTATAGATGCTTCTGTTATATTCTTTTGAAACATATTTGTTAATTGTAAAGTCTTGCAGCAAAAATGAGATTAGCCTATAGAGGTATAATACTCATTTCACGTTTTCAAAAGCTATCAATTTTTCCAGCGTGGAGGATTGTCATGAAAAAAATGGTTGAACGGTTTGGATTATAATTTAATCTTTGTTCATATCAACCGTGAAAAAGAAATCTCGTGAAAATTATCGAACTCGAAATTATTTTCTGTGTCAATTAGGTAGCAAGTCATTTGACATGCACTTCACGAAGATTCGAAGGAGACGGAAAAATATAAACAAAAGTTACATAATCACGCAAAGTCAAACAGGCTATTCGGCGTGTGAATTGTCATTTCCGGAAGACAAAACGATGATGAACTTGAATTTGTTGATGTCCCCGATCGCTGACCCCGAAAATCAGATGAATATCGTTTTGATTAAATTTGTGCAAATCTGATAAAAGCTATGATCAAATTTCGCCTGAATCGGAATCCGTTCCTTCCGAAGTCCCGAATGCGAGCAGGGCATCAGATACAGGTGATGAGGAAGAGAGTGTCAGTGAGAGAGACAGGGAGGGAGGGCTGAGCGAAACTTTGGAGAAGAGTGATCCGAAAAATAAAAGCGTTTAGCCTCTGACGCTTAGCGAGGAATTAAGGAGGATCTAGAAACACGGCCCTTCGCGTCCGACCGGAGATGCTGATGAAAATTTTGACAAGGAAGATGAATAGTCGGCTTTGCCACCAGGCAAAGAGGGCTTCTTTTAAATAAATTCAAGCCTTCTTTTTTGCTTGAAGGCACTTGATGCGAGACTAGCCGAAACGACGAAGGCGCGCGAGCAAGATGAAAGTTGTGAGCGTCTTTCGCAACAGCGGACACACACACATCCAGGCACGACTGAAGTTAATAACACTCTATGTGGTAAGAAGAAAGTGAGCTACAAGGAGAGTGATGAAGTATACTTTAGATCGAAGAGAGTACAAGAATATGAGAGAAGAACTACTAACAGTAGCGTATCCGAAATTTGTATTGGTTTGGGGGAAGGGCGGGGGGCTCCATATGGCGGGGATTGCCTGTTTGCATTGTTGTTGTTGTTGTTGTTACCGTTGGGTCTTCGGTTTTGAAAAGCAAAGGTAGGGGGAGGGGGTGTATGCTGACTGCACCATATGCTTGATACACCACTTTGTAGTAGAGAGTCGTGTTTTTTCTGAAGAAACATATGTCTACTCCTTGAATTGTGATTGGACACCACCTTACATTTATTATGCTCGATGTGAAATTCCATTCGTCGATACTTTCTGTAAAACGTTAATAAAATAATAATGATTATGTTTTAATTAAATATTCCTTTCTGCTACTTAAAAACACTTCATTATTCGTCTTCTGTCTTTTACTCATCCTTCCTCTGTCTTTAACTCATCTTTCCCCCCTTTCTCGTTAATGCACGCTCATCATTGGTTAACACATTTCTTCGTTTCGATGACGTGACATGACGCAAAGCGATATTTGTCCAATCAGATGACGCTATCTTTATTCATTCGCCGAAGCACTTGGTGTAGTTTTAAACGAGAGAGGGCGGAGGTGCTATTCAGGATATCATGGCGGGGTATTGCCAATACAATGATTATGATTCAAAGATTCAAAGAAAAACCTGCATGTACTAGCTATAATCGTATTGCTCTTCTCTTTCTTCATATTGAAAGAAATATATAGATATACGTCCGATGACATTTCTCCCGATTATAGAAAATGTGATAAACTTTAATCTTCTTCGTTAATCTAATTTCTAATTGTTTTGGTCTACGCTGGTGTAATTTCTTGAACTTAATATACAACACAAGAAAAAAGACGTCGTAACTCCTTAAAGCATATGCTTGCGTCTGATAAGCCTGATAACTGTTGTCTATTTAGCGTAAACAATATAGGCTATACCACTCTCGCAACAATCAGAGTTTGCATATTGTAAGTTAGTAGCTTGAATTTGTTTGCCTGGAACTAACTGACTTTTTCAGAAATTTTAATGATACATATTTGTTGACGAAACAAACCCATTGCATATACTTGATATCCCGAAGTCACTCGTTTGTTTGTTTGTTTGTTTGTTTAATTTCCGTATAAAAGACATCATGCATTCAGTAATATAATAACAAATAGAATAATGAATAACAAGATAAAATAAACGGCTGGATAGCCCATATTCAGCGGTATCATTATGATACCGCTGGTCTTCCATGGGGACCAGAAATGATACAGTAAAACAATACAATAAATAACAATATATATTAACAAACGACAAAGAAAAACGACAAAGAAAAATGGCAAAACATAAATTCTCAAGCAAAATATAGTAAGAAATTAAATATCCAGGACAGACAGTATAGAGAAAAGAAACTGGTATTTATAGAAAGAGAATTGTGTGAAGTAAACTTATAAACAACTCAAAAGTCTCTTGAATGAAGACAATGTATTACAGTTGCGTAAGGCCAATGGTAATCCGTTATACAATACTGAGCCTCTATATACAAAGGTTCTTTTACAGTAATTTGTCCTGGGTTTAGGAAGGGCAAGATTAAATTGACTACGAAGTGAGTATCTAGTAACTCTAAAAGAAACATTTTCATTTATATAATTTGGAGTCTGGCCATGCAGTATTTTAAACATCATAACGTGCATGTGTTTAGTACGCCGTAGGGACAAAGTATCCCATTTTAGGATATCATGCAATTGTTGATTGGATATATATGACTGCCGATTTATCTTCAAAATGATCCTCCCCTCTCTATTCTGTAGTTTCTGTAACCGATCAAGATATTTATCAGAAGATGACGACCACACATTGTCTGCATACTCAAAATGCGGGAGAATAACAGATTGATATATAATTTTCAAATTAGTTTCATTTACATAATGTCTCAATCGACCAAGAAATCCAACCATTTTTCCAATTTTCTTACACATGTTGTCAATATGAATGTTCCATTTCAATTCTGAGTCAATAATTACCCCTAGGTATTTTGTGTTATGCATTTGGATTATATCTCTCCCTCGAACTTTCAAAACTAATTTATCTTGTTTTTTCAGCAAATTTTTTGTTGCAATTAACATACCCACGGTCTTGCTGTAGTTAATCTTCAGTTTATTCCGAGATATCCATGTATCTAATCGAGCTAGTTCCTCGTTGAGAACTGACTGTACAACAGACGGATTCTTATGGGAGTAATATAACACAGTGTCATCAGCATATAGATGTATTTTACATTTTTCAAAAGAATGAGGCATATCATTAATAAATATGACAAACAATAAAGGGCCTAGTAGAGAGCCCTGCGGCACCCCACCAGTCAATGGTAATGCATCAGAAACTACATCATTAATACAAGTCACTATCTTTCGATCAACCAAATAGCTCCTGAACCATTGAAGCGATTCACATGTGACGCCTAATAGTAAGAGCTTTTGTAACAGTATCTCAGTATCCACCAAATCAAATGCTTTTTGTAGATCAACAAAGACTGACCCTGTGTATTGTCCCTGGTCCATTGCGTTTAACCAGTCGTCGGTCACCTTGACAAGCGCAGTACACGTTGAATGTTTCTTTCTGAAACCAGATTGGTGAGCAGATATAATATCGTTTACATTTAAGTGTTGAATGAGTTGTTTCTGTATCATTCTTTCAAGAAGCTTTGAGATGCATGGCAATAACGAAATGGGCCTATAATTATCTGGGTTATACTTGTCACCCTTCTTATGCAACGGTATAATTTTTGCTATTTTCCATACGTCAGGCACAACCCCATCTCTGATTGATTTATTTATCAAATATGTTATTGGTTTAATAATTTCATCAGCAGCTAACTTAAGAATAAATTGAGAAATACCATCTACTCCAACCGATTTTTTATTTGGGAATTTCCTTAATTCGTTTAATACCTCATCTTCGGTAACAAAAGAAAGTTTAAAATCTTGTTTTAGATTGGGCGATACTGGATTGTCCAGTCTAGAATTTACATCTTGCTCTGACGAATCGTCATTCAAAGTGTCAACAGCGACATTTGCAAAATGGCTATTAAATTTGTTTGCTGTTTTCAAGACATCTCCTTCAATAATAGGAATAGACGATGAAGAGCGACTGTTAGGGACTATGGATGACAACAACGTCCAAGATTTACTACGATTTTGATTTCCAGTTAAATTTTCACAGTAATATTTACGTTTAGCTTTTCTAATTTCAGCTGTAACTTTATTCTTTAATTTCTTGTAATTTTTCCACAATTCGCCATCTTGTTTTGACTTTGCTTTGTCTTTCGTTTTGTCCCTTTCATCCATAAGACTAAATATAGGTTCATCTATCCATGGCGAATGTTTCTTCCTTACTCGCTTTGTCTTTAACGGCATGTGTTTATCCACAACTTCCAACAGCAGCTCTTCCCATTTACACACAGCTTCATTCAACTCATCAATACGTTCTATAACCTTCCAATTATTATTTTGTAAGTCAGACTTAAATAGTTCATTATCAATCCCTTTTGATTTTCTAAAAGTAACATATTTTACAGAACTTTGTATCTGAGGAGATTTCCATATCAAATAACTCATGGAATGGTCGCTCAAACCATTATGAATTACACCAAATGACTTAACTTTTTCATCATAATTAGTTAACATGTGATCAACCAAAGAGGCACTATTGTTAGTTATTCTTGTATATTCGGCCGTATTGATCTGGTTCATACAATATATATCATTGATTTGAATATATTTCTTGGTTGCACCTTCTAATGGGATTTTCAAAGTATTACAGTTTATATCACCCATAACAATAATAGGAAAATTAAGACCATTGGCATACACTAAAAAGTCTTCATAATCAGTGAGTATCTCCGCTTTAGAATTCGGAGGTCTGTACCAATTAAAAAATACAATGGGACTGGCGTTTTTCTGCCGTATCAATAATGCAATTGCTTCCATTCGCGATAATGAACTATGTTTCAAAACTTCATATCCCAAGCTTTCATGAATATAAGTCACTACACCTCCACCGTTTCTATTACGGTCCTTACGGATAACATTGTAGTGAGGTATCTGGATTTCACACTCGAATATATTGTCATCCAGTCTAGTTTCATTCAAAGCAAAAACATGTATCACATTTTCACACAAAATAGCCTTAATTTCATCATAATATTTTAAAAGACTAACAACATTCAGTTGTAAAAATTTCAAACCTTTACCGCATAGTTCATTATATTTCACACTTTTACTTGAAACATGAGGATAGATGTTTGCCATACATTAAAACAAAGAAACACAAATATAACAAAAATATAATATAAATACTCCTTATAAAAGATAAAATATATCAAATATATCAACGATTCTGTATTGTGCACACCACAACAAGACGCATGAAGTTTAACCAACATTAATCATAACACGCTATTGATTAAGCACCCGAAGAGAATTAAGGTTTAAAGCTGGGCGTAGAAAAGATAATTATAGGCCAGGAATTGCTCTGCAAGTCTTCATCGAATACAATCACATGCTCCCAATATAACCGGGAGGCAGTGAGAGACATTTAACATATAGTCCTGAGGGATAAAATGGATTGCCAACAAAATGTTGTCGTGCAGTTGCCTAAGATAATTACGTCCCTTTTCTATTTTCCAGTTAGAAGATCTGGTAAACCCCATGTGCTATTAAAGATCAAAAATATTGTCATTACAAATGGAATAGGTGCAAAGTACGTTCTTTCGATTTCAAAAATTTTAGAACTTGTATCCCCGTTATCACAAAAACAAGCATATTGAAGTGCATTCTCGCAAGAGGGCGACATTGGGTTTCTCATAACTCCCAAATGCAAGTTGGAAAAATTGAATCCTCGAAAAGATATCACATAGAGCCCACGTACAGTAAGGTCAACATTCACAATGATTAAAACATGCTACCCCCAATAACACGTGTCTTTTGAAGTCTATAACGTTTATATCCTATCCTGACAAACATATTGTGTTGGTCAAAGTATGGGGGAGGGGGGGGGGGGGGGTGAGTCCGCACGAATTCTAAGACAACGAATGGTTGAAGAATTTCACTAAAATTCTAAACAAAATATGGAACGATTCGTATAATTATGAAGGATACGTTCTTGAATAGAATTAAATCTCTTGAAGAAGATTCCATTATCGTGACTTTGTGTGTTTTCGTACATTATTATGGTTTGTGTGAATCGCGCCTCAAAAACAAAAATAATCCATGAGCAATTAATCAATTTTACAAAAAATACATTTATTCGATTACTTTACTTCCAAGAAAACTCATAATAATCATCATTGTTTGACAAGTATGTTAATGATTGAAACTAATCTACGTACATAAATGGACACAAATTAGCATTGATATCATACGAGCAATATCCGGATTTCTTGTTTGAAATTTTAAGGCTATGTTAACCACAATTCTCCTATGCATCTCCTCACTCTTTCAGTAGCAGAATATTCACTTTGATCTACACCAACTCTTTCCCTCCTCATTTCCGAATCCCGAAAACAGGCTGGCTTTAAATCCTTTCAATCCATTGCCCGACGCCTAAGAAATAACCTTTATGCTTTTTATTACAAAGAGTACTTCACTTGATTTCTTTAAAAAAAGCATCTGAAAACATCCTTGCACAATTCTTATTTTGTTTATTGATATACCAAAGGACAGCGCCTTTTATAGTCTGGAAAAGGTGATATATAAATCTAATTATTATCATTCTTATTATCATCATCATCATCATCTTTATTATCATGTGCCACTCACGTCAGCATAAACATGGATTTTCCAATAAATAAATAAAAATAAAACAAGAGTACAAAGAAAAGGTTTTCATTCGGATAAATATGAGAAAAAAATAACAAAAATCTGTATGGGTCCCGCTGTCGACGCCCAACTATAGGCCTGTGCACAAACGAAAAAGGGAGGGGCGGCTGGGAGACTGCAACCCCATGGAGTTTAGAACTTGATCTGATTTAAATATTCGGGTAAGGTCTTTTTGTAGTTTTGATACCTTTATGTCAGTGACATAAATACAATTGACCTTTTTTGAAATGGATATGCAACGAACCAAGAGGTTTTTATTTGTATTTATTTATTTACCCCTTGTGACATGGAACGCCCTTATCAGCACGAATGCTGTTTTAATAGGGGTCCACTAGTGAATGAATGTTTAACTGTAATTGAGTCAAATTGAGAAAATAGGAGGTTAATATTTGGACTCAAGATGTCAGTTCACCCCTCCTTCCGAGACTATGCTCGGACACCTTACTTTATACTTCTCCACCACATTACACATTTTCTTACAGCATACGTAATAGGTTAAGATTAATATTTGAGAGCGATTAGGAAGATATAAAACATGGCATGTATTACATGAACGTTATATGGTATGATCTTTTGTTGATGTCTCTAATAATAATCCTAATAATCTAATGCTATGGGTCAATATATGAAATTAGATTTGAATTTGTTTGTATTCATCAAGGTTTATTTACACTATTAATTGATATCCACATGTACATGGATTATGCAAAATAGTAACGAAGACTTTGGTAAGGCATGAATCCTCATTAGCAAGTCCACCTGAGAGGACTTAAAACCGTCGGTCCCCTGGTTGCTTACTTACAAGCATATACACGTGCTTTCTTAGCAGTCAGGTAAAACAAACCATCACACCAAACCAAACCCAGTGATAGCTGATTGTATTGGAGAAAAATTAATGTGTCGGACAATTTAAGATCTAAATCAATTTCATGTTCTTCTTTCCAATTCCATTAAAAAAATGTAGCAACAACAAACATGATAAAGATAAAGTGGTCATACTATAACAATTTAAACATTGTAATACGGAATATAAATCTTAAAGATGAAGTGAAAATGTAAATATAAACTAGACATGCCATTGTCCTCAGGGGCCAGAATCCCATCAACAGGAGTTCTTTATTTTAATCGTAGAAATAAAAACTTGACATTTTGTATCATTATCTCACAGATGTAGTAAGAAGTCAGACTGAGATAATCCAACCACTCTCATACTTATGTTGCCTTGACAACCGTTACCATAGATACTGATCAAGCATCCGACCGATCCATTGAGAATGCAATCTCGTTGTTGTTTGGTTTTTCCTGCAAATGATTTTTAAAAAATGATCAAATTAAAGCTACAATTACAAAAGAATAATCTTTTTTGTTTGTCTAAGGCAATAGGATGTTAACATAAAACAATCATGTAAGACAAACAATAATTAATCTTATAACATATAACTCTGATGGTCGTGGAATTCAGGAAAACCAAAGCTCTTGCATAAAAGAAGGGGAAAATAGTTCGAGAGATAATGTACAGGTGAAAATTAAAAAAGCTATGATTCTATTGTTTCAAACTTTAACAGTCTCATGTAAGAAGGAAGCGAGTTCCAGGGAACTGGTGGAACTGCATAATATAGCTGACTAAAGCAATTATATAATTTCATTTTTAATCGTTAACGAGATTATTTGACCACGTGGGGAACAATCATTTTACCATGGACTAAAATATACTTACACCGGCATATCCTGGATTTGACATCCCAGTCGAGAAGGATGCTCCCGTAGTTGCACTGTCAAAGTAAGCAAAGCACGAAAAATCCATAATTATTAAAATAAAAAATGTCATTGTTTTATAGAAGAAGTAGGAGGCGCGATGACTCAGTTGTCTCGTAACCGGGAGGTCCCGGGTTCAAAACCAAGTCGATGCGCTCGTGGTCTTTAGTAACGCATCAATCCTCATTACCAAGTGCCCCGGAGAGGACTAAAGCCATCGGTCCCCTAGGTGCTTAATTACAAGTATACAATGCTTTCATAGCAGTCAGGTAAAACCAACAAAAACAATTGATCGAAACAACCGATTGACTGACGATAATAATAATAATAATAATAATTACAGTGCTTATATAGCGCCTAACACTTACTTTGTCAGAAGTCTCTAAGCGCTCTACAATAATGCAGCATAATTACCCTGGCTTTAGCAGTGCAGCTGTTAAGGCCCGGTCACACAGGGAGGACGCATGGGGAACGCACGGCCAGCGCATTGGAAATTTGCAATTTGGGCCAGTGCGTTGTCGTTCGCTAGGCGTGCGTCATCATTCGTTACTCGTTCGTCGAGCGCGCTGGACCAACGCTGGACCAGCGCTATGCATGCGTCGTCATTCGCTGTGTGCGTCGGGATTTTTTTAGCATGCTCAAAAACGTGCGCCGAGCTCGACGCATGAATATACACGCCAAAGGCACGCCAGACATGCGCCGGAGCGCGCTAGACCAGCGCCAGACATGCGTGGAGCGCGCTAGACCAGCGCCAGACAAACGCGGAGCACACGCCCTGTATACGCTCAGCGCGCTAGCTACACGCCGTGCATTTTGTGTCAGCTCGCTAGCTTTTCCAAAATTATGACAAAAGTTAGGCACACGTTCTTTTCCGATTTCCAATGCGCTGGCCGTGCGTCGTAGAACGCGGTGCATGCGTGGACCATTCGTCCAGCGCGCTAGCAACACGCTGTGCATTCGTGGAAGTTGTTTTCATGTGCGCTCTGTGTGCGCCCTGTGTGCGCCCTGTGTGCGCCCTGTGTACGCCCTGTATGCGTCCAGCGCGCTATGCATTTGGTGTCAGCTAGCTGTATAGCTTCGACAAAAGTTGGGCGCACGACAACGCACTGGCCAAAATTGCAAATTTTCCATGCGCCGGCCGTGCGTCCCCCATGCGTCCCCTCTGTGTGACCGGGCCTTTACGCGCGCTGCGTTTCAAGGAATAAATTCCTACCAGGTACCCATTTACTTCACCTGGGTGGAGTGTGGAAAATGTAGATCAATGTCTTGCCAAAGGACATTAGTGCAGCGGCGGGACTCGAACCGCGGACCTTGTGATCGACAGTCCGGCGACGTATCCACTCGACCACAACAATGTGTTCTTTCTTCTTCTTGCGTTTTTTTTTTCTTCAAATCGAACAAGACCTGATCCCCTGGCTAAACCAATGGTTTCGATTCATTTAAATTAAAATCATTTTCACTCTCAAAAGGAAAGATAAACATACAAACAAATCAGTAGATTATACATGTACATAATTATACCAAATGTAGAAAACGGCGATGAGTGTTACAAAGCTTCAAGACGTTAGTGAACAAACTAAATATTAAAACTCTTGGCTATTTTGTGCCTGAATAAAATAATTACACTATTAAAAGGAACATCCAAAGAACATCATAAAACAAGATGTAGACATGATTACATTTTATGTCATGATTACCGTTGCACGAAATCATTTTGTTCTTCTTCTTTCATCTTTATTTGGAATGTTAGGACTATTTTGTTAAATTTTTTTCCTCTATTTATACAAAAATATATTTATGTGGTCCAAAGAGTTCTTAATTCACAATTCACCTTCCTGCCATGTAAATGTCCTTTAAATTTTCAGCATCAACCAACATGATCTCCACTCCTTTCGAGAAATCAACATACGGTAATTTCAACAGCCTTGTTCGTCACCTATTGAAATGTACGAGCATGCCAATGCGGGATTACGTAATCTGAACATGATTTCCATGGGATGTGCACAGGGCATTGACACTATGAACATGACGGACAAAGAAAGAGGACAAAATATACAGTTCCTCATTCTACCCTCAACAATTGCTGTGGTAGACAAAGGAACATCCCTTCACTGCTAGTACGTAAAACTATGTAGAACAGGTGTCACATGCATATTCACGTTCTACATATTTTTACATAATAGCAGTGAAGGGATGTTCCTTTGTCTACCACATCAATTGTTGAGGGTAAAATGGGGAACTGTATATTTTGTCCTCTTTCTTTGTCCGTCATGTTCATAGTGTGAAATAACCCTGAGTTGGTATTTTTCGAAAATAGCTGCGATCGTGCTAACTGTAGAAACTCTTGAAGTAAAAAAATAATTCACTCAGTCAGGCGCGTACACAGGGGGGGTGTTTGGGGGGTTAGACCCCCCCCCTTTGGTAATTTTTTGTGTGTAAACCCCCCCTAAATTTCTCTAAAACCCCCCCCCCCCCCCCCTTTTTTATTTTTTTATTTTTATATTTTTTATTAAAAAAAAAAAAAAAAAAAAAAAAATTCCCATGGTTGACCTAAAAAAGCTGACCTTACCCCCCCCCCCAACGGAGCAAAATGTCAAATTTTCAAATTTCGAGACCAAAAAAAAAAAATGTGTCCTCTTACCCCCCCCCCCCCCCCCCCCCCCCCCCCCCCCCCGCTTATTCAGCGGCTGGCTGAGTCGTTGCGAAATTTTCGGCCCGATTTATAAATGTTAAACCCCCCCCTTGAAAAATCCTGCGTACGCGCCTGCACTCAGTCTATCTTTCTAGAGTGATCCCAAGAAACAGGTGGCAACTAAAACTACTTACGGATCGCTTGTTTTCCTCTGATTCTTCCTGATGAAGTATACAGCGCCTAATGAAACGGCCACCAGAAAAGCCAAGCCAAACGTGACGCTCAAACCAATGATAAGGCCCGTATCTGCCAAGAAAATATTAAGTTGCCGGCACTCATAATCAGGTTTGTTTAATTTTGTGTGTTCGTTTGTTTGTTTTCTGGGTTTGTATTTCATATCCGTATCCAGTAATTAAGTACAACACAGAACAACGGAACTTTTAAAATAGATATATTGAACTACACAATCTACCGTATTAATTTTGTCTGTCTTTCTTATACTCGATGTTTAACAAGTGCTTCATGTGTGATATGAATTTATCCCCCAGTATCTTTGTATAGTATCATTTGTATTTGCATGCATAGAGATCCGATCACAGTATGCACTCCGAATAATAACTGAACTGGAATCAATATAACAGTAGGCCTATATCTTTCCAAACTGAACAAATTTATGTTAATTATTTTGGTTAAAAAATGTGAAATCAAATTTCACGTCTGTTTGGCCTTATTTTCATTTGCAAAACAGCCAAGATGAAATTCAAAACCCTTTTTACACGTTATAAAAGCTCTCAGACATTACATCATTTCAGCTAAATAATATTACCCCCCCCCCAAAAAAAAAAAAAAAGAACAAAAAAAAATCTCACTCGGGTACAACTCGGGTACATACATACCAAATAATGAGCTAGGATCTGTTCATTTTGAAGAGATATATTGCTATATGTAATTTGAGAAAAGGATATAACATTTCAGCTATATGAACAAAATACATGCATTCTTCCGTGGGGTTCTTAATAATACATAAACATTAGATTACAGAAAATACCACAAATAATACAATAAGTATTTTCCTCTTGGAAAAAAGACTAACAATAAATCATTGAATTCATAAAAACTGTCTATAATATTTCATTGCCTGTTAGAGCCGAGTATCTTTATCATCAGTATATCAATGTTACCTTTATAACTTTTAAGTAATAATTACACAAATGTAGAATTTATAATAATTATCTGTCTTTCGGCTCCTTTCCATAATGATAAAATGGAGCAAACTGCACCAAATTGTGGGATCCCATATCTGGAATGATTGCAATGCTGGTGTAATTTCTCCGGTCATGACAGTGTTGCCGTCATGCTATATTTAAGTAAGTTTACGAATATACCAGCACACTCCTAGGTATGATACACAAATACCTCGATACGTCTTTTGAAGAGGGTGTGAGGAGGGGTGGGGGGGGGGGTTAAATTAGAAGGAGGTTTGTGCTCTGCAAGACTGCAGGATAGACATTTCAAAAAATCTTTGTTAAATGGGGCAAACGTCCCTCCCCCGGAATCGACGCCCACCCTACAGGTTTTATTTATTCTGTGATATTTGTACAAGTTTTAAAGACATTGAACTTTTACAAAGTCATCGTTGACACGTATTCAACGATAGTCCAAGATAGGTCCAGTAGCGGCTCCATAGAAGTAGACTTGGGGGCTCATGCCCCCCCCCCCCACCACACACACATACACACACCCATTAGTTTAGAACGGCTCCTGGTTAATGTGCATGCCTATTATACGACAACTGGGCAGTTTCACGGAACCGTTGTAAGTACAAGTTCACTGTCAGACATCCACTTGAAACGAGTGTTATTTTTAATGTTATATTTGCATTTATGACGGTTTCGTGATACGTTGCCCTCATTATCAGTATCATAATACTCACTATCGCTCGTCGGGATAGCTGCACACACAAACAATGAAGAGAAAGAGAGAAAGAGATACAGACAATGTATTAGTTATTGTTGATAAACTAAACAAAAATCATAATTATAGGATCTTATCTAACTTCTTGTAATTTTGTAAAAAGAAATAATAATAATAATAATGACAGAGGGAGAGGGGTATAATTCCCCCAAAATAATACAATTATTCGGGCAATAATAATTATTTTGTTTACCCTGGGAAGCCTCATCAGCATCTGTTCCTCCTTGGGGGCTCTACGAATATTATTATTCCCAGCGATTACAAGGTACTGATTCACACCTGGATGGAGTGCGGCAAATGTGAATTCATGTCTTGCCTAAGGACGTTAGTGCCGGGCTGGTATTCGAACCCTCAACCCTTGAATTAAACGTCAAGTAAATGAACCACTATATCACGACACCCGATATAAAGTGTTTTTTGGGGCCTTCGGAACGGCAAGACAGAATCCGCTTAAATCCCATTAGATTTTACAGGCTTAATAATAATATCGCGAACAAGATTATTCCAGTAGGCTACCTTTATCTCTTAATAAAAATGAGGAAAGCCACTTTTGAGGAGACATATATATTAGGAGTAACGTCTTTTGGAGATTAACCCACTCCAAAGTAGCGATTAAATCACTTTTAGAGAGTGGAATTCAAAATTGTTTTAAAGTTTGGATTTCCACACCAAACGAAGTGATCCCTACTATGACTCCCCAAAAGTTGGATTTCCTTACCTGTACGCTTAGAGAGTACTCAAAATATAGTTGGAGCTGTTAGTTGACTCTCTAACAAAGAAATTTACAATGCCGTTATCAAAATAATACATTTTATTTGGTGTTCTTGTGCACACGAGCCGTCTTTTCGATTGCGTCATTACCTTCGCTAATCACGCCTGTCAAGGAAAATAGCTCTTATCGCCGAAACAATGTTTAACTGCTCATTGTTACGTTCATTTGTTGTATGAGTGTCACCCTTGCATGACGCATCAAAGACCGCGCTTGAGACTGACGCATCCTTACGTCAGAACACTAACGCCTCGTGCGCGACAGCTTTATTAACTTACGGCACGATAGCTCGTCGGATCCGTCAGAGCAGTCGTTTTCACCGTCGCAGAACAAGTCCTCAGCGATACACTTACGATCTGCTGCGCAGTACACGTTTCCTGACTCTCGACAGAAGTCAACAGTCCGGCCCGTGGGCTGGGCTATTGAAACAAGGACATAGAAAAATGGCGTTATACGAGTACGACACAAGCTCCGGCGACAATTGCTCCGCGGTTATTATCCTACACTAAGCGTGCTCCTTATTCTAACCCTAGACCTAACACTAAACCTGATCCTAACCCTAACACTAATCCTAACCTCATTGTAACCCGAACCCTAATCTTACCCTAACGCTCAATCTTTGATGGAGTAAAGCCCGGAGCAATAATGTCGGAGGAGCATAATGTTGAAGCACTGAAAATGGAAGTTGTGTTTTCTGCTTTTAAGGTATGATAAATATACTGTTCTTTTAATTCTATGACCTGTTTTTGTAAAACTATATTAATTAAAGTGACCAGCTTAATCATGATTTTGAAAAATGAACATAATAGAAGCTTTGATGGATTGAAGATAATTCTAGCTCTTTTTCTCCACCCTCCTCTCTCTCTCTCTCTCTCTCTCTCTCTCCCTCTCCCTTCTCTCTCTCTCTCTCTCTCTCTCTCTCCATCTCCCCCTCTCTCTTTCTCTCTCTCTCCCCCTCTCTCTCTCGCTTATGTCCAGTCTCCTAAAAGTATAAAACTCCAGAAACCAAATTGACTATTGTTAAACACTGTCCCTACGAAAATGCGACCTCGCCACTACGCCATTGACTAATAACACAAATCGATTATGAATAATGATAAGGAAACATTTGAAACTCACTGTTCACTTCGGTAGCAACAACTGGCAGGTTGCCTACGAATCGCTCGCAGTCGGGCGTGAAGCTGACGTCGTCCAATCCGATGTCGCTATCGGTAGTATATCCGATCACGCCTTCAATGATGACCTGTGATTAACATCAATCATCAACATTGATAGCACCGACATAGGAACATAACTAAACAAAATCTGAATTCTATCATTCGAATTCGTTTTCCGTAGAAGGTGAATGCAATAGTTTTTCACGTGGGAATGATGAAAAGGGCGTCAACTTTGGATTCAACATGTTCAATATGCGTAAATGCGCTTTCGTTCAGTACATTGTAATAATGCAGATAAAATGCTGACACAAAGTTTATAATCATATAAACATAAAATTGCCATTTTTTGTATTTATATCATCATTCATAACCTCAAGCTAGAATATTGGTCTACAAATTTGTTTAATTTCCCATAGCTGATGTTAATATAATCTCTTAGAAAATCGGATCGCAGTAGAATTATCGTACATTTGCGGTGAGATTTTAATCACATGTATTCAATATAGTGAGTGGTTGCGAATCATTTCGTAACATATAAAATGTTTCCATACAATCAATCTAAAAAAATCTATTGTATGTCCAATCTTGCTGTCATTAATTGTATTTCACCATGCATTTTACCTGTCCATAAGTTACTATTATTTACTGCCAAGGTACAATAGGCCATTTTCGTAATGTAACCAAATTTAATGCATAAGTCTTTGTGAAGTGCCTCAATACAAATTATTTCATTCACCTGGTAAGAATATTAGTATTTCAATAGACATACTCCAAACTGCATACACTAGTTGTTGCCAGGTTGGAAAAACATCATGGCTTGACCTACCTAGCAACACTTGATATATGCAGTTTGCATTCTGACTATTGAAATACTAATATTCTTATCAGGTGAATGAAATAATTTGTATTGAGGCACTTCACAAAGACTTGTGCATTGAATTTAGCTACATTACGAAAATGGCAATGGCGTAAATCCTTTCCGATGAATGTGTGCATGTGAGTGCGTGTGTGCGTGCGCGCACGCGTGTGTGTGTGAGCACACTGACAAAACACACATATACACACGCCCGCAACTTTCTTTTTATGTTACAGGGCCCAGGGGGGCGTTTCACAAAACTTGTCATCAGTGACAAATGACGGCTTTTGTTATAAACTACTGAAATCCTTGATTCTGATGGTTATCACCAGATTTGTCACTGATTTTTGTCATTTGTCATTGAAAAAAAGGCTTTGTGAAACGCCCCCAGGTGTTTATATAGCATACCTGGAAGTCGCTGCTGCTTCGGAGGGGAATGGTCTGGTAAACCCACTCGCCTCCAATCGCCCTCTCCTTAGTCCAGAGCATCGTCATCGGGCCATTAATAGACGTCCTGGTATATACATTGAGAGTGCCAATACCTATCCCTTCCATGTGGTAGAAAAATCGGATCTGAAAAGATATGAAAAAGATATAAATGATCGCTAAGAATTTCGAAAAATCAACCGAAAGGGGTTTCAGTGACCTTGTCCATTACCGATTGAAATGTGCAAATATTACAATAACTTATAACGTGACCTGAACATGATTTTTGGGGGATATACAAGAAGATATTGAAATTGCACTTGAGTTGATTAAAATTTGTATGACCTTGTTGTATTGAGATAAAATACAAAATATACATAATTATTCCCAGTGATGTAATACATAGTGATTCAATGGTATATCATAACTCACCATTGATAGAAAAATAATCAAAACATCGGTCGAAATATCCAATTTTGAATAAAATACATGTGAAGAAAATAGCTTTGATTAGTGACAACCCAGAAAGAGAAAATACATTTTGAAAGACCGGCTTTTCAAAAAAGATATGTGAAATAAACACTTACTACACACTGTCCCGTTATCGTTGATTGAATGTTATAACTAGCCAGTTTGGCCCGCTCTCCATTTCTTCTCGGATTACTTGCTTCAGTGTACAAATAGTATCCTGGAAGGAAAAAAAAGTGGAAAAAGTTTAATAGCGATAAAGAACAAACATGCATACTAACAACTTCAACGAAGCAGTACAATTTTACACAGTAAACAACTTCGCGAGAGTACATGGTCGCGAGGCAAGAAGGGAAGCTTTTTCTTCTGATTATAAGGCTGACCCTATGTTAATTGTAATATCCTACATCCAAAATGCTCCTTCTTTATCCACTTTCAAAGTAATGTTAAAAACCCATCTGTTCAAATCCATATCATGACTTTTGTCTTCTCTAAACATGTCAAATAAATAAATGGTGTCGTACTACTATTTGTTATGAAATAAGTCATCTTTAGCATAATTTAAGTTAGATAAAGTTGATTTATTTATTTATCTGTAACAAACTGTAATTTTGTAACGTAACATAGCGTAATAAAATGTAATTTTGTACTGAATAATATTGTGTAATCGTGGTGCTGTCGTCCCGGCTTTTATTTAGTGTAAGGACACTGCTTCACTTAATGAATGCTGGGACAACAGCACCACAGCGCCTAGAAACAATGTATTAGGCGCGTTATAAATTTGATCTATTATTATTATTATCATTATATCAAAATACAAAATACAAAACAGAAACAAGCAGAAGCATTACAAACAGATACCTGAACCAGTGGTATGGTCCGAGCTTGGGCCAGTTCCATCACTACTGGTTGGTCCCGTCCGGCGAGTCCAGTCAAACTCGTCAGTCCCGAGTTGATCCCAATTACAAACACCATCCTCAAAGTCGCACATGGTATAACCACGAGATTCTGAAAACAAAACCCAAAATGAATCAAGGTTTTTAACCTGTTTCAACGACAAGAGTTGACAAGATAATTTGATGATGCTTTGTAATCTCTTGTAGATTCTCAAAGTCGCACATGGTATAACCACGAGATTCTGAAACAAAATCAAAAATGAAAAAGTTTTTTTAAAGGGTTTCAACGACAAGAGTTGACAAGATGATTTGATGATGCTTTGCAATCTCTTGTAGATTCGCAAAGTCGCACATGGTATAACCACGAGATTCTGAAAACAAAATTCAAAATGAATAAGTTTGTTTAAAGGGTTTCAAAGACAAGAGTTGATAGAGGATACTATAGAGACAGAGATAAATAAGTGAGAGAAAGAAGGGGGAGACGGGTAGCAATTAAAAAAAAAGAATACACGGTAATTACATTGTGGTGGTGGTTATTTTACCTGGCTGCTAAGAAAGCATAAATGCTTGTTAGTAAGCAACCAGACGGCCGACGGCTGTTCTCTCCGAGGGACCTGGTAATGAGGATTAATGCCTTACCAAAGAGCACTAGCGCATCGACTTGGTTTCGAACCCGGGTCACCGGATTACGAGACACTGCTCCAACCATATGGTTCTACAGATTACAACCCCACAGGGGCGGCGATCCCGGGGAGGGGGAGGGGGGGGGGGGGGGGGGGGGACACGTCCCCCCTCAATTTTTTAGGGGGGATCGTCCCCCCTGGAAATTTGAAAAAGTGCAAAATAAATTGTATAGCATATACTGAATAATGACTGCAACACACTTTTAGGCTCCGGAAGGCCCAAGAGTGCAGCGTTTAGACTAATAAAATTGCAAAAAAAAATCTCGCTCGGTCGCTACGCTCCCTTGCATGACATCCTTGTAAAAAAATTCGCATTTCGTCCCCCCGGTCATTAACAGAAATCGCCGCCCCTGCAACCCCATAATTGTGTTCGATCACGTTCAATGTAAAGCCTGAAACAGAAACGTAGCAAAGCATGTATTCAAAGTAAGAAGATTAACTTTTGAATGTAATCACTATATATATTCGAATGATATTACAATGTGACGATTACGCCGATCTTGATACGATGAAGCCGATCCTGATACGGTTGAATCCGATTATGGTACGAGTTCGTTTCCAACATAATGAAGTATCATCGTTTATTATCTCTATACAATGATAAACACTTAAAATATTGTATCAAACCATATTATGTTCATGAAAATGTATGATGAAAAAAATAAAAAAGATGCAGAAACCAATAAACCAAATCAAAATCAAATTAAGCAACATACCGCAACCCTGTTCGTCCGTCAGGTCACAGCAGTCCGCGGTATAGTCACACATCTGACTAGTCGGGTAGCATTCGCCGCTGGCACACTGATCATTCCCGATCCCGCACGAGCCCGGCGCGACAATCTCAGGGTATTCGCAATCCTGGAACAACAGATCATCCACAGCAAAGCCGCCCTCACTTGGGACTTGTTGTCTGTCCTCGGATTCTACTGCGACCTAAGGTGGATGCCATAAAAACAAAATGTCACCTCGACGCCACAAAGGTGGGACAATTCCAGGGGAAAACTTAAAGATGTCATAGTTTGAAATGGCACAAAAATTGGACTTTTATCGTCAGGACTAGACATACATCTACTCACGAATAGCGAAGTCAGTTTCGTCACAGACACAATGCTTGCTTCCTGGAAGATAACATTGCGCCAGGGCATATTCTGCTATTAAAACTTATCATCGGTATTTGATGATTAACAAGACACGAACAGAGTGCTTTACGTAACCAACAATAATGTCACTTTAACATGGTACGTCAACTTTATATACAAACTGTTTGATAACAAAAGAAAATATCAGTCACGTTTTGAAAGGAAATGGACTACTAACGGATATTAAGAATAAGAACGACACCTCCATGGATAAAGGAGGGGGGGGGGGGCAACAACAAAAAAAGCCGGGCCATCGCCACCACTGAAATGGCAGTTGCCCACTTTTTGCACAAGCAGTGAGATGAGTTCAAATAAGCTGATAAAAAACACTCCTCCACAATCCTATTTCTTTCTTACTCTTTTAAAGGGATCGAGTGATTCCTTCTTCTCTTCTTGACATGTTTGTATAATAGTATACGGATACCTACCCCCTGGACATCAGCCCCCGGATAACCCGCCACAGTCAACTACCCCCTAGGGCAACCACCCTCTATATAGGACAACTACCCCTGGACAACTACCCCCAACAACTACCCCTAGGACAACTACCCCCTATGACAACTACCCCCTACCTCGGACAACTACCCTCGGACAACTACCCCCTAGTACAACTACCCCATGACAACTACCCCCGGACAACTACCCCCAGATAACTACCCCTAGGATAGCTGTCCGGGGTAGTTGTCCCTGGGTAGTCGTCCTAGAGGGTGGTTGCCCTAGGGGATAGTCGTCCTATAAGGTGGTTGCCCTGGAGGGTGGTTGTCTTAGGGGGTAGTTGACTTGGGGAGGTTATCCGAGGGTGGATGTCCAGGGGGTAGGTGTCCTAGAACCATGTTTAATAATGTTTAGCAGCCTATCACGCAGACAAACTAACTATTGCAAGTGGTGTGAGGAGGATTAACCTGAAAATTTGTCGAGCATGGTGGTATCTCGGTGACGTGTATCTGCCATTTGTTGTAATCGGAGGCGCCATCGTTTGCCTTGGTGAGCCGGTAGTCCTGGCCGTCCTGTGTCATCAGACGGACTTCTAGGTCACCATACTCGATCCCGAACATGTAGTACCAGAGGGTGAGGACACAACCCCTCTTCGACTTCTTATACATGGGACTGATGATCTTGGCTTTCTGGCTCAGTCTTGAAATGGATCCATCCACATAGATGTAGTGACCTTGAAAATAGGGTGGAATGAGGCAGCCATGTGGATTGTGAAAAGGGAGGCTACAACTTTCTCTAAATTTCTGGACAGGATTTTCTCCAGGTTAGGGATGCTTATCTGTCTTCCAGACTTCAATGTTTCTGGAAATTTTGTTTACCAAGTTTAAGATGCTAGTTTGTCACTAAGACTTCAATGTCTTTGTAAAGAGTGTACATCATGTTGTTGATGCTCTGTAAGGGTTTATTATATATAGAAATTATGTTCACCAAGTTGGAGGTGCTCATGTATTTCTCTAACACCTGATTTTCTTTTCTACAGTTATTCGTCTCTAAAATTTCATTGGTGTTGTGCTACTTTGTCTCTAAGACTTTGCAGAGCTTTGGATTTTCTTCGGGCTCATAAAGAATCTTAAAACATTGTGAATAAATCTATAGAGAATTGATATTGATCTAGGGTCACGGCCATCTGCCGTTGGCTCTGGTCTGGATGAAGTAGAGGGCGCATCACTCATTTTAGATGTGGAAAACACTAGATTGGAATTAAAAAGCTGATGCGCATCATCATATCCCACTGCTGCCATCCCTAAGATTATTTCATCTACATTGCTTCTTGCCAGGAAACCATTTATTTCACCTGGGTCGAGTGTGGCAAATGTAGATCTATGCCTCAGCAAATGACGTATAATCAGTGATATGTTTGGGCAACCTACCGCTGGCACCACCTGTGGTATGGTCATTATCTGGTCCGTTGTAAGTAGCTGGATCTTCACCGTGATTGTACCAGGTCCAGTCCACACCATTATCACTGGCTTGGGTCCAGTAGCACATGTCAGACTCAAAATCACAGAACACAGCTGGAAAAAATGAACAAAGAATCAGGTGCGTTTTTTTGTGGTAATTATCTAACTTTGGGTGTTGTTTGTGCAATCTGAAGAACCTCTTCTTTTCGAGTAGCAAGATGCAACCAGAAGGGGGAATTCACGAGACATCTGTACATAATCTGCCTTTCCTAAATAGCTTTAGGAAATAAACTAAATAAACTAAACTAAATGCATTAGGTAGATTCGACATGGATAACACTACCCTTAATAAAACGAATCATGATACAATATTCATGCCATTGAATTAGGTCCAAAGGCATTGCACTTGTTTTGTCTGCTTTATATGTTATTTGATATTATTTGATTTCCTTCCACTCAAATGGTACACAGTCAGTGATCTTGCCCCACAACATTATGCGTGGATAAGTACATGCATAACCCAGTATCCGTCGTAAAGGTGAAATTCAAAGAAACTATTCAAATATGTCAACTAATGTATCACTAGAAACTGGTAAGCCGTCGAGGGCCGTCGTACAAGTTTTAGTTTAACTACATATCGGGTGATTTATAAAAAATAAAAATACAACCACCTTCATAGCAGCTGGGATATACGAGAGATTCGCCGGAAAAATAACGATGTTTTAATGACGTCACTATATGGACCAATACTGCCCAAGCAGACGACATCTCATAAAGAATGAACATAAATGCAAAGCTATCATTTGTCAAATTATAATGAGTTTAGTCTATATAAATGTAATGCCATGTCAAACCATTCAAAAGGGGATATGACCCGATTCTGATAACTAAAATCTTTAACTTGTAAATTAATTAAAGGGTTAATTTAAAATGAAAGAAAACAGACTTTCAAATTGAAAACCTCCCGGAATGATATTGAGGACGGCATTTGTTCCCTCTTGAAACGCCGAACATGCCGCGGAGTGTGCAGCTGAATATACAATGGCGTCTTATTTTGTTTACAAGCGACAGATTCCTTTATTTTTGTATCGCTGCATTTGTCATCAAAATAAAACCATGAGTGGGGTTTAGAGTGAGGCAATAGATTATACATTTAGCCTGGCGGTAGTGAAATAAGAGAAGGAACTCAAGAGAAGATGAAAACACAGGCACTGAAAATGTGTGAGATGTCATGGGACATCGTCTGCTTGTGCAAATCATGTCCATACTGTGATCTCACACATCTCAGCAGCGTTCGGAGAGCTCTTCAGGTGCTATGCCGGGGCTGTATTTAAGCGTTTTGTAATTTATAATGATCATTACTTCGAATATTTCCAAGCATTGAATTTTGATAACCTTGACGAATCAAAGTTTCAACTTTGCAATAATGAAAATAAAGTTAGTTTTTAAAATCAATGAATATCTACTTTAAGGTCACTGCAGAATGAAAGGGTGTTATCTGTCTCTACTTTCACTTTGGGGAATAACTCATTTTAAAATATATGAATTGTTACTAATCCCCCAAAACTATTTTTGTTGTCTGTCTTTGAGTAGTGTTACACTACGTGCTATCTGTTTGCGCTCTAGACGAGATATATCTAGTGTGACAGCTTATTAAGTTTGCGTTGTTTATATTTATTTCTACTTGAATATTTATATTAAAATGATGCGAATGAACATTAACTCACGACATGTGACTTCATCTTCCTGGCCAGGGAGACAGTCATGTTTGAAATCACAGTAAGATGATTCATTAATGCAGCCCATGTTACAGGGGAGCTGCCCTCCTGTGCAAGTTACTTGTGCTGTGAATTTAAAAAAAGGGAAAAGAAATCGTAGGTAGTTTGAGAGAGATATGGCAGTGAAAAAGATGAAGACAGTTAGAGCAGAGATGGAATGATGAAGACAAGATTTGAAGTTTAAACTTTTTACTTGGCCGTATAGTTCTTCTAACAACCCTGCTGAAAAGTGCCTCAGGCTTTATTTCATCAAAGAAATATGGTTACAGTTAGGGTTACAATTGATCAATTAGGGTTGAATGCATCAAAGGCTGGACACCCATCTGATGTCCCCATCCGACTCTTAAAGGAGTTTGCGTATGAACTGTCATTACCCCTGACCATCATCTTCAATAATTGTCTTATCAATGGACACTTTCCAAGCTCTTGGAAAACTGCATCAGTGTGTCCTGTTCCGAAGACCTCACCAGTCACCGAGTACAATCAGCTTCGACCAATTTCGATCACACCGATCATAGCACGTGTTTTTGAAGGCTTCCTGGCAGAATGGGTGATGGCTGATATCAAACATCAAATCGATCCAAAGCAATTTGGTAATATGAAAGGCAGCTCTGTGTCGCATTACCTAGTCAGCCTGCTTGATGATCTACAGCGGGGCCTGGATAAGCCAAGTCATCATGCAACGATTTGTACAATCGACTTTATGAAGGCCTTTGACCTCATCGACCATACGAAGGCTCTACAGAAGCTGATTCAACTGGATGTCAACCCGGCCATCATCACAGTGATAGCTAGTTTTCTCACGCAACGTACGCAGACGAATCGATATTGCGGTACATCATCATCTGAGCAAGAGCTATCATGTGGGGTTCCACAGGGAACCAAACTCGGTCCGGTAATCTTCCTAATTATGATCAACGATGCCGCCGAGACTACCTCGAAGAGATGGAAGTATGTTGATGACGTAACTATTGCTGAAGTTATCCATAAAGCAGAGCAAAGTCATCTACAGTCCCATGTGGATGCTATATTTGCATGGAGTGAGTTGAATTCAATGAAACCAAAACCTGAAAAATTTAAGGTGATGCATGTAAGTTTCCTGCGTAATGGTCCACCTTCACCGGTGATTACTATTGGAAATCAAGTTTTGGAGTCTGTAACGTCGCTTCGCCTGCTTGGTGTTATCATTCAGACAAACCTAAAGTGGGATCTACAAGTGGAACAGGTCATCAAACGTGCATCCAGACGTCTATATATCCTGTGCAAATTGAAGAGGAATGGAGTTCCAACCAGTGATCTTGTGCTCATATACACAATGTATATCCGACCATTGATGCAATATTGTGCACCAGTGTGGAGCAGTAGCCTGACAACACAGCAGTCAGATAGCATAGAGCGGGTACAGCGTAGATCACTCAGGATGATATCATACCCTGATCAACAGCACTATGAGGAACTCCTGAGCAGCTTTGGCATTCCCTCCTTTGCCAGGCGAAGAAGTGACTTACCAACTTTGCCAAATCAATCCTTGTCTCCTCGCGACACCGTGATTTGCTTCCGGCTGAACGACAGCATCTCTCGCGAGGTGGACTTCGGAATTCTAACCACCTACACATTCCTTATGCAAGAACTGAACGATATAGAAAATCAAGTGTCCCCACACTTGTCAAACTGGTCAATGCTCAGTTGTAGATCATCTATAGTAATGTATCATATTTGTTTTTCTTCTCTTTTTTAATAATATTGGAGTTATTGTTTTGTTACTTTGTTTAATTGAACTCAAGATCGATCCAAAATTCAAAATTCCGTGCACATTTATTGAGTGCTCTTCTTTTTTTTTTAAAAAGTTGTTCTTAAACCACCGTGTATAATTCTGCTGCAATAACATAATTGTAACTCACTCCAATTTAAAATTGAATGTGGAAACTCAACAGTTCTGAGAATTTGTGTATGCTCATGGGCACTATACATCACTTTATATGAAATGCTTTAATGATATATTCTTAATGTAATAATTCTACTCAACATGATTTGATTTTACCTGTCACACAACAGATACACCTGTATGTATATTTTTTCAGTCTATGGATCTCATGTTAACAATTGCAATATAATAATTTCCTCTCTCTCTCTCTCTCCCTATATATATATATATATATATATATAATTTTTTTTAATTTTTTTATTTTTTATTTTTTTTTAAAATAATTGTTTAATTTAAAGATTATTTGTACTTGCAATAACTGGTTCAACATTTATTATCATCCATCTATTATAATTTTTGTATATGTATATAACTTTAGGTATGAACAATAATTTTAACTTTATCTTTTATAATTTTAATTATACATTTATATGATCATTCCTGTTTTTATGCACATTTTATGTAAACATTGCATTATTGGTCCCTGGACTACTGCATTGTACATTGTATATGTTGATATTAATAAACCGAAATTGAATTGAATCGAATTGAATCATTTGAAAGGTTTAGGGTTAGGGTTAGGTATGGTCTTTGGTCCAGGGTGAAGACGTTTGGAATTCGGGTGGTGTAGGAAATCAACTGCGGAGCAATAGTCGACGGAGCATGTGTCATACAACCAAATCTCTGAAAACGCAGGCGGGGGTCATGGAAAATCATAAGGGGGGGGGCAATCTCTCTCCTGCCACCATAAATTGCTACTCCTGATCCTGCATACACCAATACTTTTGGATTGTTTGTTTGTTTATTGTATTACTTTCAACGATGATCTAGAATTTTACTACTCACTTGATTTAATTTGATTTGATTTATTTATTTCTGTTTGATTTTCTTTTTCTTTTGCATTTTAACAAATATATAACAAATAAGCATTGCAAATTTACACATGACAAAAGAATATATGTAGAATAAAGTAAGGCTGGATGTAACTTAGCTTGTTTTTATTAATCTTTTGTAATTACTAGTAAGTAAACTTTCATTTTGTAATTGTATATTGATTATGTGTACATTTGAGGAATTTGCAATAATTACTTTCTTACTCATTTCGTACTTGTGTACTGAAAAATAATCTAACGTTGTGGATTCTATTTCAATTCCATTTCAATAAATAATTTGATTTGAAATAATTTACACAATACTTACTGGGAGGCACAGTTGGTATTGCTGGGAGACTCTCTGCAGCTGGCACACATTCTGGTGTTAAGCTTATATCATCTAGCGCCATATCACCGTCTGTCGTCGTACCAATACTACCTTCTATGATAATCTGAAACAAGAATAAGAATAATGATGATAATAATAATAATGTTTTTCTTATTATTATCATTATTATTATAATAACAATGTTTTTCTTAGTATTATCATTATTATTATTATTATTATCATTATTATTATTATCATAAGTATTATTAGTATTTATCGTTAGTATTATTAGTATTATTATTATCATCATTAATATTATTATCATTATTATTATTATTATCATTATCATCGTCATCATTATCAGCATCATCAATACCATTACTATTAATGCAAGTTAAAAGTTTAGTTTTTTTAATGTTCACTAATTTGCCCCATATTTGTTCAAATTGAATAAAGATTATGGTGAAACGTACCTGATAGTCGACAGTGCTCTGGATGTCTAGGGTTTGGAAGAACCACTCGTCGCCTAGATTACGTGACATGGACCATACTTTAGTGAGAGGTCCATTTACTTGTGTCCTGGTATAGACAGTCATTGTACCCATACCGATTCCACGCATGTGATAAAAAAATCTCATCTATGTAGAGAAAAACACACCATGTAGACATGTGAGTGGCACATTGAGCATAGGGTTAGGGCCGGCATACACTCCCCTCCCAGTTTGTAAGCCCCCCCCCCCAAAAAAAAAGGACGTTCCCTCCCTGGTCATAATAATAGAGGTGTTTGGCATTAAGGTGATTTAGTAGGGTAGCATATCAATTGATTAAAAAACTGACAAACCAAGAAAGAAAGTGATATGGGTATAGAGGGAGCTTTAATGAAACACATGTTCAGCGTTGATATAATAAGCCTCCTTAAAATTGCCCTGTTTAATAGGAAGTTTTACAATCTGCATAATCCTCGTTTATTTTTTAATAGAGGGGAATGACTGCATAAGTTCCCAATTTTCCTTTTAAGATAAAAGGACTACTTTGACATTTAGGAACAGCCGTAATCATCTTAACAAAAGAATAAAATGACTGGGGCCCAGTTACTTTAACAATTGCGATTAATTCAAATCGATTGCAACTTGATATTAGTCTTAATCCTGTACTAAAGAGATTTGTGTTTTTAAGACTGCGATTAATCGTAGAACTTGCGAACAATCGCCACTGTTTGAAAGACCAGAGGCAGAAGTACAGTCGCCAGACTTACCGAACACACGCTGATACGTGATCCCGTAATTGTAAAACTAGCAAGTCTTGCTCTTTCTCCCAACTTCTTAGGGTTACTTGCTTCCGTGTAGATGTAATAACCTGAAATTGCGAGTTTGAAAGGAATCACGTGAACATTCAGAAACATATAGCCAGGTAGATTTTAAAAAAATGTACGATATGAAATGATAAAACGTACGGTACACAAACAAGCCTATTGACAAGGAAAAAAAATCATCACCATCATTATCATCATCATCATCATCCTCACCATCGTCATCATCATCACCATCGTCATCATCATCACCATCACCATAGTTATATCATAATTATCATTTAAATTTAATTCCGCACTCTGTTGGCAAATTTTAGCCCATTTTTCTCGTTTACTTTGTAGGCGTTTTCGCATAGGAAGCACCCCATGAGAAACGAAATAACACAATGATAATACTATCGTCAGGATCACCATGATTATCATTTTCACAATCTTCATTAAGGTTAGTAAGTCATGGTATTGATTTTTGTTTTTCAGTCTTTATATTTTTAAATCCCAGAGACATTTTTAGACGTTTCGTCAGTGCCGAAGTTGTGGCCCCCGTTTAAAGACCTATAACTACGTCGGTTCCAAACGTGTGTTCCACATTTTTAGACCTGTACCTTCATCTGTGCCAAAGGTGTGGTCCACGTCAGGCCCTGTTCCTTCGCTGGATGTATCCCCTTGATTCCTCCTCCAATCAAACTCATCGGTGGTCAACTGCTCCCAGTAACAAAGGTCGATCTCAAAGTTACACAGGGAGTAACCCAACTGACCTAGCAGGAAAAAAAAGACAATCAAACACTCACCGTACTGTTATGCTCTTTGAAGAAAAAAAAATACAATGAAATTATACTTCTAAAAGAATCGTACACGTTTACACTTGTAAATTTCGCCCTTTGGACTGTAAGCCATATACTACATGTCCTTGGTGGGTTTTTTGTTTTGTGAAATAAGCTTTCGTTTCTGTTTTATCATATTAATATGTAAATAACACACATTTTTAATTGCTGTTTATGTATAATAAATCTTAATTTTATGAAGAGAATTATGAGCTATATACAAAAAAAAAGATTACAACTGATGAAAGAATAAAACGGAGTTTTATGAAGTGCTGTCTAAAAAATTTGAAATAGATATACTGTACTTGAAATCGAAATTTGAAGAATAATAACAATAAAAGGAATCGGAAAATGAGATGCAACAATAAATTACAATATAAAAAATGAATCAAATTTAATGTATGAGGCCGGAAAATAATAAACGATTAAGAAGGAGAGACAGAGAAAGCAGAAGGAAACAAGGTGTGGTAGTGAAGGATGAGTGTGGTAGATACATTGCAAAGAAGAATAAAAAAAGGGGAGAAAGAAAATAAGTGGAATTTAAAGAGAAGTAGAAGAATGTATAGAAGATAAGATAGTGAGTATAAAGGAAGAAGAAAATGAGCAGAAAATGAAATGGAAAATGGAAATAAATGAAACGATATTTACTGCATGTTTGAGGGTCCTCATCCGACATATCACAGCAATCTTGAGTGAAATCACACTGGTTCTCGGCCGGGTAGCACTCGCCTGCATCGCACTGAGCTTGTAAACCACAAGAGCCAGAGTCTACCTCTGGCGGGTAGTAACAGTCTTTCAAGGCGATGTCGTCGACCGCGAAACCGCCCTCGGTAGGTAGGACTTGTCGGTCTTCGGCCTCGATGACGATCTGGACAGTCATGACAAGGAGAATTATTGGGCCAATGATATAGTAAAGCGATGTCCTGTTTTATTCACAGCTTACACAGAGCAAGAGAACTATATGCTAAAGTTTAAACCGTTTTTTTTTTTTTTTTTTTTTTGGGGGGGGGGTAGGAAAAGTACGATTGTATTAATCTCTCTTCCTGAATATTTTAATGATGTCATTCGATAGTGGCGAACTGGGCAAACGGATTTAAGGGAGTTTTCCTCACGGGTCGTTGGATTTACTTACGTGAAGGCCGGTTGATTTGCGGTCTTATGGCCGGTAGATGTTTCCAACGGTTTGAGTGGGCCGGTCAATATCTTATAAACCGAGGCAAACTGCATCAAAAACAGTATTACATTGTGTATATATTATTTGTGATGTGTGTGTGTATGTATGTGTGTGTGTGTGTGGGGGGGGGGGGGGGGGTCGTTGGGCGCACATGCTCGTGTTTGAGACGCCACTGCCATTAATATAACATCTTCTTACTTGGAAGTTCTTGGTACATGCTGGAATCAACGATTCGCTGAGGATCCATTTATTGTAATCCAGTGCGTTGTCACCGACCTTTGTCAAACGAATATCCAGTCCCTCCTGATCAATGAGACGAATCTCGAGGTCCCCATACTCGACACCAAACATGTAATAGTACATGCTGAAGGTGCAGCCCCTATTCGCTTTCTTGTAGATGGGACTGACGAGTTTGGCAAATGTATTGATGGAGGAGATTGTTCCATCCACGTAGATATAGTGTCCTGGAGGGGGACAAATACAAAACTAGGAATAAGATATACATTCCTATACAATCTCATCTAAGCTAGGGTTGTCCCGGGCACTTTGCAGCGATTTTTCCACTTCAGAAACTGTTTGACAAGCAACAACAACAAAAATATAAATATATAATTAAATTTCATAAAGAGTCCATTTGTGAGTGCCTTTAAAAAAAAAAGAGAAAAAAAAGAAGAAAAAGAATGTTTAGAGCCTGAATGGCCTTAACTCTGTTGTGGTAAAGTCTATTGTTACGCGCTGTTATGGGGGTTGAAAAGGAGGATTAGATGGAGAAGAAGAATCTTCTGGGCGAATAGCCATCAGAAACGGTTAGAGAAGATAGAAATGTGGTGGTGCTGATGAAGAGAGAGGTATAGAAACAAAGCGTTATGGAACAGGGTGATCACCATTTTCACTGTATACATAAATCCTAGAGAGGGAGAGTAAGAGAGAGAGAGAGAGAGGGGGGGGGGAGAAAGAGGACGAGTGAGAGAGAGGGGGTAAGAGAGAGAGAGAGAGAGATAGAGAGAAAGAGAGAGAGAGAGGGGGAGAGGGAGGGAGAGAGAGAGAGAGAGAGAGAGAGGGGGGGGGGAGGGAGATAGTGAGAGAGGATTATTATTTATAAAACCGGTTGGGTAAAACGTGCTCGTTCGACAATTGATCCGCGTTCATTATCCCACACTCTCCTAATTCCTTACTTCAACCCTGAAACGAATTGATATACCTAACCATTACCCTAAACCTAACCCTATTATCTTCCACAATAGAAAGCCCAGATCAATTGTCGCCGCAGCAATGTGACTGTAGGAATGGTTGCCGCAGCAATTGTCGCCGCAGTAGTGTCGCCACAGCAATTATCGCTGGAGCAATTGGCGCCAGAGCAATAATTTTTGTCATCGGAGGAATGGTCGTCGGAGAAAAATTACCGCCAGAGCAAATATGGGATTTCCAGCATACCTGACGTTGAAGCCGTGGTATGATCATACCTAGGGCCATTGTAACTGTCTTCCATCTCAGGAGCGTTGAACCACGACCAGTCAAAATCATCTTTGACGTCTTGACTCCAGTAACACGTGCTCAGGATACCCACCGTATCGAAATCACAAGTAGAAGCTAAAACGAGAAATCGAGAATTCTAAAGTACAGCATGAGCCTGCTGCCCCAAATTATAATAATATGTCCATTTACATTTATATTAAACAGCAACATTTAAATATACTCTACTGCGCTTATCCGACGGTAGCCGAGCCGCCATTAAAAGGCGCTAAAGAATAAGGCAGTTTACAGATAGCACATGGTACAAATGACCCCAAATATCCACAGATCTTTTACACATGGAGAAGTTCCACTTTGAGCATATTAGAATAATAACTGCCCAAGTCCTAGATGTGCTTCATGAATACCTTTTGCTTGCCCTCTTGAAAAGAATACTTAACACCTGCGTATCATAGAATGTACCGTTGGTGCATAAATGAATAATGTTACATACTTTCAAGAGCGCATATCCAGTATTCATCTCTGTGGGTTGTAACTTTTTGGTACAAATGACTTTTATCTGCCCCTGCTCAGATTGTATCTGTAAACTCCCTTATTCAAGGAATTTCTTCCTATACCGGGTACCCATTTTTTTCTTACGCCTTGGTGGAAAGGAAAGCGTAGATAAATGTATTGCCAGAGGACGTCAGTGCAACGGCGGGACTCAAACATAATACATCCACTGTCCGGCGTAACAAGCATCAGCATTAATGTAAATTATGAGGTTTTGTTTATAATTATAATTAATATGTTTCTCTTATATTCTGTTCCAAAATGTGTTTATAAATTCTAAACCTCTAAATTACGGTTAAAAAATGAAAACAAAATCAGCATAGAAATATAAAATGTCACAGCGTTTTTTTTGTATAGCAATATATATATATATATATTTTGTGAATTACTTTTTTTTTTCAAGAGTTGTCTGATGTGGACAATTTTGTTTGTATTTGATTTGCCTTTAATTTGATTACGTTTTGCTACCATTCAACATGCTTCTATTTATGTTTTGTTCTTGTTTATTCAAATAATCTTACTATGCTTGTCAGTGCTTTATTTCTATTTCCTATTTGACGTTTTTTTTTAAAGATCCACGGCGTCAACAAATTAAACACCGAGATCGAGGAGAGAATGTATTTGTGATAAGATAACAACTTGGTGAAATTCTTACGGCAGTATAGTTCATCTTCGCCACCGACGGGACAGTCTGGATTGAAGTCACAGTAATACGATTCATCGATGCACTGATCTGTGTCACACGGTCGCATGCCGAGCTCACAATGATTTGCTGAGAGAAGCAACAAGAAACAAACAAACTTATAAATAATTATGTTGGTGGCACCCCTTCACCCGATATGCAAAGGACCACTGTGTTTAGATAGGCCTATTTAATCCACCGCGACAATTATTAATACAATAATGATGGATGATCCTCCATATTATTTTGTACGAAAAATAAAGTTTATATACGCATTTTTTTTTTATCCCAACATGTTTTTGACATATCTACTATTTGTTTCTGTTTTAACGGTGGTTGTGTTCCATTATATAGCAATAGCAATGACAATTTTCTTTTCTTTTGTTGTTAATGATCATTTTATGTAATCTTTACATAATTATTCTTAAGTGAATTTTGACAGTAAACTATGAACTTTGACCTTTGGACTACATCTTACGTTGGGTAGGGATCACGTCGGCAGGAGGTAGGGGCTCCTTTGACTCGACGCACTCTGGAGTAAAGGTGATGTCGTCCAGAGCTATATCGCCCAAATTACTCGACCCTCTCACTCCTTCAAATACCACCTGGAGTAAAGTAAGAGTCATAATATACTAGGTTTCAGTTGGAACACATTTATACATCGCTAAATATTATGTATCAATAATCATTTGATACTGTTTTCCCCATCAAAGCATTGGCATCCCCTTTCTTACACTTTGATAAACTCTTGTGTAAGCAATTCTTGTAGCCAACGCAATATGTAAAATAGCTTTAAGCATGCTGTCCTCTGAATCATTTCTTACAAGTCCCCATGTAAAGACATAATGTGCTAATACAGAAATGGACTCAAATTTCCCAGTAAGTATTTTCTGCTTAAGTACAAATTGCAATTTAGAGCATTCTGGATTAAAAGATAAAAAAAGAAACATCACTGAACGGTGACACTAAATTCGTCCCTATTTTCACGAAGTGACGGTAGTGAGGAAAATCGTAACGCAAAGTGAATGCAATTTTTTTTCACTACCGTCACTTCGTGAAAACAGCGATATTGAAGATTATTCCCCCACCTGGAAGGCGTCTTCACTGGCGAGTGGTACCCTCTAAAATAGGGTACCACTGTATTACTGTACTGCGCCATAGACGGGTCATCGGTCCACCAATCTTAGTCCAAATGTATTGTTTTGTTTTCTTCTCTTTTGTTTTTAACGGGGCTGAACGGGGCTGTATACATAAAAACGAAACATCACTGAACGGTGACACAAATTGAAGATTGTTCCCCCACCTAGAAGGCGTCATCACTGGTGAGAGTATACCATCTGACAGAGGGTACCACTGTATCATTGTATCATGGCTGGGTCACCGGTCCACCAATCTGAATCCAAATGTATTGTTTTTTCTCTTTTGTTTTTAACAGGGCTGAACGAGGCTGTAGGTAGTTTTATAATGAGGTTTTACTAACCTGGAAGGCATCTTCACTGGTAAGTGATACCCTCTGATAGAGCCAGTAGTTCCCATGGGCAGTATCACTGTACCACAGACGAGTCATCGGTCCATCGATCTTGGTCCGGGTGTACATGTTCAGGGTTCCAATCCCTGAACCTCGCATGTGGTGGTAGAAACGAATCTAAAAGAAAAGCAATACAATAATTATCCGAAACTTTTATTTCGTTTATTCTTTCCAATTTGCTTTCAAAATTTATTATATATTTTTCTAAGGAAACGTTGTATAATGTTCTACTCAAAAGAATAAGATACAAATATGATTATAATTGATGTACATATCTCCAGAAACACGGATGTAAAATCTCATACATTTATCAATGGCAAGACTTATTCTGGCTTCATGTATTGCATGATCGAGATCTGATGGACTCCGTATCGGGAGGGGAGAAGCCCCAGTAGGCAGTTCATATTCAGGAGTCACTCGTCCTGCATTGGGACAGTCCTTTAAAGAGATAGTTACCGTAAAGGATAGTTGTCCAGGTGTAGTTTAGAAATAGGAAGGTACTTGTCTTGCAGGGATGGATGCCTTATAGGGGACAGTCGTCATGAAGATATGGAAACTTGTCCTAAAGGTTTTTTTGTCCTTATTGTACGGAGATGAGAGTCAAGGGAATAGCTGTTCGGATATGAAAACAGAGGAGGAAGTCATACGGGTGATAGGATAGGATAGGCATAGGACCAACAAGGCCTGGAACTACAGAGAGGTCATATAGCTATCTACTTACCTCGCACCCTGATGAAGTAGGTTGTATGTAAAAGCTTCCGATTCTGTACGTGTCACCTGGAAATGCATCATCGACCTCAGTATAGATGAAATAACCTGATGATTTGAGAAATAAAGGCATTGACGTTGAATTTCCGCTGGTGTCATCCTTTAACAGATCAATTCACTGTCTTGCGATGTAAGCCTGTAACTGTCTAGTTTTGTGTTTCATACAATTTCATCAATTTCGTATTGTTCTGGTGGTGGATGTGTTGACTTCAATAGTATGGAGCCGTTTTTACGATGCCTATTAAAGCCAAACTGTCAGGAGTTAATTTCTAGGGACTAGGTTTCTAGTTTGGAGTTTAAGACCGTGTTTTTTAACCGTCTTCATAGGTACAGGTTATTGTTTGGTTAACAAGTAAAGCCAGGATGAAAAAAAATATAACTGTGCACTAATGCGTATGATTACATTTTCCTAGGTCAATATGTTTTAATACATCTGATAATAAAATATACTTAACAGGAAGAAGAAGAAGGACGAAAGGAGAAGCAGGATAATAATAAGAAGAAGAAGATGAGGAGGAGGAGGAGGGTGAGAAGGAGAAGAAGAAGAAGAAGATGATGTAATCATTTCCCCTCTTTGAAGCATTCTATTAATCTATTTTATCAAAGAAATACTCCTCATCTTATACTAATTATGATTATAATAACAATGATGATGGTGATAGTAATAATGATAATAATAATAATAATGATTATAAAAATATCGAGTATTTAGGAACTCTAAAAACGAAAAGCACAGTAGCGCTTAGAAAATAACAGAATGTGAAGGGAAACATGACATACATAGACTCTTAAAATAGTTTTAAAATGATCACATATATATTTTTATGAAGTGGAAAGGTCTTATCTTATCCTTACCGTTGTTACTAGCGGTAGTATGATCTATCCATGGACCAGTATTACCGGTACCCGTTCCACCGGTCTTTCTGGTCCAATCTAAAGTGTCATCAGTGAGCTGTCCCCAGTAACACATGCTCGTCTCGAAGTCACACATCGTGTAATCAGCTGAGATCGAAAAATGATTAGAACAAATATTATTAGTTCAACAGATTCATCTGGATAATTTCAAATTAGTTATTAGAAATTAAATTATTTGACGAGTACAAAAGCTAGTTTACCTGTTTGGACTATAGACATCGAAAGTGTCACAGGTGAACCTTTTGAATGTGTCATTGAATTACTTCTTGATGAGAAGATTGGTAATGAGATGTTACCAAGAGAAAGGTAACGGTGGCAGAAATTATTGAAGTAGTAGCAGTAGGAGTAATAGTGCTGTTGATGGTGGTGATAGAATTGGTGGTGGTGGTGGTGGTGGGGTGATATGGGGATGGTGATAGTGGTGGTCTTAGTAGTGGTAGTGGCGGTGGTTGTGGTGATGATGATGGTAGTTGTGGTGGTGGTGGTGGTGGTGATGGTGATGGTGATAGTGGGGTGGAGGTGGTAGTATTGGTTAAGGTGGTGGTGGTGGTGGTGTTGTTGATGATGATGATGGTGGTGGTGGTAGACTGGTGGTAGTCATAGTAACATACCGCAATTTTGGGTCGACTCGTCCGTGCCATCACAGCAGTTTGGTGTATAGTCACATCTCTCACTCTTAGGATAACAATGCCCCGAGTCGCACGTCTCCTCTGTATCGGCATCACACGACCCCCCTGGTGGTAAAGGGAGGGTATACGCACACCCCTCGAATCTTAGATCGTCAATTGCGTAACCTCCCGTGTTCGAGTAGTCATATCTGTCCTTTGCTTCAATCGAAAGCTAGAAGGATAATGAAAGTAGAAAGTTTGTATCATCAGAGAAAGAGAGAGAAATAGAACGAGCAGTTATGTTTTAAAGTCGACTTGCAACATTTATATGTCATGCCATGTGTGTCATTATCACAGTCATATCATATCATAATATCCCCATAATGTTCTGACTTTCACATATGGCATTTGAAAACGTTTGTAGCTTAAATACTACATCTAATTTAATATCTTATATCCAGTGGCCTATCCAGCATCGAATGGGTCGGCGTATGCCCCCCCCCCTCTTTTGAAGGCACATGGAAGTAGATCAAATCATGTCCGGACTCATTACCCTCCCCCCCCCCTCCCCGACTCCCTTGCCTCCCCACCTCATGAATTTCTGAACATACCACTGGTTTAAGATGTATGCCTTGTGATGTGTGCACGAGGCGTCATTACCCTGACGTAGTGCTGCGTCAGTGATGTCAATGACGCAACATGTTACAGTGACATCACAAAGCGATTTTATAATAATCAATGCGAACAATGCGTTAAAGTATTGGCGCACGAGCTAATTGTTTTGCAAAGGCTTGATCAGCGAAGGTAATGACGCAATCGAAATAAAATGACGCCTTGTGCACACCACCAAAGGGCACCAAATCTGACCTGAAAGTTTTCAGCGCAAGCTTCCACTTGGACTTCGTACAGGTTCCATCGATCCTTGGTGGACTTGTCTTCGCCGATATCGACTACGGTCATGAGGTTGTAGTTTCGGTCGTTCGATGGGGTATACTGGAGAACCTTCAGGGTACCCATATCCACGCCGTAGGCGTAGTACCACATGGAGAAGATGCAACGTCGGGCAGCCATCTGGTAGGTTGGGCTACGGATGATGGCTTTTTGATCGACTTCGCTGTAGGTGTCGTCAATGTAGAGATAGTGACCTGCCATTAAGGTAGGATGTCAATCGAAATAGAGATGATTGTGACACTGAATGTGGCTACTCTTTATTCTCACTTTCTCAGGGAGACGGAAATTTTAAATGAATATTGAAAAAAGAAATGACCGAATCAATCAATCAATCAATAAATAAATACGTACATAGATATCTGAATATATGTAAAAATACGTTAACTAAATGAAAAAATAAATGTATTAATAATTAAATAAAATTACAATAAATAAATTGCCTTTATGCTTATCGAGCTTATCAACGACGTAATGTTCTTTATTTAAAGATAGACATTATGTCACCATCATCATCGTCATTACCATATTCATTTCTCTTTCTCCTCATCCTCATTATCATTATCATCATCATTGACATCTTCAAACAAAATATTTTACAATGTTGCAAACTGAGAAAAACTGCAAGTTAGTGAAATTGGCTGAAAATCGTGATTTGTTTGAAGATGAATTTCACAATTAATGATTATGGTTTAAACAAAAAATCATAATTACGAGTTTGACTCTTTTTTCTACTTCCACAAGTGGGGCTTGTTTTAAACAGACAGTTCTACTAAAATATTCAAATTGTATGCATACTTTTTTTTTGATGGACCTCTAGAAAGAATAGAGCCATTTTAATAATGGCTCTGAATAGATTATTCCAGCCGCTTTTAATTCATGACTTGTATTATATTTGTAAATTGTATTCTTGTATGTATCTAAATTTTGTATACGGAAAATAGAACCAAACTAAACAAAACAAATCAAAACAAAACAAATACTTGGCCGAAGCTTGCCCAATATAGCAACGAGTAATATACGCAGATTGGGTTCCGATTATTGTAGTTAATTAATTATAGCTGTCCCCAGGAAAGAAACATTTATAAATTTGAAGATATTAGTAAACCGGTCTATTGCGAGGGACCTTGTTATTCAAATACGTTAAGGGGCTTGATTTTTGTATTTTGTTTTAAATTTTTGTAACGAATGACTTATTTTAAGCCATGTTCTATTTATACCTAATAATTATCAACTATGTTACTTAGGGACGTTGCACTTCAAACATTTTTTGTTTATGCATTGTTCCTACTATGTATTATATATATATCAATGTGACCCACTGTATTCTATCATCTGTAAACAGTTATTTTACATGGTGAATAAAACAAACAAACAAACAAACAAACAAACCTTTGAGCAAATCGCCATTCTTATCTCTCGAAATGAACGACTCTGTCAACAATTCGAAATGTACCATGACACTGCATGATACCCTTAACTTATGATATCTTATCTTCATCCATGGAATGTAATGGGACACATACAGATAAATGGGTGCTGTCATTGCTTATTATACCCGTAACAGATACATACATTATAATTAATGTGTGAATATTACACTTTGTGTGTTTACATTTGACTAATGTGCATCGATACTGAATCAGAGACAAACATAGCATTTGCCAACGACGGAAAAAAGTACAGATTATTTTTTTTAAAAGTACAAATCAAGGCACTTTATGTTCTATACAAATTTAATTTGTTTAAGTGGTGACAATAAAAAATTGAAAAAAACTCGAACTTTCCCAAGAGTGCAGTGGGTTCTTAACGCAGATAAAGAATGTGAAATGTGCTCTCAAGAAATAAATTATCATCATCATCATTAGTATAAGAGGCTGCTTGTAAGTATCGGCTTGCATGGTGATGTAGATATACAGTAGGCTTGCGGGTGCACCATGTGAGAGAGACGGAGGATTGAGGAGTCCTGATTGAGGAGTCCACTCCTGACGACGGATAGTCAACCTGTTCGAAACGTCGAGCCACTCCCGCCACCCATCCTCTCCAAGCGCTATAGTTCTCCTTAGAACACTAGTATAAGCTAAGAAAGATAACCAACAGTCTTTTTCAAGACAACACCAACAGTCTTTTTCAAGACAACACCAACAGTCCTTTTCAGGACTACACACCCTCAAGAAAGTCCTTTTCAGGATGCCTCAATCCTCCCTCTCTCTCACATGGTGCACCCGCAAGCCTATACTGTATATCATTGGTATTATTATCGTAATCACCATCGTCATCATCATCATCATCATCATCATCATCAGTATGATGAAATATTTTAAAATCCTATCTGCATTAGTTTGGCTAGGAGGGATTAGATCTCCCTGTATGGTCACTGACATGTGGTTATCTCATCAAATCAGCTCTCAATTAACATTAAAAAAGGGGACCATTGGGGATCAACGTTCACCGCTTAGGCATTGTTTGCTATACAGAGGGCGCAAGTAGCTATAAGTAGTGCAGTGGGGCTTTAAATGAGGCCAGAACAAAGACTTACCGTTAACACTGTTTAGGGTGTGGTCGGCTCCTGGACCGTAATACCACTCGGGTTCATTGTTCATGAACATTGTCCAGTTCAGATCGAGACTCGCATCATGATACCACTCACACAAACCAGCCTCAAAATCACATGTCGCAGCTAGAGGGGGAGATGGGGAGATGGAGGGGGAGGTGGAGAGAGAGAGAGAGAGAGAGAGAGGGAGAGAGAGAGAGAGAAATATAGAGAGAGAGAGAAAGAAAGAGAGAGAGAGAGAGAGGGAGAGCAAAAAGGAGAGATGGTGATAAAGAAAGGAAGGAGGGAGATAGAGATAGAGAGAGAGAGGGGGTGAGAGTAAGGGAGAGATAATGACAGAGAACGAGAAATAGATCATTATTATGATGATGAACATGATGAAAAAAGATTGAGAGAGAGAGAGAGAGAGAGAGAGAGTGAAAAAGAAAGAAAGAAAAAGAGAAGATAGAAGATAGAGTGAGACAAAAGTGGAAAGAGGATAAGAGATATATCTGATTTATAAAACTGAGTTTCACGAATATAAATTATGAAGAGTAAATGTAATAAAGAAAACACAAATAATATAGAAATTTGTTTTAGAAAACTGTGAAACATGCCAAAATGGTTCTAAAGCACTGAACTAGTTTTAAAGTCGATAATTTCCGGCTCCAAATCACTGCTCCATTTCCAATTGTACATCTTCAAAACTGAATTGATGATTTTCGTAGATTCAATTTCTAATTTACTCATCGTACATAGATCTATAGTCAGAAAATGTTTTTTTTTTTTTTTTTTTAAATATTTCAAGTTTATGTGTTATAGAATAGTAATTCAGAGGATATAATTATAGCCCCCCCCCCTCTCCCCCTAAACAAAAACAACAAAAAAATTGTCATAAATACGTGTTGTTTCACTTTCAGACATTTGTTCTCATATTATTCAACCCAAACTCCATACATCAAGACTAAAATAACTCGACTCATGTAAAAGTCATTACTTACGACACGTGCTTTCATCGAGGCCGTCAGAACAGTCTTCCCTGAAATCGCACACGTTTTCGTCGTCGATCACCAGCCCATCGGTACATGTGTAGCCTTGGACTGGATACGAACATGAAGAAAATCATACCAACATAAAACATGGAGCATAAATACAGAAATCATGTACATCCCGATGCAGAATCATTATCATTATTATTATCATTATTATAATTATTCTTCTTCCTCTTCTACTGCTACTTCTGCTTCTCCTCTTCCTCCTCGTCCTTCTCCTTCTCCTTCTTCTTCTTCTTTCTTCTTCTTTTCCTTCTTCTTCTTCTTCTTCTTCTTCTTCTTCTTCTTCTCCTTCTTCTTCTTCAGTCTTCTTTTTACATATTATGTAAGGTGTAGAAATTAAAAAAAGATAGATTGCTTAACTACACGTCAATGAGGTGGCGGGTGCCCTATGGTAATTTCAAAATTCTCGAAGGACGCTGCAGCCCCAGTCCCCGGTCCCCAGTCCCCAGTCCCCAAGCCTCTATCCCCTGCCTTACTTTTAAACACAATGATACCAAACAATACATGAGAATCGAGGATAAACATGGCAATTCAAGGGCATTTGCTATTTTAAGGAAAAAATCATTATATTGAGAGTAATAATAAGTAACTCACCAGATGTAATATAGAGTATCAAAAACAATCCCGTCAAATACAACTTCCTATTTTCCGCCTTCATTATTTCCGTTGAGTATTTTTTTCCAGGACTAATTTCCACTGTAGCTATTTCCACACAGAAATCACAACGCGTTTTATCTTTCTGGTTGTATATATAAAGTAATCTCACTCAAAAGTTTGCAAAGATAATCCACACACGGTTCAAGAATCAAGGTTTGTTTAATTACTATCAACCCTGATTGTTTGTTTTCAAATGAGAGGATAATTATGGTTATCATTTAGAGCATGCAAACTTCGGTTGCTAATTTGTAGCCTATCAAGATGAAAACAAAAACAAATGTAAATAAGATTACATCCTAATGAAGTTCATTCGCATATCGGATGAAGCTTTGATTGAAAAAGAGAATAGTGAATAATAATTATGAAAGAATGTAAAATATTTATCTCATTTAATTTATTAAAATGAAGAGTTACTTAGTCTTAGACATCCCCATTGTACATCTCTCTCTCTCTCTCTCTTACACACACACTATTTATATATCTGTTTCCTCCTCTCTCTTAATTTTTGTCTTTCTTCTTCTCCCTCTGTCTGTCTCTCATTTCTCCCAGAACTCTCTTCTCCCCCTTCTCTCTCTTTCCTTTACTCTCTCTCTCTCTCTCTCTCCGTCGATCACCTCTACCATTCTCGCTCTTCTTTTTTTGCAATCCAAACTATCCTACGACAATGAGAGTCAATTAAAGTAAAGTTCGTAATTAAACACTGATGGTATACTCTGTTTGTCTTGATACACCTTTAGACTGTCTTTATCACACAAATTATCAAACAAGAGTTAAACAAAACATTTGAAGAGGTGATATGCAATGTGAATTGCAACAACCCACTTTATGAGTATGAAAACACGTTATCGAAATTATTTAGATTAAATTCAAATGGACACGATGATGTGGGGTGGTATCAGGCGCGGATCCAGGGGGGGGGGGCGAGCAGGCCTTGCCCCCCCCCACAAAACAGAGAGAGAGAGAGAGAAGAGAGAGAGAGAGAGAGAGAGAGAGAGAGAGAAGGAAAAGAAGGGAAAGTGAAAGAGGAGAGAAAGGGAAAGAAAGGAGAGAAAGAAGAAAAGAAAGGGGGAAGAAAGAGATCGGGGGGCCAAAAGGGTCTTGCCTCCCAGGCTGTTGCGTCTCCCCCCCCCCCCCCATCACAAAATAAGAGAGAAGGAAGGAAGGAAAGGGGAAGAAAAAAAAAGAGGACATAAAGGGAAGGAAATAAGAGGAAGAAGAAAAGAAACGGGTGAAAAGAAGGGGAGATCAGTTGTGATTAGTCCTGCTAACAACTTGTGGATCGGGGGGGGGGGGGAGCGAAAAGCCCTTGCCTTCTCCCAGCAAACCTAAAGAGAGAGAAGGAAGGGAAGGGAAATGGAAAGAGGAGAGAAAGGGAAAGAAAACGAAAGAGAAAGAAGAGAGGTAGGGAAGATCAGTTGCGATTATTCCCGCCAACAAGGTGTTGATCTGGGGGGGGGGGATTTGCCATCCCCAATACAATTCGATACCGGTGATTTACAAATGTTGCTGAAATTTGTAATTTTCCGAGATTTTCCTCACTTTTTAGTAAATTATACTTTTTTATGCGTTTGTTGGATAATGACAAATTCCTAAATTTACAGTCAGACAAGAAATATGATGATTTAGAGGCCTACATGTCAGGGTCCGCGGAACGGCGGGGCACGAGAGCCTTGAGCTCCCCATCCCCCCCCCCCCGCATTTTGTTTGACAAAAGTATATTAAAGAGAAATGGAACGAATGAGAGAAAGAAAGAAAGAATAATGACCTGTCAGTGTCACAAAATAATGGCGTATCAAAATATGCTCATTTGGCCGTGATTAAAAAATTTCCCTGGACTACACCTAGGGCCCTAATGTGGCCCCTATATGCTCATATGCCTAAAACCCCTGAGCTCCTGGGGGCCCTCCCCCTGGACCCGACGCCAATTAATGTCCTGCCAGCTATGTCACAAATAAGGAATCAAAATATGCTCATCTGACGGTAATTAAACGCCTATAACCCCTGCGCTTCTGGGGGCTTTAGCCTCTGAACCCAACCAATGGCCCTAAGGCGGGCCCCTAGACACTTATATGACGGTTATTTTATGCCTATAACCCCTGAGCTCCCGGGGGCCTTCCCCTGGACCCGGCGCCAATTAGTGTCCTGCCAGCTGTGTCGCAAATAAGGTATCAAAATATGCTCATCTGACGGTAATTAAATGCCTATAACCCCTGAGCTTCCGGGAGCTGTAGCCTCTGAACCCAACCAATGGCCCTAAGGCGGGCCCTTAGACGCTCATGTTACGCCACTGCTGGTCACCATTACATATTAATATTTTGCTTCCATTATTTCAAATTTAGGCCCCCCCCCCCTAAGAAATCCTGGATCCGCACCTGGGTAGTATTTATTGTTTTCTGGCATATTGTACGTAATTTGCGCATTGGCGGATTGGGGTCCTTGAGTTCAGAACAGGAAAGTAAATAAATTAGGGAAGCATGAAATCATTTTTTAAATCAGTAGTAATAATATGTCTCGATCAAGTTTACAATTATTACTTACCAATTACGACTGACGAAACGAAATTCAATCTATTTCTTGTCATTCCGCCCTTAACATTAAAATTCAAACAGTGAAACACAGGGTTGTGTCACTCACTACCATCATCATCATCACTATCATCATGATCACCATCCATCATCATCATCCTCATCATCATCACTATCATCATCATCACCATACACCATCATCATCATCCTCATCACCATCACTATCATCATCATCACCATCATCAAAGAAATATGGTAACAGTTAGGGTTACAATAATTGATCATTTGAAAGGTTTAGGGTTAGGGTTAGGTTTGGTCTTTGGTCCAGGGGTGAAGACGTTTGGAATTCGGGTGGTGTAGGAAATCAACTGCGGAGCAATAGTCGCCGGAGCATGTGTCATACAACCAAATCTCTAAAAACGCAGGCGGGGGTCATGGAAAATCATAGGGGGGGGGGCAATCTCTCTCCTGCCACCATAAATTGCTACTCCTGATCCTGCATACACCAATACTTTTGGATTGTTTGTTTGTTTATTGTATTACTTTCAACGATGATCTAGAATTTTACAACTCACTTGATTTGATTTGATTTGATTTATTTATTTCTGTTTGATTTTCTTTTTCTTTTGCATTTTAACAAATATATAACAAACAAACATTGCAAATTTACACATGACAAAATAATATATGTAGAATAAAGTAAGGCTGGATGTAACTTAGCTTGTTTTTATTAATCTTTTGTAATTACTAGTAAGTAAACTTTCATTTTGTAATTGTATATTGATTATGTGTACATTTGAGGAATTTGCAATAATTACTTTCTTACTCATTTCGTACTTGTGTACTGAAAATAATCTAACGTTGTGGATTCTATTTCAATTCCATTTCAATAAATAATTTGATTTGATATAAATTACACAATACTTACTGGGAGGCACAGTTGGTATTTCAGGGAGACTCTCTGCAGCTGGCACACATTCTGGTGTTAAGCTGATATCATCTAGAGCCATATCACCGTCTGTCGTCGTACCTATACTACCTTCTATGATAATCTGAAATAAGAATAAGAATAATGATGATAATAATAATAATAATGTTTTTCTTATTATTGTCATTATTATTATAATAATAATGTTTTTCTTAGTATTATCATTATTATTATTATTATTATCATTATTATTATTATTATCATAAGTATTATTAGTATTTATCGTTATTGTTATTAGTATTATTATTATCATCATTAATATTATTATCATTATTATTATTATTATCATTATCATCGTCATCATTTTAATCATCATCAATACCATTACTATTAATGCAAGTTAAAAGTTTAGTTTTTTTAATGTTCACTAATTTGCCCCATATTTGTTCAAATTGAATAAAGATTATGGTGGAACGTACCTGATAGTCGACAGTGCTCTGGATGTCTAGTGTTTGGAAGAACCACTCGTCGCCTAGATTACGTGACATGGACCATACTTTAGTGAGAGGTCCATTTACTTGTGTCCTGGTATAAACAGTCATTGTACCCATACCGATTCCACGCATGTGATAAAAAAACCTCATCTATGTAGAGAAAAACACACCATGTAGACATGTCAGTGGCACATTGAGCATAGGGTTAGGGCCGGCATACACTCCTCTCCCCGTTTGTAAGCCCCCCCCCCCCCCAAAAAAAAAAATAAATAAATAAATAAATAAATAAATAAATAAATAAATAAATAAAAGAAGAAGAAAAAAAAAAAGGACGTTCCCTCCCTGGTCATAATAATAGAGGTGTTTGGCATTAAAATGATTTAGAAGGGTAGCATATCAATTGATTAAAAAACTGACAAACCAAGAAAGGAAGTCATATGGGTATAGAGGGAGCTTTAATGAAACACATGTTCAGCGTTGATATAATAAGCCTCCTTAAAATTGCCCTGTTTAAGAGGAAGTTTTACAATCTGCATAATCCTCGTTTATTTCTTAATAGAGGGGAATGACTGCATAAGTTCCCAATTTTCCTTTTAAGATAAAAGGACTACTTTGACATTTAGGAACAGTCGTAATCATCTTAACAAAAGAATAAAATGACTGGGGCCCAGTTACTTTAACAATTGCGATTAATTCAAATTGATTGCAACTTGATATTAGTCTTAATCCTGTACTAAAGAGATTTGTGTTTTTAAGATTGCGATTAATCGTAGAACTTGCGAACAATCGCCACTGTTTGAAGAACCAGAGGCAGAAGTACAGTCGCCAGACTTACCGAACACACGCTGATACGTGATCCCGTAATTGTAAAACTAGCAAGTCTTGCTCTTTCTCCCAACTTCTTAGGGTTACTTGCTTCCGTGTAGATGTAATAACCTGAAATTGCGAGTTTGAAAGGAATCACGTGAACATTCAGAAACATATAGCCAGGTAGATTTAAAAAAATGTACGATATGAAATGATAAAACGTACGGTACACAAGTAAGCCTATTGACAAGGAAAAAAAAATCATCACCATCATTATCATCATCATCATCATCCTCACCATCGTCATCATCATCACCATCACCATCGTCATCATCATCACCATCACCATAGTTATATCATAATTATCATTTAAATTTAATTCCGCACTCTGTTAGCAAATTTTAGCCCATTTTTCTCGTTTACTTTGTAGGCGTTTTCGCATAGGAAGCACCCCATGAGAAACGAAATAACACAATGATAATACTATCGTCAGGATCACCATGATTATCATTTTCACAATCTTCATTAAGGTTAGTAAGTCATGGTATTGATTTTTGTTTTTCAGTCTTTATATTTTTAAATCCGAGAGACATTTTTAGACGTTTCGTCAGTGCCGAAGTTGTGGCCCCCGTTTAAAGACCTATACCTACGTCGGTTCCAAACGTGTGTTCCACATTTTTAGACCTGTACCTTCATCTGTGCCAAAGGTGTGGTCCACGTCAGGCCCTGTTCCTTCGCTGGATGTATCCCCTTGATTCCTCCTCCAATCAAACTCATCGGTGGTCAACTGCTCCCAGTAACAAAGGTCGATCTCAAAGTTACACAGGGAGTAACCCAACTGACCTAGCAGGAAAAAAAGACAATCAAACACTCACCATACTGTTATGCTCTTTGAAGAAAAAAAATACAATGAAATTATACTTTTAAAAGAATCGTACACGTTTACACTTGTAAATTTCCCCCTTTGGACTGTAAACCATATACTACATGTCCTTGGTGGGTTTTTTGTTTTGTGAAATAAACTTTCGTTTCTGTTTTATCATATTAATATGTAAATAACACACATTTTTAATTGCTGTTTATGTATAATAAATCTTAATTTTATGAAGAGAATTATGAGCTATATACAAAAAATAAGATTACAACTGATGAAAGAATAAAACGGAGTTTTATGAAGTGCTGTCTAAAAAATTTGAAATAGATATACTGTACTTGAAATCGAAATTTGAAGAATAATGACAATAAAAGGAATCGGAAAATGAGACGCAACAATAAATTACAATATAAAAAATGAATCAAATTTAATGTATGAGGCCGGAAAATAATAAACGATTAAGAAGGAGAGACAGAGAAAGCAGAAGGAAACAAGGTGTGGTAGTGAAGGATGAGTGTGGTAGATACATTGCAAAGAAGAATAAAAAAGGGGAGAAAGAAAATAAGTGGAATTTAAAGAGAAGTAGAAGAATGTATAGAAGATAAGATAGTGATTAGAAAGGAAATGGAAAATGGAAATAAATGAAACGATATTTACTGCATGTTTGAGGGTCCTCATCCGACATATCACAGCAATCTTGAGTGAAATCACACTGGTTCTCGGCCGGGTAGCACTCGCCTGCATCGCACTGAGCTTGTAAACCACAAGAGCCAGAGTCTACCTCTGGCGGGTAGTAACAGTCTTTCAAGGCGATGTCGTCGACCGCGAAACCGCCCTCGGTAGGTAGGACTTGTCGGTCTTCGGCCTCGATGACGATCTGGACAGTCATGACAAGGAGAATTATTGGGCCAATGATATAGTAAAGCGATGTCCTGTTTTATTCACAGCTTACACAGAGCAAGAGAACTATATGCTAAAGTTTAAACCGTTTTTTTTTTTTGGGGGGGGGGTAGGAAAAGTACGATTGTATTAATCTCTCTTCCTGAATATTTTAATGATGTCATTCGATAGTGGCGAACTGGGCAAACGGATTTAAGGGAGTTTTCCTCACGGGTCGTTGGATTTACTTACGTGAAGGCCGGTTGATTTGCGGTCTTATGGCCGGTAGATGTTTCCAACGGTTTGAGTGGGCCGGTCAATATCTTATAAACCGAGGCAAACTGCATCAAAAACAGTATTACATTGTGTATATATTATTTGATGTGTGTGTGTATGTGTGTGTGTGTGTGGGGGGGGGGGAGTCGTTGGGCGCACACGCTCGTGTTTGAGACGCTACTGCCAGTAATATAACATCTTCTTACTTGGAAGTTCTTGGTACATGCTGGAATCAACGATTCGCTGAGGATCCATTTATTGTAATCCAGTGCGTTGTCACCGACCTTTGTCAAACGAATATCCATTCCCTCCTGGTCAATGAGACGAATCTCTAGGTCCCCATACTCGACACCAAACATGTAATAATACATGCTGAAGGTGCAGCCCCTATTTGTTTTCTTGTAGATGGGACTGACGAGCTTGGCGTATGTATTGATGGAGGAGATTGTTCCATCCACGTAGATGTAGTGTCCTATAGGGGAAAAAAAGATAATAACATAAAATTAACTTTTAAAAAGAGTCCTTTTATGGGTACCATTTCAACAAAATCTTAGGGCCTGAAGGGCCTTAACTCTGTTGTGGTAAAGTCTATTGTGCTAAGTTTCTCTTTGACGCGCTGTCATTGAGGGTTGAAAAGGAGGATTAGATGGAGAAGAAGAATCTTCTGGGCGAATAGCCTTCATAACGGTTAGAGAAGACAGGAATAGGGTAGTGCTGATTGAGAGAGTTATAGAAATAGAGCGTTATGGACGAAGATGATCACCGTTTTCACTGTATACATAAAGCCTAGAGAGGGAGAGTGAGAGTGAGAGAGAGAGAGAGAGAGAGAGAGAGAGACAGAGAGAGATAGAGATAGATAAAGGATCACTATTTACCAAACCGGTTGCCTGAAACGTGCTCGTTCGACAATTGATCCGCGTTTATTATCCCACACTATCCGAATTCCTAACTTCAACCCTGAAACAAAATGATATACCTAACCATAACCCTAAACCTAACCCTATCATCTTCGACAATAGAAAACCCAGATCAATTGTCGCCGCAGCAATGTGATTGTAGGAATGGTTGCTGCAGCAATTGTCGCCGCAGTATTGTCGCCACAGCAATTATCGCTGGAGCAATTGGCGCCAGAGCAATATTTTTTGTCATCGGAGGAATGGTCGTCGGAGTAATCATCGCAAATATGGAATTGCCAGCATACCTGACGTTGAAGCCGTGGTATGATCATACCTAGGGCCATTGTAACTGTCTTCCATCTCAGGGGCGTTGAACCACGACCAGTCAAAATCATCTTTGACGTCTTGACTCCAGTAACACGTGCTCAGGATCCCCACCGTATCGAAATCACAAGTAGAAGCTAAAACAAGAAATCGAGAATTCTGAAGTACAGTATGAGCATAATTATACTGCTTCTAAATAATAATAGGCCTTGTAATTAATATGTGCGTTCACATGACAACACATCAACTATTATACAAATATACACAGCCTTGAGAGGTTCTGGTTAAAACTATGCGCAAGAGGTGACTCCAATAGTACTATTTGCTGAGGGGCGCAGCCCCGAAGCAAATGGTACTTTTGGAGTCACCGAGGCCCATAGTTTAACCAGTACCTCGAATAGAAGGCATGGTATATTTTTTTTATATCCTGCATCAAAAAATTATAAAAAATTATAAAAAAAAAAAACATTTTTGGGAGAAAAAAAATTTAGAACAAAAAAAATGTCAATTTTTATCTAAAAAGATTTAAAATATTTTGATTATTTCATTAAATTAAGATTTGAAGAAAAAAAATTGATTCAATTAAAAAAAAAAAAAAAAAATCACATTTTTTTTAAACTCCCAAATAGTAAACCAAAATAGTACTCTCATATAGTACTTTCTAAAAATAGGTCAAATATTTTTGGTCATGTGACGAGCTCTCAACCAATCAAAAGCCAACAACTTTTTGATGCAGGATATAAATAAATATACTCTACTGCGCTTATCCGGCTGTAGCCGAGCCGCCATTAAAAGGCGCTAAAGAAATCAAGGAATTTCTTCCTATACCGGGTACCCATTTTTTCTTACGCCTGGGTGGAAAGGAAAGTGTAGATAAATTTCTTGCCAGAGGACGTTAGTGCTATACTATGGTGGGTCTCGAACATATGATCCACAGTCCGGTGTAACGGGCATCAGCCATAATGTAAAATATGAGGTTTTGTTTATAATAATTATAATTTGTTTGTTTGTTTGTTTGTTTTATTTCCGTATAAAAGACATCATGCATTCAGTAATATAATAACAAATAGAATAATGAATAACAAGATAAAATAAACGGCTGGATAGCCCATATTCAGCGGTATCATTATGATACCGCTGGTCTTCCATGGGGACCAGAAATGATACAGTAAAACAATACAATAAATAACAATATACATTAACAAACGACAAAGAAAAACGACAAAGAAAAATGGCAAAACATAAATTCTCAAGCAAAATATAGTAAGAAATTAAATATCCAGGACAGACAGTATAGAGAAAAGAAACTGGTATTTATAGAAAGAGAATTGTGTGAAGTAAACTTATAAACAACTCAAAAGTCTCTTGAATGACGACAATGTATTACAGTTGCGTAAGGCCAATGGTAATCCGTTATACAATACTGAGCCTCTATATACAAAGGTTCTTTTACAGTAATTTGTCCTGGGTTTAGGAAGGGCAAGATTAAATTGACTACCAAGTGAGTATCTAGTAACTCTAAAAGAAACATTTTCATTTATATAATTAGGAGTCAGGCCATGCAGTATTTTAAACATCATAACGTGCATGTGTTTAGTACGCCGTAGGGACAAAGTATCCCATTTTAGGATATCATGCAATTGTTGATTGGATATATATGACTGCCGATTTATCTTCAAAATGATCCTCCCCGCTCTATTCTGTATTTTCTGTAACCGATCAAGATATTTATCAGAAGATGACGACCACACATTGTCTGCATACTCAAAATGCGGGAGAATAACAGATTGATATATAATTTTCAAATTAGTTTCATTTACATAATGTCTCAATCGACCAAGAAATCCAACCATTTTTCCAATTTTCTTACACATGTTTTCAATATGAATTTTCCATTTCAATTCTGAGTCAATGATTACCCCTAGGTATTTTGTGTTATGCATTTGGATTATATCTCTCCCTCGAACTTTCAAAACTAATTTATCTTGTTTTTTCAGCAAATTTTTTGTTGCAATTAACATACCCACGGTCTTGCTGTAGTTAATCTTCAGTTTATTCCGAGATATCCATGTATCTAATCGAGCTAGTTCCTCGTTGAGAACTGACTGTACAACAGATGGATTCTTATGGGAGTAATATAACACAGTGTCATCAGCATATAGATGTATTTTACATTTTTCAAAAGAATGAGGCATATCATTAATAAATATGACAAACAATAAAGGGCCTAGTAGAGAGCCCTGCGGCACCCCACCAGTCAATGGTAATGCATCAGAAACTACATCATTAATACAAGTCACTATCTTTCGATCAACCAAATAGCTCCTGAACCATTGAAGCGATTCACATGTGACGCCTAATAGTAAGAGCTTTTGTAACAGTATATCAGTATCCACCAAATCAAATGCTTTTTGTAGATCAACAAAGACTGACCCTGTGTATTGTCCCTGGTCCATTGCGTTTAACCAGTCGTCGGTCACCTTGACAAGCGCAGTACACGTTGAATGTTTCTTTCTGAAACCAGATTGGTGAGCAGATATAATATCGTTTACATTTAAGTGTTGAATGAGTTGTTTCTGTATCATTCTTTCAAGAAGCTTTGAGATGCATGGCAATAACGAAATGGGCCTATAATTATCTGGGTTATACTTGTCACCCTTCTTATACAACGGTATAATTTTTGCTATTTTCCATACGTCAGGCACAACCCCATCTCTGATTGATTTATTTATCAAATATGTTATTGGTTTAATAATTTCATCAGCAGCTAACTTAAGAATAAATTGAGAAATACCATCTACTCCAACCGATTTTTTATTTGGGAATTTCCTTAATTCGTTTAATACCTCATCTTCGGTAACAAAAGAAAGTTTAAAATCTTGTTTTAGATTGGGCGATACTGGATTGTCCAGTCTAGAATTTACATCTTGCTCTGACGAATCGTCATTCAAAGTGTCAACAGCGACATTTGCAAAATGGCTATTAAATTTGTTTGCTGTTTTCAAGACATCTCCTTCAATAATAGGAATAGACGATGAAGAGCGACTGTTAGGGACTATGGTTGACAACAACGTCCAAGATTTACTACGATTTTGATTTCCAGTTAAATTTTCACAGTAATATTTACGTTTAGCTTTTCTAATTTCAGCTGTAACTTTATTCTTTAATTTCTTGTAATTTTTCCACAATTCACCATCTTGTTTTGACTTTGCTTTGTCTTTCGTTTTGTCCCTTTCATCCATAAGACTAAATATAGGTTCATCTATCCATGGCGAATGTTTCTTCCTTACTCGCTTTGTCTTTAACGGCATGTGTTTATCCACAACTTCCAACAGCAGCTCTTCCCATTTACACACAGCTTCATTCAACTCATCAATACGTTCTATAACCTTCCAATTATTATTTTGTAAGTCAGACTTAAATAGTTCATTATCAATCCCTTTTGATTTTCTAAAAGTAACATATTTTACAGAACTTTGTATCTGAGGAGATTTCCATATCAAATAACTCATGGAATGGTCGCTCAAACCATTATGAATTACACCAAATGACTTAACTTTTTCATCATAATTAGTTAACATGTGATCAACCAAAGAGGCACTATTGTTAGTTATTCTTGTATATTCGGCCGTATTGATTTGGTTCATACAATATATATCATTGATTTGAATATATTTCTTGGTTGCACCTTCTAATGGGATTTTCAAAGTATTACAGTTTATATCACCCATAACAATAATAGGAAAATTAAGACCATTGGCATACACTAAAAAGTCTTCATAATCAGTGAGTATCTCCGCTTTAGAATTCGGAGGTCTGTACCAATTAAAAAATACAATGGGACTGGCGTTTTTCTGCCGTATCAATAATGCAATTGCTTCCATTCGCGATAATGAACTATGTTTCAAAACTTCATATCCCAAGCTTTCATGAATATAGGTCAGTACACCTCCACCGTTTCTATTACGGTCCTTACGGATAACATTGTAGTGAGGTATCTGGATTTCACACTCGAATATATTGTCATCCAGTCTAGTTTCATTCAAAGCAAAAACATGTATCACATTTTCACACAAAATAGCCTTAATTTCATCATAATATTTTAAAAGACTAACAACATTCAGTTGTAAAAATTTCAAACCTTTACCGCATAGTTCATTATATTTCACACTTTTACTTGAAACATGAGGATAGATGTTTGCCATACATTAAAACAAAGAAACACAAATATAACAAAAATATAATATAAATACTCCTTATAAAAGATAAAATATAACAAATATATCAACGATTCTGTATTGTGCACACCACAACAAGACGCATGAAGTTTAACCAACATTAATCATAACACGCAATTGATTAAGCACCCGAAGAGAATTAAGGTTTAAAGCTGGGCGTAGAAAAGATAATTATAGGCCAGGAATTGCTCTGCAAGTCTTCATCGAATACAATCACATGCTCCCAATATAACCGGGAGGCAGTGAGAGACAATTATTTAACATAATTATAGTCCTGAGGGGTAAAATGGATTGCCAACAAAATGTAATTGTATTGGAATAAGCTGGTACCAACAATGATTTAACAATATATATAAACGGAAAGTCATACTAAAGAAAGAGTCTAAGCACGATGGATTAACTTTAAACAAAGTGTAGAGAAAACAAAACCCAACGCAATCCGATGCATGGCCAGTCCAGTGCTTCCAACATAAAGAAGTTTCAGCGAAGCGTTCAGCGTTCCATGTACAGCAAGACGCTTAACGAGATGGATTAGTTGCTACTTCCAGTTTCTATGCAAATAAAAATCCAGGTTCAATGCACGCGATAATAATGTCTCCTTAACTAACCATCGACTGAACATGTTCAAAAAGACGCTTAACGAGAAGGATTAGTTGCTACTTCCAGTTTCTATGCAAATACAATTCCAGGTACAATACACGCGATAATAACTAACCATCGACTGATCATGCTTATGAAGACGACGTAAGCTTGCTGATATCGGTCATCTGTGTAAGAATCACACGGCGTTCATCAGTGGTCAAAACTATGATTCGGCCATCTTGAGTCCAAATCGCTTTCAATTTTTCCTTATGTTTTGACTTTATCTCCCGAAAGAGTCTTCCTCGCTCTTTCGTCAAATTCTCTTGTATGAAAATGGGCGTCCCTTCCAAACCTCTGAGTTTCCTTCTTGCCTGGTAGACCTTGTTACGAGCCGTGTAGTTGGTAAATCGAACAATGATCCCCCTGGTTGATCCTCCTTTTTTCGATCCTAATCTGTGCGATCTATCGATGTCTCCTCTTGTTAGCTTTATGTCCAATTTCTCCTCACACACTTTGTTAATCAATTCATCTGTCTCCTCACTCTCTCTCTCATCCAGACCATGAACAATCAGGCAATTTCTTCTTGAATATTGCTCAGCCTCTTCGTGCTCCTCCTTCAGTCTGGAAAATTTTCTCTCCAAATCACTTATTTTGCTATCTCTCTCGGAAAGCTCAAATTCAAAACTTTCACGAATGCTTTCAGCAACCTTTTCAGTAATGACAGATGTTAGTTCTTCAATAAGTGTCAGCTTTACCTTTGATACAAGAGAGTCTAGAATATCGTTGTTGTCCTCCAGTACTTTCTTGACTTCTCCGCGTATATCTCTTGCGATATCCTCGGTTTGAAGTTTCGCGCCTCTCGGCATCTTGACGCGTTTCTGGGCAATAACTTCCTTATATTTCACGAAAAGAGTTCACGTAGTATAAGTAAAACCAACACAGGTAGTTCAACGACCTCCCAAAGTACTCAAAAGTAGGCAAAATTCCTATAGGTGCTATAGTTCCATTGCTGTTGTATATACTTCAGCGAAGTTGTGAACGCGGAGCGAATCGTTAGGCACGTCCGTTCATGACGACAACATGACGACATCAACATGTTTCGCTTATATTCTGTTCCGAAATGTTTTCATGAATTCCAAACATCTATATTACGGTTGAAAAATGAAAACAAAGTAAGCATAGAAATATAAAAGATCACAGCGTTCTTTTTGAAAGCACTATAGAAATTATTTAAACAAATTATTGGTTGTCAAGGGTGGTCTGATGTGTACAATTTTGTCTGTATTTGATTTGCCTTTAATTTGATTACGTTTTGCTACTATTTAAAGGCGTCGGTACTAGTTTACAGGAGGGATTAGACCACCCTGCAAGGTCACTGACAGTTGGTGTCCTCATCAAACCAGCTCTCACTTAAAACGAAATAGAGGATTATGGGGGACCAATATATGGTCATCGATTAGGCATTGTTTGCTATATAGAGGGCGCAAGTAGCTATAAGTAGTGCAGTGGTGCTTTAACATGCTTCTATTTATGTTTTGTTCTTGTTTATTCAGATAATCCTACTATGTCAGTGCTTTATTTCTATTTCCTATTTGAAGTTTTTTTTTAAAGATCCACGGCGTCAACAAATTAAACACAGAAATTGAGGAGAGAATGTATTTAGGATAAGAAAACAACTTGGTGAAATTCTTACGGCAGTATAGTTCGTCTTCGCCACCAACGGGACAGTCTGGATTGAAGTCACAGTAATACGACTCATCGATGCACTGATCTATGTCACATGGTCGCATGCCGAGCTCACAATGATTTGCTGAGAGAAGTAACAAGAAACAAACAAACATATTAATAATTATGTTGGTGGCACCCCTTCATCAGATTTGCAAAGGACCACTGTGTTTAGATATGTTTATTTAATCCACCGCAACAATTATTCATACAATAGTGATGGATGATCCTCCATATTATTTTGGACTTAACGAAAAACTTTGTATACGAAATTTTTTAATCCCAACGTGTTTTGACATAATTATCTACTATTTTTTCTTTTTTACCGGTGGTTGTGTTCCTTTTATATTGTAATAGCAATGACAAATATTTTTGCTTTTGTTTCTAATGATCATTTTATGTATTCTTTACATATTCTTATGTGAATTTTGACAGTAAACTATGAACTTTGACCTTTGGACTACATCTTACGTTGGGTAGGGATCACGTCGGCAGGAGGTAGGGGCTCTTTCGACTCGACGCACTCTGGAGTAAAGGTGATATCGTCCAGAGCTATATCGCCCAAATTAGTCGACCCTCTCACTCCTTCAAATACCACCTGGAGTAAAGTAAGAGTCATAATATACTAGGTTTCAGTTGGAACACATTTATACATCGCTAAATATTATGTATCAATAATCATTTGATACTGTTTTCCCCATCAAAGCATTGGCATCCCCTTTCTTACACTTTGATAAACTCTTGTGTAAGCAATTCTTGTAGCCAACGCAATATGTAAAATAGCTTTAAGCATGCTGTCCTCTGAATCATTTCTTACAAGTCCCCATGTAAAGACATAATGTGCTAATACAGAAATGGACTCAAATTTCCCAGTAAGTATTTTCTGCTTAAGTACAAATTGCAATTTAGAGCATTCTGGATTAAAAGATAAAAACGAAACATCACTGAACGGTGACACTAAATTCGTCCCTATTTTCACGAAGTGACGGTAGTGAGGAAAATCGTAACGCAAAGTGAATGCAATTTTTTTTCACTACCGTCACTTCGTGAAAACAGCGATATTGAAGATTATTCCCCCACCTGGAAGGCGTCTTCACTGGCGAGTGGTACCCTCTAAAATAGGGTACCACTGTATTACTGTACTGTGCCATAGACGGGTCATCGGTCCACCAATCTTAGTCCAAATGTATTGTTTTGTTTTCTTCTCTTTTGTTTTTAACGGGGCTGAACGGGGCTGTATACACAAAAACGAAACATCACTGAACGGTGACACAAATTGAAGATTGTTCCCCCATTTAGAAGGCGTCATCAGTGGTGAGAGTATACCATCTGACAGAGGGTACCACTGTATCATTGTATCATGGCTGGGTCACCGGTCCACCAATCTGAATCCAAATGTATTGTTTTTTCTCTTTTGTTTTTAACAGGGCTGAACGAGGCTGTAGGTAGTTTTATAATGAGGTTTTACTAACCTGGAAGGCATCTTCACTGGTAAGTGATACCCTCTGATAGAGCCAGTAGTTCCCATGGGCAGTATCACTGTACCACAGACGAGTCATCGGTCCATCGATCTTGGTCCGGGTGTACATGTTCAGGGTTCCAATCCCTGAACCTCGCATGTGGTGGTAGAAACGAATCTAAAAGAAAAGCAATACAATAATTATCCGAAACTTTTATTTCGTTTATTCTTTCCAATTTGCTTTCAAAATTTATTATATATTTTTCTAAGGAAACGTTGTATAATGTTCTACTCAAAAGAATAAGATACAAATATGATTATAATTGATGTACATATCTCCAGAAACACGGATGTAAAATCTCATACATTTATCAATGGCAAGACTTATTCTGGCTTCATGTATTGCATGATCGAGATCTGATGGACTCCGTATCGGGAGGGGAGAAGCCCCAGTAGGCAGTTCATATTCAGGAGTCACTCGTCCTGCATTGGGACAGTCCTTTAAAGAGATAGTTACCGTAAAGGATAGTTGTCCAGGTGTAGTTTAGAAATAGGAAGGTACTTGTCTTGCAGGGATGGATGCCCTATAGGGGACAGTCGTCATTAAGAAATGGAAACTTGTCCTAAAGGTTTTTTTGTCCTTATTGTCCGGAGATGAGAGCCAAGGGAATAGCTGTTCGGATATGAAAACAGAGGAGGAAGTCATACGGGTGATAGGATAGGATAGGCATAGGACCAACAAGGCCTGGAACTACAGAGAGGTCATATAGCTATCTACTTACCTCGCACCCTGATGAAGTAGGTTGTATGTAAAAGCTTCCGATTCTGTACGTGTCACCTGGAAATGCATCATCGACCTCAGTATAGATGAAATAACCTGATGATTTGAGAAATAAAGGCATTGACGTTGAATTTCCGCTGGTGTCATCCTTTAACAGATCAATTCACTGTCTTGCGATGTAAGCCTGTAACTGTCTAGTTTTGTGTTTCATACAATTTCATCAATTTCGTATTGTTCTGGTGGTGAATGTGTTGACTTCAATAGTATGGAGCCGTTTTACGATGCCTATTAAAGCCAAACTGTCAGGAGTTAATTTCTAGGGACTAGGTTTCTAGTTTGGAGTTTAAGACCGTGTTTTTTAACCGTCTTCATAGGTACAGGTTATTGTTTGATTAACAAGTAAGTCAGGATGAAAAGAATATAACTGTGCACTAATGCGTATGATTACATTTCCCTAGGTCAATATGTTTTAATACATCTGATAATAAACTATACTTAACAGGAAGAAGAAGAAGGACGAAAGGAGAAGCAGGATAATAATAATAAGAAGAAGATGAGGAGGAGGAGGAGGGTGAGAAGGAGAAGAAGAAGAAGAAGATGATGTAATCATTTCCCCTCTTTGAAGCATTCTATTAATCTATTTTATCAACGAAATACTCCTCATCTTATACTAATTATGATTATAATAACAATGATGATGATGATAATAATAATGATAATAATAATAATAATAATGATTATAAAAATATCGAGTATTTAGGAACTCTAAAAACGAAAAGCACCGTAGCGCTTAGAAAATAACAGAATGTGAAGGGAAACATGACATACATAGACTCTTAAACTAGTTTTACAATGATCACATATATATTTTCATGAAGTGGAAAGGTCTTATCTTATCCTTACCGCTGTTACTAGCGGTAGTATGATCTATCCATGGACCAGTATTACCGGTACCCGTTCCACCGGTCTTTCTGGTCCACTCTAAAGTGTCATCAGTGAGCTGTCCCCAGTAACACATGCTCGTCTCGAAGTCACACATCGTGTAATCAGCTGAGATCGAAAAATGATTAGAACAAATATTATTAGTTCAACAGATTCATCTGGATAATTTCAAATTAGTTATTAGAAATTAAATTATTTGACGAGTACAAAAGCTAGTTTACCTGTTTGGACTATAGACATCGAAAGTGTCACAGGTGAACCTTTTGAATGTGTCATTGAATTACTTCTTGATGAGAAGATTGGTAATGAGATGTTACCAAGAGAAAGGTAACGGTTGCAGAAATTATTGAAGTAGTAGCAGTAGGAGTAATAGTGCTGTTGATGGTGGTGATATAATTGGTGATGGTGGTGGTGGTGGTGATATGGGGATGGTGATAGTGGTGGTCTTAGTAGTGGTAGTGGCGGTGGTTGTGGTGATGATGATGGTAGTTGTGGTGGTGGTGGTGGTGGTGATGGTGATGGTGATAGTGGGGTGGAGGTGGTAGTATTGGTTAAGGTGGTGGTGGTGGTGGTATTGTTGATGATGATGATGGTGGTGGTGGTAGACTGGTGGTAGTCATAGTAACATACCGCAATTTTGGGTCGACTCGTCCGTGCCATCACAGCAGTTTGGTGTATAGTCACATCTCTCACTCTTAGGATAACAATGCCCCGAGTCGCACGTCTCCTCTGTATCGGCATCACACGACCCCCCTGGTGGTAAAGGGAGGGTATACGCACACCCCTCGAATCTTAGATCGTCAATTGCGTAACCTCCCGTGTTCGAGTAGTCATATCTGTCCTTTGCTTCAATCGAAAGCTAGAAGGATAATGAAAGTAGAAAGTTTGTATCATCAGAGAAAGAGAGAGAGAGAAATAGAACGAGCAGTTATGTTTTAAAGTCGACTTGCAACATTTATATGTCATGCCATGTGTGTCATTATCACAGTCATATCATATCATAATATCCCCATAATGTTCTGACTTTCACATATGGCATTTGAAAACGTTTGTAGCTTAAATACTACATCTAATTTAATATCTTATATCCAGTGGCCTATCCAGCATCGAATGGGTCGGCGTATGCCCCCCCCCTCTTTTGAAGGCACATGGAAGTAGATCAAATCATGTCCGGACTCATTACCCCCCCCCCCTCCCCGACTCCCTTGCCTCCCCACCTCATGAATTTCTGAACATACCACTGGTTTAAGATGTATGCCTTGTGATGTGTGCACGAGGCGTCATTACCCTGACGTAGTGCTGCGTCAGTGATGTCAATGACGCAACATGTTACAGTGACATCACAAAGCGATTTTATAATAATCAATGCGAACAATGCGTTAAAGTATTGGCGCACGAGCTAATTGTTTTGCAAAGGCTTGATCAGCGAAGGTAATGACGCAATCGAAATAAAATGACGCCTTGTGCACACCACCAAAGGGCACCAAATCTGACCTGAAAGTTTTCAGCGCAAGCTTCCACTTGGACTTCGTACAGGTTCCATCGATCCTTGGTGGACTTGTCTTCGCCGATATCGACTACGGTCATGAGGTTGTAGTTTCGGTCGTTCGATGGGGTATACTGGAGAACCTTCAGGGTACCCATATCCACGCCGTAGGCGTAGTACCACATGGAGAAGATGCAACGTCGGGCAGCCATCTGGTAGGTTGGGCTACGGATGATGGCTTTTTGATCGACTTCGCTGTAGGTGTCGTCAATGTAGAGATAGTGACCTGCCATTAAGGTAGGATGTCAATCGAAATAGAGATGATTGTGACACTGAATGTGGCTACTCTTTATTCTCACTTTCTCAGGGAGACGGAAATTTTAAATGAATATTAAAAAAAGAAATGACCGAATCAATCAATCAATCAATAAATAAATACGTACATAGATATCTGAATATATGTAAAAATACGTTAACTAAATGGAAAAATAAATGTATTAATAATTAAATAAAATTACAATAAATAAATTGCCTTTATGCTTATCGAGCTTATCAACGACGTAATGTTCTTTATTTAAAGATAGACATTATGTCACCATCATCATCGTCATTACCATATTCATTTCTCTTTCTCCTCATCCTCATTATCATTATCATCATCATTGACATCTTCAAACAAAATATTTTACAATGTTGCAAACTGAGAAAAACTGCAAGTTAGTGAAATTGGCTGAAAATCGTGATTTGTTTGAAGATGAATTTCACAATTAATGATTATGGTTTAAACAAAAAATCATAATTACGAGTTTGACTCTTTTTTCTACTTCCACAAGTGGGGCTTTTTTAAACAGACAGTTCTACTAAAATATTCAAATTGTATGCATACTTTTTTTTTGATGGACCTCTAGAAAGAATAGAGCCATTTTAATAATGGCTCTGAATAGATTATTCCAGCCGTTTTTAATTCATGACTTGTATTATATTTGTAAATTGTATTCTTGTATGTATCTAAATTTTGTATACGGAAAATAAAACCAAACTAAACAAAACAAATCAAAACAAAACAAATACTTGGCCGAAGCTTGCCCAATATAGCAACGAGTAATATACGCAGATTGGGTTCCGATTATTGTAGTTAATTAATTATAGCTGTCCCCAGGAAAGAAACATTTATAAATTTGAAGATATTAGTAAACCGGTCTATTGCGAGGGACCTTGTTATTCAAATACGTTAAGGGGCTTGATTTTTGTATTTTGTTTTAAATTTTTGTAACGAATGACTTATTTTAAGCCATGTTCTATTTATACCTAATAATTATCAACTATGTTACTTAGGGACGTTGCACTTCAAACATTTTTTGTTTATGCATTGTTCCTACTATGTATTATATATATATCAATGTGACCCACTGTATTCTATCATCTGTAAACAGTTATTTTACATGGTGAATAAAACAAACAAACAAACAAACAAACAAACCTTTGAGCAAATCGCCATTCTTATCTCTCGAAATGAACGACTCTGTCAACAATTCGAAATGTACCATGACACTGCATGATACCCTTAACTTATGATATCTTATCTTCATCCATGGAATGTAATGGGACACATACAGATAAATGGGTGCTGTCATTGCTTATTATACCCGTAACAGATACATACATTATAATTAATGTGTGAATATTACACTTTGTGTGTTTACATTTGACTAATGTGCATCGATACTGAATCAGAGACAAACATAGCATTTGCCAACGACGGAAAAAAGTACAGATTATTTTTTTTTAAAGTACAAATCAAGGCACTTTATGTTCTATACAAATTTAATTTGTTTAAGTGGTGACAATAAAAAATTGAAAAAAACTCGAACTTTCCCAAGAGTGCAGTGGGTTCTTAACGCAGATAAAAAATGTGAAATGTGCTCTCAAGAAATAAATTATCATCATCATCATTAGTATTAGAGGCTGCTTGTAAGTATCGGCTTGCATGGTGATGTAGATATACAGTAGGCTTGCGGGTGCACCATGTGAGAGAGAGGGAGGATTGAGGAGCCCTGATTGAGGAGTCCACTCCTGACGACGGATAGTCAACCTGTTCGAAACGTCGAGCCACTCCCGCTACCCATCCTCTCCAAGCGCTATATTTCTCCTTAGAACTATAAACTAAGAAAGAAAACCAACAGTCTTTTTCAAGACTACACCAACAGTCCTTTTCAGGACTACACACCTTCAAGAAAGATTACCGAGAGTCCTTTTCAGGATTCCTCAATCCTCCCTCTCTCTCACATGGTGCACCCGCAAGCCTACTGTATATCATTAGTATTATTATCATAATCACCATCGTCATCATCATCATCATCAGTATGATGAAACATTTTTAAAGCCTATCTGCATTAGTTTGGCTAGGAGGGATTAGACCTCCCTGCATGGTCACTCACATGTGGTTATCTCATCAAATCAGCTCTCAATTAACATTAAAAAAGGGAGACCATTGGGGACCAACGGTCACCGCTTAGGCATTGTTTGCTATATAGAGGGCGCAAGTAGCTATAAGTAGTGCAGTGGGGCTTTAAATGAGGCCAGAATAAGACTTACCGTTAACACTATTTAGGGTGTGGTCGGCTCCTGGACCGTAATACCACTCGGGTTCATTGTTCATGAACATTGTCCAGTTCAGATCGAGACTCGCATCATGATACCACTCACACAAACCAGCCTCAAAATCACATGTCGCAGCTAGAGAGAGAGAGAGAGAGGGGGGGGGGGGGGGGGGGAGATGGAGGGGGAGATGGAGGGGGAGATGGAGAGAGATAGATAGAGAGAGAGAGAGAGAGAGAGGGGGGAGAGAGGGAGAGAGAGAGAGAGAGAGTGAGAAATGCGGAGAAAGAGAAAAAGATAGAGAGTTAGATATATATAGAGAGAGAGAGAGAGAAAAAAAAGAGAGGGAGAGCAAAACGGAGAGGTGGTGATAAAGAAAGGAGGGAGGGAGAGAGAGAGAGAAGAGGGGGGGGGGGGGGAGTTGAGAGTAAGGAAGAGATAATGGCAGAGAACGAGAAATATATGATTATTATGATGATGAACATGATGAAAACAGATTGAGAGAGAGAGTGAGTGAGAGAGAAAGAAAGATAAGATAGAGGGAGAAAAAAGGTGGAAAGAGGATAAGAGATATATCTGATTTATAAAACTGAGTTTCACGAATATAAATCATAAAGAGTAAATGTAATAAAGAAAACACAAATAATATAGAAATTTGTCTTAGAAAACGGTGAAACATGCCAAGATGGTTCTAAAGCACTGAACTAGTTTGTTGATAATTTCCAGCTCCATATTATTGCTTTATTTCCACTTGTACATCTTACAAAATAAATTGATGATTTTCATAGATTCAATTTCTAATTTTCTAATCGTACATAGATCTATAGTCAGAAAATATATATTTTTTAAATATTTATTTCAAGTGTATATTTTATAGAATAAAAATTCAGAGGATATAATGATAGCCACCCCCCCAACAAAAACAAAAGAAAATTGTCATAAATACGTGTTGTTTCACTTTCAGACATTTGTTCTCAAATCATTCAACCCAAACTCCATACATCAAGGCTAAAATAACTTGACTCAAGTAAAAGTCATTACTTACGACACGTGCTTTCATCGAGTCCGTCAGAACAGTCTTCCCTGAAATCGCACACGTTTTCGTCGTCGATCACCAGCCCATCGGTACATGTGTAGCCTTGGACTAGATATGAGTATGAAGAAAATCATACCAACATGAAACATGGAGCATTAATACAGAAATCATGTACATCCCGATGCAGAATCATTATCATTTTAATTATCATTATTATAATTATCATTCTTCCTCTTCTACTGTTACTTCTGCTTCTCCTCTTTCTCCTCGTCCTTCTCCTTCTTCTTCTTCTTTCTTCTTCCTTTTCTTTTTCTTCTTTTTCTTCTTCTTCTACTTCTTCTTCTTCTTCTTCTTCTTCTTCTTCTTCTTTTTTCTTCTTCTTTTTCTTCTTCTTCTTCTTCTTCAGTTTTCGTTTTACATATCATGTAAGGTGTAGAAATTAAAAAAAGATAGATTGCTTAACTGTACGTCAATGAGGTGGCGGGTGCCCTATGGCTGCAGCCCCAATTCCCAGTCCCCAAGCCTCTACCCCCTGCCTTACTTTTAAACACAATGAAACCAAACAATACCTGAGAATCGAGGATAAACATGGCAAATTCAAGGGCATTTGCTATTTTAAGGAGATAATCATTATATTGAGAGTAATAATATGTAACTCACCAGATGTAATATAGAGTATCAAAAACAAGCCCGTCAAATACAACTTCCTATTTTCCGCCTTCATTATTTCCGTTGAGTATTTTTTTCAGGACTAATTTCCACTGTAGCTATTTCCACACAGAAATCACAACGCGTTTTATCTTTCTGGTTGTATATCTAAAAGTAATCTGACTCAAAAGTTTGCAAAGATAATCCACACACGGTTCAAGAATCAAAGTGTGTTTAATCACTATCAACCCTGATTGTTTGTTTTCAAATGAGAGGATAATTATGGTTATCATTTAGAGCATGCAAACTTCGGTTGCTAATTTGTAGCCTATCAAGATAAAAACAAAAACAAATGTAAATAAGATTACATCCTAATGAAGTTCATTCGCATATCGGATGAAACTTTGATTGAAAAAGAGAATAGTGAATAATAATTATGAAAGAATGTAAAATATTTGTCTCATTTAATTTATTAAAATGAAGAGTTACTTAGTCTTAGACATCCCCATTGTACATCTCTCTCTCTCTCTCTCTCTCTCTCTCTATATATATATATATATACACACACACATATATATATATATATTTATGTTTCCTCCTCTCTCTTCATTTTTTCTTTCTTCTTCTCCCTCTGTCTATCTCTCATTTCTCCCAGAACTCTCTTCTCCCCCTTCTCTCTCTCTCTCTCTCTCTCTCTCTCTCTCTCTCTCTCTCTCTCTCCGTCGATCACCTCTACCATGCTCGCTCTTCTTTTTGTGCAATCCAACCTATCCTACGACAATAAGAGTCAATTAAAGTTAAGTTCGTAATTAAACACTGATGATATACTCTGTTTGTCTTGATATACCTTTAGACTGTCTTTATCACATAAATTATCAAACAAGAAGTTAAACAAAACATTTGAAGAGATGATATGCAAGGTGAGTTGCAACAACCTACTTTATGAGTATGAAAACACGTTATCGAAATTATTTATACTAAATTTAAATGGACACGATGATGTGGGGTGGTATCGGGCGCGGATTCAGGGGGACCGAGCGGGCCTTGCCCCCCCCCCCCCGAAAAAAAAGAGAGGAAAAGGGAAAGGGAAAGAGGAGAGAAAGGGAAAGAAAGGAGAGGAAGAAGAAAAGAAAAAGGGGGAAAAGAAGGAAATCGGGGGAGGGGGGGGGGGGGCGAAAGGGCCTTGCCTCCCAGCTGTTACCCCCCCCCCCCCTATCAAAAAATAAGAGAGAAGGAAGGTAGGGGAAAGAAAAAGGAAAAGAGGAGATAAAGGGGAGGAAAAAAGAGGAAGAAGAAAAGAAAAGAAGGGGGATATCAGTTGCAATTTTCACGCCAACAAGTTTTAGTTCGGGGGGGGGGGGGCAAAAGGCCCTTGCCTCCCCCCCCCCCCCCCCCCCCCCCCCCCCAAAAAAAAGGGGGGGGAAGGAAGGAAAAGGGAAAGAGGAGAGCTAAAAGGGAACACAAAAGAGGAAGAAGAAAAGAAAAGGGTGAAAAGAAGGGGTAAACATTTGCGATTGATCCCGCCAAAAGCGTGTGGATCGGGGGGGGGGCGAGAGGCCTTTGCCTCCCCCCCGGCAAACCTAAAACAGAGAGAAGGAAGGGAAGGGAAAGGAAAAGAGGAGAGAAAGGGAAAGAAAATAAAGAGAAAGAAGAAAGTTAGGGGAGATCAGTTGCGATTTTTCCCGCCAACAAGGTGTAGATCGTGGAGGGGGGGGGGGGGGCACTGGCGTACTGATTGGGGGGAGGGGGCTTGGGTGGGAGGGGTGACAGATGCTCCCCAAATATAATTCAAAAGTGGTTTATTTCTAATGCGATACCGGTGATTTACACATTTTCTGAGATTTTTCCTCAATCTTTAGTAAACCAAATTATGCGTTTGATGGAAAAAAAAGGCAAATTCCTAAAGAGAGAAAAAACAATAGTGGCCTGTTTTTGTCACAAAATAATGAGGTGTCAAAATTTGCTCATCTGACCGTGATTAAATTCATAAAACCCCTGAGCTTCCGGGGGCTCTGCCCCCTGGGTTCCACCTAGGGTCCTAAGGCGGGCACCTGGATGCTCATCTGACGGTAATTTAATGCCTAAAACCCCTGAGCTCCAGGGGCTTCGCCCCCTGGACCCCACACAAATTAGTGACCTGCCAGTGTCACAAATAAGGTATATGCTCATCTGACCGTAATTAAATGCCTAAAACCCCTTGACTTCCGGTGGCTCTGCTCCCTGGACCCCACCTTGGGCCCTAAGGCGGACCCTTGGATGCTAATCTGACGGTAATTTAATGCTCAAAACCCCTGAGCTTCTGGGGTCTCTGCCCCCTGGACCTCTCGCCAATTAGTGTCTTGCCAGTGTCACAAATAAGGTATCAAAATATGTTCATCTGACCGTAATTAAATGCCTAAAATCCCATAGCTTCCGGGGCTCCGCCCCCTCGACGCAACTAGGGCGGGCCCTGCATGCTTGTCTTACTGTTATACTCCGCCCCCTGGACCCCACGCCAATTCGTGACTTGCCAGGGTCACAAATAAGGTATACAAATATGCTCATCTGACCGTAAATTATTGCCCAAAACCCCTGAGTTTCCGGGGGCGGACCCCACGCTAATTCGTGACCTGCCAGTGTTACAAACAAGGTATCAAAATATGCTCAACTGATGGTAATTTAATGTATAAACCCACTGAGTGAGTTTTTGGGGGCTCCGCCCCCTGGACCCCACACTAATTTGTGTCCTGCCAGTGTTACACATAAGGTATCAAAATATGCTCATCTGACCGTAATTAAATGCCTATACCCCCTGAGCTTCTGGGGGCTCCACCCCTTGACCCCCGCCGGGGCTTCTCCCCTAGACCCCACGCCAATTTACGCTACGCTCTACCTGATCTCAATTCACCCCCCCCCCCCACCTGCATGTAATGGTGGGGTGATGCATATTTTTTTGTATGCACCCCCAACACTTTTGCTCATTACGCCACTGCTGATCACCATTACGTATTAATATTTTGCTTCCATAATTTCAAATTTGGGGTGGTATTTATTGTTTTCTGGCATAATGTACGTAACTTGCGTATTGGCGGATTGGGGTCCTTGAGTTCAGAACAGGAAAGTGTATACATTAGGGAAGCATGAAATCGGTACTATGTCTCGATCAAGTTTACAATTATTACGTACCAATTACGACTGACGAAAATAATTTAAATCTATTTCTTGTCACTCCGCCCTTAACATTAAAATTCAAACAGTGCAACACAGGGTTGTGTCACTACCATCATCATCATCATCCTCACTATCATCATCACTATCATCCATCATCATCATCACTATCATCCATCATCATCATCATCATCATCATCATCATCATCATCATCATCATCATCATCACCATCATCCATCATCATCATTATTGCAAAGAAGCTGCTCGAGCCTGGGTCAAAGTTTAGTCATTGGCTGCCCCAAACACGTGGTGACTCCCATTCTCGAAATCTGAGAAATAAAAACAAGTTCACTGAAATGTCATGCAAAACGACACGGTATAGAAACAGTCCGTTGCCATATCTAGTTAGATTGTTAAACGCTCATAGTACTGAATAATTACCAGTTTCACCTTCGACGAATACATTGTTCTCCACTACTTTCACTCTCTCAATACCCCTATTTTCTCCTCTCTGTCAGTGCTGTGCTGCGGAGCGGGGAGACCCTCTTCATGGCTTTCTTGTTCTCTAGCTCTCTGTCTTGTTACTCTCACCCTTTGTCTCCCCTCCCTCTCTTTCCCTCTATCTCTCCCTTTCTCTCTCTCTCTCTCTCTCCTCTCTCTCTCTCTCCCTCTCTCTCCTCTCTCTCTCTTTATCTCTCTTTCTCTCCCTATCTCTCTCCCACACTCCCCCTCTCTCTCCCTTTTCCCACTCTCCTTCTTTCTCTCTCTGTCTCTCTCTCTCTCTCTCTCTCTCTCTCTCTCTATTTCTCTGATATAACTTCCTAAATAAAATGGTGACATGTGAATGCATTTTTGAATAATGTTACTATTAAATTTTACATTTTTAAAACAAAATCAGATTTAATTGTACAAAATCCTGTTTGACTTTTTAACAATTCCCAATATGATGCACATTATATCGAATATTACAATGGCAACCTTTTACCCATGTTTTTATGCGAAACTTATCTTATTTTTATGCAATATTCTACATGTACCTTTTACTAAATTGGCCCAAATACTAAATGTTCTACATTTTACCTACAATGTATAATTTGTTTAAATCATGGTAGCACCTATTCGATTTTATAATTCCTGGATTTGGTTTCTGTTGTTGTCTCTGTTTCTGATATTGAAGAAAACACCATAACCATACCATACCCATCTGGCTGTGCATTTTCCAACCAAAATAATTAATTCTTTTGAATATAAAAAATGTATTACTATTCATATATTGTATAAGTTCAATATTTAATTGTATTGCAAATATGGTAATACAATTCCAAGCAATTTGCCAAGGTCGTTGAAGCACAATTATATATCATATGTACAAAAGAGACTGCAATTCGGCTCTCGGGCCGCGAATGTTTTTTAATGAAATAAACCATTTTAAATAAATAAATAAAAATCATCGTCATCACTATCATCATCATCGTCACCACTATCATCATCATCATCACCACTATCATCCATCATCATAATTACTATCATCCATCATCATCATCATCATCCATCATCATCACTATCATCCATCATCCATCATCATCATCACTATCATCCATCATCATCATCATTCTAATCATCATCATCACCATCATCATCACCACTATCATCCATCATCATCATCACTATCATCCATCATCATCATCCCTATCATCCATCATCATCATCATTCTCATCATCATCATCATCATCGTCACCACTATCATCATCATCATCACCACTATCATCCATCATCATCATCACTATCATCCATCATCATCATCATCATCCATCATCACCATCATCACTATCATCCATCATCCATCATCATCATCATCATCACCACTATCATCATCATCACCATCCATCATCATCATCATCATCATTCTCATCATCATCACTATCATGATCATCACCACCACCATTACCATCATAGCCATCAACACCATCATCACCATCTTCTGTGTAATGATGGCAGCATATATATATGAATTCCATTACCAACCTACTGATAATATTTCATTTTAATACAAAGTTATTTGCTGATTGGACAACAAATTAATTTATAATTATGTTACAGGCTTGTGTATAAGCAAAATAAACACCATAATATTGTTGCTGTAATCCCTTGGCAAAAATGAATATTGTCACGATAGAACTCAGGACAAAAACACATAGATCACAAATGTGTGGATGATACATATTTATTTCAAATTTACACATAATACATCATGATGAATGTTGCTGTCACTATCATATCCCTTCGAAAAACATACAAAATTTAGACAACTGTAAAGCTGCATCTATTTATATTTAAGTCTGCTTAATTTATGTAAATGTGACACAAAAAGTTGAGATCTATCACTTTGTGTAGTATAGTATACCACATTATTACATTTCACAAACAATTGCTTGGCGAAATGATTTTACATGGCAACACAGGAGATTTCTTCTTTTCACATACATAATAATAATATTCGGTTCTTGCATAGCGCATTATATAACGTCTTTATGCGCTCCCAAAGAGCTTTGTAATTATTACCCTAGCTTTAGCCCCGGTAGCTGTTATCAGCGGACAGTGCATGTCAAGGAATCAGTGGCGGATCAAGGGGGGGGGGGGCCGAGGGGCCCGGCCCCCCTGAAGAAAAAAAAAGTGTAAAAACACGTTACCTTTTTGGGGAAATGGCCCTCCCCCCCCCCTGGCGCTCAAGGGGGGGGGGGGTGCGATTTTTCAAATTTTCGAGGGCCAAAACAAAAAAATTAGTGCTCACTACCCCCCTATACTGTAGACCTACATGTATATATGTGAATGTTTTTTTTTAAACGTACTTGTGTACTGAAAATAATCTAACGTTGTGGATTCTATTTCAATTCTATTTCAATAAATAATTTGATTTGATATAAATTACACAGTACTTACTGGGAGGCACAGTTGATATTGCTGGGAGACTCTCTGCAGCTGGCACACATTCTGGTGTTAAGCTGATATCATCTAGAGCCATATCACCGTCTACCGTCGTACCAATACTACCTTCTATGATAATCTGAAATAAGAATAAGAATAATGATGATAATATTATTATTATTATTATTATTATTATTATTATTATTTATTGTTTTTATCATTATTATTGTTATTTTTATTATTATCATTATCATTATTATTATTATTATTATTATTATTATTTTTATTATTATTATTATTATTATTATTATTGTTATTATCATCATCGTCATCATTATCATCATCATCAATATCAATACTATTAATGCATGTTAAAAGTTGATTTTTTTTTTAAATGTTCACTAATTTCCCCCATATTTGTTCAAATTAAATTAATGCTTATGGTGGAACGTACCTGATAGTCGACAGTGCTCTGTATGTCTAGTGTTTGGAAGAACCACTCGTTGCCTAGATTACCTGACATGGACCATACTTTAGTGAGAGGTCCATTTACTTGTGTCCTGGTATAGACAGTCATTGTACCCATACCGATTCCACGCATGTGATAAAAAAATCTCATCTATGTAGAGAAAAAAACAAACCATGTAGACTTGTCAGTGGCACATTGAGCATAGGGTTAGAGCCTGCATACACTCCCCTCCCCATTTTTAAGCCCCCCCCCCAAAAAAAAAGTACATTCCCCCAGGTCATAATAATTGAGGTGTTTGGCATTAAGGTAATTTGATAGGGTAGCATATCAATTGATTACAAAAACTCACATACCAAGAAAGTCATATGGGTATTGTTAAGGAGCACATGTTCAGCGTTGATATAATAAGCCTCCTTAAAATTGCCCTGTTTAAGTGGAAGTTTTACAATCTGCATAATTCTCGTTTATTTTTTAATAGAGGGGAATAATTGCACCGGTTCTCATCATTTTCCTTCCAAGAAAAGGGACTACTTTGACATTTAGGAACAGTCGTAATCATCTTATTAATAACAAGAATAAAACGACTGGGGCCCAGTTTCATAAACAAATGCGATTGGTTTAAATCGATTGCAACTTGATATTACTCTCGATCCTGTACTAAAGAGATATTGTTTTTCTTAGATTGCGATTAATCGTAGAACTTGCGAACAATCGCAACTGTTTGAAAGACCGGAGGGAGAAGTACAGTCGCCAGACTTACCGAACACACGCTAATACGCGATCCCGCAATTGTAAAACTAGCAAGTCTTGCTCTTTCTCCCAACTTCCTAGGGTTACTTGCTTCCGTGTAGATGTAATAACCTGAAATTGCGAGTTTGAAAGGAACCACGTGAACATTCAGAAACGTATAGCCAGGTAGATTTAAACAAAAATGTATGATATGAAATGATAAAACGTACGGTACACATACAAACCTAAAGACAAGGGAAAAAAAAATCATCCCCATCATTATCATCATCATCATCATTATCCTCACCATCATCATCATCACCACCATCATCATCATCATCATCACCATCATCATCATCATCATCATCACCATCATCTTCATCATCACCACCATCATCATCATCATCACCATCATCATCATCATCATCACCACCATCATCATCATCATCATCACCATCATCATCATCATCACCATCATCATCATCATCATCATCATCAACATCATCATCATGATCATCATCATCATCGTCATTATCCTCACCACCATCATCATCATCATCGTCATTATCCTCACCACCATCATCATCACCACCATCATCATCATCACCATCATCATCATCATCATCATCACCATCATCATCATCATCATCATCATCATCATCATCATCACCATCATCATCATCATCATAACCCCACCATAATTATCACCAGTTTTGCAGGCAGCCGAAATGGTGGCACACAGTTATTGTATAATTATCGTTTAATTTTAATTGTGCACTCTGTGAGCAAATTAAAGCCCGTTTTTCTTGTTTACTTTGTAGGCGCTTTCGCAAAGGATGCACCCATGAAAAACGAAATAGCACAATGATAATAACTATCGTCAGGGTCACTATGATTATCATTTTCACAATCTTCATTAAAGCCCCACTGTCCTACTTGTAGCTACTTGCTCCCTCTATATAGAAAACTTCCCCAGTCGGTGCCTGTTGGTCCCCCATGATCCTCTATTTCTTATGTTATTTGAGAGCTGAGGTGATGAGATAGCCACCTTTTAGTGACCTCGCTGTGTGGTCTAATCCCTCCTAGCCACACTAGTGTTGATAAGCTTTAAGGTTAGTAAGTCATGGTATTGATTTTTGTTTTTCAGTCTTTATATTTTTAAAAACCAGAAACATTTTTAGACGTTTCGTCAGTGCCGAAGTTGTGGCCCCCATTTAAAGACCTATACCTACGTCGGTTCCAAAGGTATTGTCTACGTTTTAGACCTTTACCTTCATCTGTGCCAAAGGTGTGGTCTACTTCAGGTCCTGTTCCTTCGCTGGATGTATCCCCTTGATTCCTCCTCCAATCAAACTCGTCGGTGGTCAACTGCTCCCAGTAACAAAGGTCGATCTCAAAGTTACACAGGGAGTAACCCAACTGACCTAGCAGAAAAAAAGACAATCAAACACTCACTATACTGTTATGTTCTTTGACGAAAAAAATACAATGAAATCATACTTTTAAAAGAATCGTACACGTTTACACTAGTAAATTACTGTCATGAACTGTAAGCCATATACTACTTTGATTGATTGATTGATTTTTATTCGACAAGCTTCCAACATACAACAATATACAATAGTAACAGATCAAAAATAAGTCAGCTTGAACAGGATAACCCACGAAAGCTCGAGAGCTTATTTTCAGTGGGGTCCCTTACAGACATGTATAAAATTAATAAGTTAAAATAGTAATATTTACAGACAGATAAGAAAATTAAAAGAACTACTTATTAAAGATAATAATAATAATAACAACATTAAACTGATGATAGAAATGATAATAAGTACAAGAAGAAAAAGAAGAAGGAGAAGAAGAAAAAGAGGAGAAGGAAGAAGAGGAAAATAATGATGAATTTGTAGTATTTCTATAACGTACGAAAACATAAGAATATACAACATGAAAAAGTATGAACCGACAGAAGAATAACAATTTCAATCATATAACATGTCATTCACTTCTCTTCTCTGACTGTCAAGTATTAGGTATTCCTTTAATTTTCTCTTAAAATGATCATAGTTTCCTATTTCTTTTACACCATTGGGAAGGGAATTCCAATGTTTTATGGCATTGTAATAAAACGAATTTCCAATACTACCTACTCTTTCTGGTAAGTTAAAGTTGAATCGGCTATTTCTTGTATTATAATCATGTACGTCAGTAACAAGATCGAAGTTGGATCGAATATAATGATTCGACCTAGTATGATATATTTTATGCACGTGATGCAATACGAGTTGTTTTGATCTTTGGTCGACTTCAAGAAAACCAGCTTTAGAAAGTTCGCTGTAGCCAACATGAGTTCTTGGACCAGAACAGTTGATAAATCTCACCATTTTGTTCTGTATAATCTTCAACTTCTTTTGATCTGACTTGTTTATGTTACTATACCATGCAGGGTTAGCATAGTCAAATAAACATTGAATAAGAGCAAAACAGAGTGTACGTCTTGCTTTTAAATCCATACAACTTTGATATCTGTACAAAAATTTCAGACGAGAATTTGCTTTTTTTACAACTGATTCTACTAAAGATGAAAATGAAATTTCGCTAGCCAACTCAATGCCTAAATACTTCACAGACTCTTTTCTCTTGATTGCTTGATTATTGTGTGTCACTTTGAATTCAAATGACTTTATAGAACTACTTTTAGAACAAAATAAAATGCTTTCTGTTTTTCCCAAGTGTAAAGAAAGCTTATTATCAGTCATCCAATCGACACACGTAGACAGCTGTTTACTGAGCTTTTCCTCAATATATATTTAGGATCAGGATTTGAATAGAGTAGTACGCTGTCATCTGCGTACAATAATAGTTTGAAGTCTTTTATACAAATACACATATCATTTATATAACTTGAAAATAGAATTGGGCCTAAAATGCTTCCCTGAGGGACACCGCATGTTATAGGCATTAGTTTGGAACGAATATCATGAATGGCCACTACTTGGTGTCGATTAGATAAGTAGGATCTGAACCAATCTAAACTTGCCTTATCAAAACCCATTAGTTGTAACTTCTTCAATAAGACGCAATGATTAACTGTATCAAAAGCTTTTTGCAGATCAAGGAGCACCATACCAACAAAGCGCCCTCGGGAAGTTTCTCTCCTCAAATAATCAGTCAAATGAATTAGACATGTTTCAGTCGAATAATCATGTCGAAAACCAGATTGAAATTCATAAATTATATCATTTTCTTTGAAGTATCTTTCAATTTGAACACAGACAGATTTTTCTAGAATCTTTGATGCTACGCTTAAAACACTAAAAGGTCTATAGTTGCTAACATCAGTTTTATCTTTCTTTTTATAAAGTGGAGTCACTTTTGCTATTTTCATATCCTCTGGAAAAGTACTCGTCAATATAGATAGGTTCATTAAGTAACTTAGAGGCTTAAATAAAACCTTCGCACCATCTTTTAGAAATTTAGCTGGAATCAAGTCTAACCCAGTACTTTTTGATACATTCAACTTACGTAACTCTTTGAAAACAAATTGTTCACTGATTGGTAATAACTCGAAGCTGTTTTCACGGACACCTTTTCTTTCGTAAAACTCACGAATACAATCATTGTCTGCGCTGAAAAAGTCTTTGGAAGGGGGGGGGGGGGGTTTGACTACTAATTTGGCAGCCACATTTGTGAAATGAGAATTGAATTCATCAGCGATGGCCATCTTATCATGACATAATTCCCCATCAATTTTAATGACTGATTCTTGTTCTTTTCGCTTCTTATTTTTCAATCCTAAGCTTTTTAGATTCTGCCAAAGTTTTTTCGAATCTTGTTTATTTTTTTCTATCTTGTTTTGTAAGTAATCGAGTTTAGCCTTTTTCACCTCTCTTTGGACCATATTTCTTAATACTCTGTATCTTTTATAGAGCGTCTCATCTTTTGCTCTTTTCCTCAATTTTTTGTATACTATATTTCTTTCTTGAATTAGGGAAAGAATATCTTTAGTCACCCAAGTTTCTGATCTTTGTTTTATTCTTATCCGTTTCAGTGGCGCTATCATATTCAAATTTGAGATAAAAACATGTTGAAATATTGACCATGCCTCATTTACATCTGTACAGTCAGTTATTCGTGACCAATCAACAACAGATAGTTGAAGATTGAAAGACCCTTCTGTATATTTTTTCATGGATCTGATATCATTAGTCCTGTGATGACCTATAGCCAGTCTAATATTTTTCCGTGTACAGAAAGTAAAAGAATGGTCGTTAATACCAAGATCAATGACACCACTTTGACTTATTTTATTTTCTTTGGTACAACCAACATGATCCAATAGAGAAGAACATGTATAGGTGTAACGCGTGTTGCCTCTTTAATGAGTTGACTAAACCCATGAAGACTCAACAAGTCAATATATTTTTTAGCCAGTGGCGATTTGTGAAGAAGACAAATATTCATGTCTCCTAAAAGAATTATTTCGTCATCCTTCTTTAATGTATCAAGAATATTGGACAATTTCTCGATAAACAAATTGTTTTTCGGAGGTCGATACAGAACGCCAACAACAATTGGTTTTGATCTTGGTATAAGCAAATTTATCCACAGGGATTCCGTATCTCCAGTACTTATAGCATCCATAATATTAAATGCAATATCATTTCTGATATAGGAACATACACCACCTCCAGAGCCAGAGGATCGATCATGGCGTATGATTTTATATCCGTCTATTTCAATTTCTTCATCATTTATGGAATTGTTTAACCATGTTTCAGTGAAAGCAATAATAGACAGCCTTTTTCTTTTAAAAAGAATTCTAAGTTCCGATATCTTGTTTAGAATAGACCTCACATTAAGGTGTAAAAAATGAAGACCTTTAACTTTAAACTTTTCTTCAAATTCTTGATAAAGAGAAGTGTTTTCATCTCTGAGGTTTGGCTGAATTATTCTTGCTATCGCTTGCTTTTCAGGTGTAACGCGCGTTACCTTAAAATAGTTTTCTTTTAGTCTATCCTCGTTTTGGCTTTCTTTCTCTAAACAATCGTCAGTAAATAATGAGTCACAAAAAGATGGCAGACAACATGTTAAACAATTCCACTTCTCATCAGGGCATTCATAATATAACCTGCGGTACTCTGAAAAACTGATAGCTTGACAATTAGTGTGAAACCATTTTTTACAATAAGAACACAGAAGGCCGTGTTGATTACATTTGACTGGCTTATCACAGTTCCCACAAGGGAACTTATATTTTCGACCGTCAACTATAATTTTCGGATCATCACTTGATTTTGTCAAACTTTCACTTAATTCAATACCCTTCTTACAAATTGAAGATATTTCGCCCAGTCTTTCATGTCCACCTTGGATGGTCTGAAGGCTGGTTTCAGTCGTGACCTCTGATCGACTGCACTGAAATCCAAAGATCACCCAGAAACAGATTCGGCGTAGGACTTTACGGGGCTGCCTTTTTCCTCATCAGAATGAAGACTCTGGTTTTCTCGGTAGATGGCTTGATGCCGCCTTGCTCCAGGTTCACTGCCTGTTTCTTGATCGGACGACCGTTGAGTCCAGCCATGGCCTTGTGTTGTCGGTTGGTCAGCACTGTTGATGAGGCGTTTCAGGTTGCCTGCCAAGATTCGTTGACCGGCTCTGTTGAGGTGAACGCCATCACGCCCGAGATGCTGCTCGCTGATATCATTGTTGATGATGAGGCCCCATCTGTTCTCGCTGGCTGCCAACTCCATCAGATAGTTGATCTCATCAACCCGCTTCTTGTCCGCTTCACTCTCCCATCTACGATGGATGATCGTAGAGACTGAGACGGTAAACCCCTCGGCAGCAACAGACTTGCCGAGGTCTGTGATTTGGTGGCAAACTTCACCAGCACCCTCAGAGATGTTGTTGGTGCCAGCATGGATGACCACATGTCTTTGGTGGGTTTTTTATTTTTAATAATTCGTCTTTGTTTTGTGAAATATACTTTCGTTTCTGTTTTATCATATTAATATGTAAATAACACACCTTTTTTCATTGCTGTGTATGTATAATTAATCTTAATCTTATGAAGGGAATTATGAGCTATATAAAAACAGCAAGATTACAACGAATGAAAGAATTAGACGGACTTTTATGAAGTGCTGTTTAAAGGATTTGAAATGGATATACTTGAAATCAAACTTAAAGAATAATGACAATAAAAAAAAAATGGGAAATGAGACGCAACAAATAAATCACAATAGAAAAAATGAATCAAAATCTAATATATGAGACCGGAAAATAATAAACGATTGAAAAGAAGAGGCAGAGAAAGCAGACGGAAACACGGTGTGGAAGAGATGGATGAGTTTGGTAGATACATTGCAAACAAAAATCAAGAGATGGGGAGAAAGAGAAATAAGTGGAATTTGAAGAGAAGTAGAAGAATGTATAGAAGATAAGATGGTGAGTAGAAAGGAAGAGGAAAATGAGGAGAAAATGAAATGTAAAATGGAAATAAATTAAACGATATTTACTGCATGTCTGAGGGTCCTCATCTGACATATCACAGCAATCTTGAGTGAAATCACACTGGTTCTCGGCCGGGTAGCACTCGCCTGCATCGCACTGAGCTTGTAAACCACAAGAGCCAGGGTCTACCTCTGGCGCGTAGTAACAGTCTTTCATGGCGATGTCGTCGACCGCGAAACCGCCCTCGGTAGGTAGGACTTGTTTGTCTTCGGCCTCGATGACGATCTGGGTAGTCATGAGAAGAAGAAGAATTATGGGCAAATGATATGGTAAACCGATGTCCTGTTTTATTCATAGCTTACACAGAGCAAGAGAACTATATGCTGAAGTTTAAACCGTTTTTTTTTTTTTGGGGGGGGGGGGGTGTAGGAAAAGTACGATTGTATTAATCTCTCTTCCTGAATATTTTAATGATGTCATTCGATAGTGGCGAACTGGGCAAACGGATTTAAGGGAGTTTTCCTCACGGGTCGTTGGATTTACTTACGTGAAGGCCGGTTGATTTGCGGTCTTATGGCCGGTAGATGTTTCCAACGGTTTGAGTGGGCCGGTCAATATCTTATAAACCGAGGCAAACTGCATCAAAAACAGTATTACATTGTGTATATATTATTTGATGTGTGTGTGTATGTGTGTGTGTGTGTGGGGGGGGGGGTCGTTGGGCGCACACGCTCGTGTTTGAGACGCTACTGCCAGTAATATAACATCTTCTTACTTGGAAGTTCTTTGTACATGCTGGAATCAACGATTCGCTGAGGATCCATTTATTGTAATCCAGTGCGTTGTCACCGACCTTTGTCAAACGAATATCCATTCCCTCCTGGTCAATGAGACGAATCTCTAGGTCCCCATACTCGACACCAAACATGTAATAATACATGCTGAAGGTGCAGCCCCTATTTGTTTTCTTGTAGATGGGACTGACGAGCTTGGCGTATGTATTGATGGAGGAGATTGTTCCATCCACGTAGATGTAGTGTCCTATAGGGGAAAAAAAGATAATAACATAAAATTAACTTTTAAAAAGAGTCCTTTTATGGGTACCATTTCAACAAAATCTTAGGGCCTGAAGGGCCTTAACTCTGTTGTGGTAAAGTCTATTGTGCTAAGTTTCTCTTTGACGCGCTGTCATTGAGGGTTGAAAAGGAGGATTAGATGGAGAAGAAGAATCTTCTGGGCGAATAGCCTTCATAACGGTTAGAGAAGACAGGAATAGGGTAGTGCTGATTGAGAGAGTTATAGAAATAGAGCGTTATGGACGAAGATGATCACCGTTTTCACTGTATACATAAAGCCTAGAGAGGGAGAGTGAGAGTGAGAGAGAGAGAGAGAGAGAGAGAGAGACAGAGAGAGATAGAGATAGATAAAGGATCACTATTTACCAAACCGGTTGCCTGAAACGTGCTCGTTCGACAATTGATCCGCGTTTATTATCCCACACTATCCGAATTCCTAACTTCAACCCTGAAACAAAATGATATACCTAACCATAACCCTAAACCTAACCCTATCATCTTCGACAATAGAAAACCCAGATCAATTGTCGCCGCAGCAATGTGATTGTAGGAATGGTTGCCGCAGCAATTGTCGCCGCAGTATTGTCGCCACAGCAATTATCGCTGGAGCAATTGGCGCCAGAGCAATATTTTTTGTCATCGGAGGAATGGTCGTCGGAGTAATCATCGCAAATATGGAATTGCCAGCATACCTGACGTTGAAGCCGTGGTATGATCATACCTAGGGCCATTGTAACTGTCTTCCATCTCAGGGGCGTTGAACCACGACCAGTCAAAATCATCTTTGACGTCTTGACTCCAGTAACACGTGCTCAGGATCCCCACCGTATCGAAATCACAAGTAGAAGCTAAAACAAGAAATCGAGAATTCTGAAGTACAGTATGAGCATAATTATACTGCTTCTAAATAATAATAGGCCTTGTAATTAATATGTGCGTTCACATGACAACACATCAACTATTATACAAATATACACAGCCTTGAGAGGTTCTGGTTAAAACTATGCGCAAGAGGTGACTCCAATAGTACTATTTGCTGAGGGGCGCAGCCCCGAAGCAAATGGTACTTTTGGAGTCACCGAGGCCCATAGTTTAACCAGTACCTCGAATAGAAGGCATGGTATATTTTTTTTATATCCTGCATCAAAAAATTATAAAAAATTATAAAAAAAAAAAACATTTTTGGGAGAAAAAAAATTTAGAACAAAAAAAATGTCAATTTTTATCTAAAAAGATTTAAAATATTTTGATTATTTCATTAAATTAAGATTTGAAGAAAAAAAATTGATTCAATTAAAAAAACAAACAAAAAATCACATTTTTTTTGAACTCCCAAATAGTAAACCAAAATAGTACTCTCATATAGTACTTTCTAAAAATAGGTCAAATATTTTTGGTCATGTGACGAGCTCTCAACCAATCAAAAGCCAACAACTTTTTGATGCAGGATATAAATAAATATACTCTACTGCGCTTATCCGGCTGTAGCCGAGCCGCCATTAAAAGGCGCTAAAGAAATCAAGGAATTTCTTCCTATACCGGGTACCCATTTTTTCTTACGCCTGGGTGGAAAGGAAAGTGTAGATAAATTTCTTGCCAGAGGACGTTAGTGCTATACTATGGTGGGTCTCGAACATATGATCCACAGTCCGGTGTAACGGGCATCAGCCATAATGTAAAATATGAGGTTTTGTTTATAATAATTATAATTTGTTTGTTTGTTTGTTTGTTTTATTTCCGTATAAAAGACATCATGCATTCAGTAATATAATAACAAATAGAATAATGAATAACAAGATAAAATAAACGGCTGGATAGCCCATATTCAGCGGTATCATTATGATACCGCTGGTCTTCCATGGGGACCAGAAATGATACAGTAAAACAATACAATAAATAACAATATACATTAACAAACGACAAAGAAAAACGACAAAGAAAAATGGCAAAACATAAATTCTCAAGCAAAATATAGTAAGAAATTAAATATCCAGGACAGACAGTATAGAGAAAAGAAACTGGTATTTATAGAAAGAGAATTGTGTGAAGTAAACTTATAAACAACTCAAAAGTCTCTTGAATGACGACAATGTATTACAGTTGCGTAAGGCCAATGGTAATCCGTTATACAATACTGAGCCTCTATATACAAAGGTTCTTTTACAGTAATTTGTCCTGGGTTTAGGAAGGGCAAGATTAAATTGACTACGAAGTGAGTATCTAGTAACTCTAAAAGAAACATTTTCATTTATATAATTAGGAGTCAGGCCATGCAGTATTTTAAACATCATAACGTGCATGTGTTTAGTACGCCGTAGGGACAAAGTATCCCATTTTAGGATATCATGCAATTGTTGATTGGATATATATGACTGCCGATTTATCTTCAAAATGATCCTCCCCGCTCTATTCTGTATTTTCTGTAACCGATCAAGATATTTATCAGATGACGACCACACATTGTCTGCATACTCAAAATGCGGGAGAATAACAGATTGATATATAATTTTCAAATTAGTTTCATTTACATAATGTCTCAATCGACCAAGAAATCCAACCATTTTTCCAATTTTCTTACACATGTTTTCAATATGAATTTTCCATTTCAATTCTGAGTCAATGATTACCCCTAGGTATTTTGTGTTATGCATTTGGATTATATCTCTCCCTCGAACTTTCAAAACTAATTTATCTTGTTTTTTCAGCAAATTTTTTGTTGCAATTAACATACCCACGGTCTTGCTGTAGTTAATCTTCAGTTTATTCCGAGATATCCATGTATCTAATCGAGCTAGTTCCTCGTTGAGAACTGACTGTACAACAGATGGATTCTTATGGGAGTAATATAACACAGTGTCATCAGCATATAGATGTATTTTACATTTTTCAAAAGAATGAGGCATATCATTAATAAATATGACAAACAATAAAGGGCCTAGTAGAGAGCCCTGCGGCACCCCACCAGTCAATGGTAATGCATCAGAAACTACATCATTAATACAAGTCACTATCTTTCGATCAACCAAATAGCTCCTGAACCATTGAAGCGATTCACATGTGACGCCTAATAGTAAGAGCTTTTGTAACAGTATATCAGTATCCACCAAATCAAATGCTTTTTGTAGATCAACAAAGACTGACCCTGTGTATTGTCCCTGGTCCATTGCGTTTAACCAGTCGTCGGTCACCTTGACAAGCGCAGTACACGTTGAATGTTTCTTTCTGAAACCAGATTGGTGAGCAGATATAATATCGTTTACATTTAAGTGTTGAATGAGTTGTTTCTGTATCATTCTTTCAAGAAGCTTTGAGATGCATGGCAATAACGAAATGGGCCTATAATTATCTGGGTTATACTTGTCACCCTTCTTATACAACGGTATAATTTTTGCTATTTTCCATACGTCAGGCACAACCCCATCTCTGATTGATTTATTTATCAAATATGTTATTGGTTTAATAATTTCATCAGCAGCTAACTTAAGAATAAATTGAGAAATACCATCTACTCCAACCGATTTTTTATTTGGGAATTTCCTTAATTCGTTTAATACCTCATCTTCGGTAACAAAAGAAAGTTTAAAATCTTGTTTTAGATTGGGCGATACTGGATTGTCCAGTCTAGAATTTACATCTTGCTCTGACGAATCGTCATTCAAAGTGTCAACAGCGACATTTGCAAAATGGCTATTAAATTTGTTTGCTGTTTTCAAGACATCTCCTTCAATAATAGGAATAGACGATGAAGAGCGACTGTTAGGGACTATGGTTGACAACAACGTCCAAGATTTACTACGATTTTGATTTCCAGTTAAATTTTCACAGTAATATTTACGTTTAGCTTTTCTAATTTCAGCTGTAACTTTATTCTTTAATTTCTTGTAATTTTTCCACAATTCACCATCTTGTTTTGACTTTGCTTTGTCTTTCGTTTTGTCCCTTTCATCCATAAGACTAAATATAGGTTCATCTATCCATGGCGAATGTTTCTTCCTTACTCGCTTTGTCTTTAACGGCATGTGTTTATCCACAACTTCCAACAGCAGCTCTTCCCATTTACACACAGCTTCATTCAACTCATCAATACGTTCTATAACCTTCCAATTATTATTTTGTAAGTCAGACTTAAATAGTTCATTATCAATCCCTTTTGATTTTCTAAAAGTGACATATTTTACAGAACTTTGTATCTGAGGAGATTTCCATATCAAATAACTCATGGAATGGTCGCTCAAACCATTATGAATTACACCAAATGACTTAACTTTTTCATCATAATTAGTTAACATGTGATCAACCAAAGAGGCACTATTGTTAGTTATTCTTGTATATTCGGCCGTATTGATTTGGTTCATACAATATATATCATTGATTTGAATATATTTCTTGGTTGCACCTTCTAATGGGATTTTCAAAGTATTACAGTTTATATCACCCATAACAATAATAGGAAAATTAAGACCATTGGCATACACTAAAAAGTCTTCATAATCAGTGAGTATCTCCGCTTTAGAATTCGGAGGTCTGTACCAATTAAAAAATACAATGGGACTGGCGTTTTTCTGCCGTATCAATAATGCAATTGCTTCCATTCGCGATAATGAACTATGTTTCAAAACTTCATATCCCAAGCTTTCATGAATATAAGTCAGTACACCTCCACCGTTTCTATTACGGTCCTTACGGATAACATTGTAGTGAGGTATCTGGATTTCACACTCGAATATATTGTCATCCAGTCTAGTTTCATTCAAAGCAAAAACATGTATCACATTTTCACACAAAATAGCCTTAATTTCATCATAATATTTTAAAAGACTAACAACATTCAGTTGTAAAAATTTCAAACCTTTACCGCATAGTTCATTATATTTCACACTTTTACTTGAAACATGAGGATAGATGTTTGCCATACATTAAAACAAAGAAACACAAATATAACAAAAATATAATATAAATACTCCTTATAAAAGATAAAATATAACAAATATATCAACGATTCTGTATTGTGCACACCACAACAAGACGCATGAAGTTTAACCAACATTAATCATAACACGCAATTGATTAAGCACCCGAAGAGAATTAAGGTTTAAAGCTGGGCGTAGAAAAGATAATTATAGGCCAGGAATTGCTCTGCAAGTCTTCATCGAATACAATCACATGCTCCCAATATAACCGGGAGGCAGTGAGAGACAATTATTTAACATAATTATAGTCCTGAGGGATAAAATGGATTGCCAACAAAATGTAATTGTATTGGAATAAGCTGGTACCAACAATGATTTAACAATATATATAAACGGAAAGTCATACTAAAGAAAGAGTCTAAGCACGATGGATTAACTTTAAACAAAGTGTAGAGAAAACAAAACCCAACGCAATCCGATGCATGGCCAGTCCAGTGCTTCCAACATAAAGAAGTTTCAGCGAAGCGTTCAGCGTTCCATGTATACAGCAAGACGCTTAACGAGATGGATTAGTTGCTACTTCCAGTTTCTATGCAAATAAAAATCCAGGTTCAATGCACGCGATAATAATGTCTCCTTAACTAACCATCGACTGAACATGTTCAAAAAGACGCTTAACGAGAAGGATTAGTTGCTACTTCCAGTTTCTATGCAAATAAAATTCCAGGTACAATACACGCGATAATAACTAACCATCGACTGATCATGCTTATGAAGACGACGTAAGCTTGCTGATATCGGTCATCTGTGTAAGAATCACACGGCGTTCATCAGTGGTCAAAACTATGATTCGGCCATCTTGAGTCCAAATCGCTTTCAATTTTTCCTTATGTTTTGACTTTATCTCCCGAAAGAGTCTTCCTCGCTCTTTCGTCAAATTCTCTTGTATGAAAATGGGCGTCCCTTCCAAACCTCTGAGTTTCCTTCTTGCCTGGTAGACCTTGTTACGAGCCGTGTAGTTGGTAAATCGAACAATGATCCCTCTGGTTGATCCTCCTTTTTTCGATCCTAATCTGTGCGATCTATCGATGTCTCCTCTTGTTAGCTTTATGTCCAATTTCTCCTCACACACTTTGTTAATCAATTCATCTGTCTCCTCACTCTCTCTCTCATCCAGACCATGAACAATCAGGCAATTTCTTCTTGAATATTGCTCAGCCTCTTCGTGCTCCTCCTTCAGTCTGGAAAATTTTCTCTCCAAATCACTTATTTTGCTATCTCTCTCGGAAAGCTCAAATTCAAAACTTTCACGAATGCTTTCAGCAACCTTTTCAGTAATGACAGATGTTAGTTCTTCAATAAGTGTCAGCTTTACCTTTGATACAAGAGAGTCTAGAATATCGTTGTTGTCCTCCAGTACTTTCTTGACTTCTCCGCGTATATCTCTTGCGATATCCTCGGTTTGAAGTTTCGCGCCTCTCGGCATCTTGACGCGTTTCTGGGCAATAACTTCCTTATATTTCACGAAAAGAGTTCACGTAGTATAAGTAAAACCAACACAGGTAGTTCAACGACCTCCCAAAGTACTCAAAAGTAGGCAAAATTCCTATAGGTGCTATAGTTCCATTGCTGTTGTATATACTTCAGCGAAGTTGTGAACGCGGAGCGAATCGTTAGGCACGTCCGTTCATGACGACAACATGACGACATCAACATGTTTCGCTTATATTCTGTTCCGAAATGTTTTCATGAATTCCAAACATCTATATTACGGTTGAAAAATGAAAACAAAGTAAGCATAGAAATATAAAAGATCACAGCGTTCTTTTTGAAAGCACTATAGAAATTATTTAAACAAATTATTGGTTGTCAAGGGTGGTCTGATGTGTACAATTTTGTCTGTATTTGATTTGCCTTTAATTTGATTACGTTTTGCTACTATTTAAAGGCGTCGGTACTAGTTTACAGGAGGGATTAGACCACCCTGCAAGGTCACTGACAGGTGGTGTCCTCATCAAACCAGCTCTCACTTAAAACGAAATAGAGGATTATGGGGGACCAATATATGGTCATCGATTAGGCATTGTTTGCTATATAGAGGGCGCAAGTAGCTATAAGTAGTGCAGTGGTGCTTTAACATGCTTCTATTTATGTTTTGTTCTTGTTTATTCAGATAATCCTACTATGTCAGTGCTTTATTTCTATTTCCTATTTGAAGTTTTTTTTTAAAGATCCACGGCGTCAACAAATTAAACACAGAAATTGAGGAGAGAATGTATTTAGGATAAGAAAACAACTTGGTGAAATTCTTACGGCAGTATAGTTCGTCTTCGCCACCAACGGGACAGTCTGGATTGAAGTCACAGTAATACGACTCATCGATGCACTGATCTATGTCACATGGTCGCATGCCGAGCTCACAATGATTTGCTGAGAGAAGTAACAAGAAACAAACAAACATATTAATAATTATGTTGGTGGCACCCCTTCATCAGATTTGCAAAGGACCACTGTGTTTAGATATGTTTATTTAATCCACCGCAACAATTATTCATACAATAGTGATGGATGATCCTCCATATTATTTTGGACTTAACGAAAAACTTTGTATACGAAATTTTTTAATCCCAACGTGTTTTGACATAATTATCTACTATTTTTTCTTTTTTTACCGGTGGTTGTGTTCCTTTTATATTGTAATAGCAATGACAAATATTTTTGCTTTTGTTTCTAATGATCATTTTATGTATTCTTTACATATTCTTATGTGAATTTTGACAGTAAACTATGAACTTTGACCTTTGGACTACATCTTACGTTGGGTAGGGATCACGTCGGCAGGAGGTAGGGGCTCTTTCGACTCGACGCACTCTGGAGTAAAGGTGATATCGTCCAGAGCTATATCGCCCAAATTAGTCGACCCTCTCACTCCTTCAAATACCACCTGGAGAAAAGTAAGAGTCATAATATACTAGGTTTCAGTTGGAAAACATTTATACATCGCTAAGTATTATATATCAATAATCATTTGGTACTGTTTTTTTCCCATCAAAGCATTGGCATCCCCTTTCTTATACTTTGATAAACTCTTGTTTAAGCAATTCTTGTAGCCAACGCAATATGTAAACTAGCTTTAAGCATGCTCTCCTGTGAATCATTTCTTACAAGTCCCCATTTAAAGACATAATGTGCTAATACAGAAACGGACTGAAATTTCCCAGCAAGTTTTGTATTTTCTGCTTGAATACAAATTGCAATTCAGAGCATTCTGGATTAAAAGATAAAAACGAAACATCACTGAACGGTGACACTAAATTGAAGATTGTTCCCCCACCTGGAAGGCGTCTTCACTGGCGAGTGGTACCCTCTGATAGATAGAGGGTACCACTGTATTACTGTACTGTGCCATAGACGGGTCATCGGTCCACCAATCTTAGTCCAAATGTATTGTTTTGTTTTCTTCTCTTTTGTTTTTAACGGGGCTGAACGGGGTTGTATACATAAAAACGAAACATCACTGAACGGTGACACTAAATTGAAGATTGTTCCCCCACCTAGAAGGCGTCATCACTGGTGAGAGTATACCATCTGACAGAGGGTACCACTGTATCACTGTATCATGGCTGGGTCATCGGTCCACCAATCTGAATCCAAATGTATTGTTTTTAACAGGGCTGAACGAGGCTGTAGGTAGTTTTATAATGAGGTTTTACTTACCTGGAAGGCATCTTCACTGGTAAGTGATACCCTTTGATAGAGCCAGTAGTTCCCATGGGCAGTATCACTGTACCATAGACGAGTCATCGGTCCATCGATCTTGGTCCGGGTGTACAGGTTTAGGGTTCCAATCCCTGACCCTCGCATGTGGTGGTAGAAACGAATCTAAAAGAAAAGCAATATAATTATCCGAACCCTTTAATGAAACATGGTCTATCATCCAAATTTTATATTTTTAAAGGAAATGTTGCATAATGTTTTTTACTCAAAGGAATAAAATCATTATTAGAAATACGATTGTAATTGATGTACATATCATCTCCACAAACACGGAGGTAGAATGTCATACATTTATTAATGGCTATACTTACTTTGGCTACACGCATTGCATGATCAGCCCTAATAATCGGAAGAAATCCGAGGGACTTTGCATCGGGAGGGGAGTTGCCCCAGTGGGTAGTTGACATACAGGAGGAAGTTGCCCTGCATGGGTTACAGGACAGTTTTCCTATACGGGGAAAGTTGCCTTCCAGGGTTAGTAGTTCGGGGTAGTGTAGATATAGAAAGGTACTTGTCTTACAGGGATGCATGCCCTATTAGGGGACAGTTGTCATAATATGGGGAGAATTACCCTAAGGGGATAGTTGTCCGGGGGTAGTTTAGATATAGGAAGGTACTTGTCTTATATAGAGATGGAAAGCCATATAGGGGACAGTTGCCATGAAGGAAACAGTTGTCCCCTTGTAGTATTTTCCCTTCTATTCCTAAAGGGTTTTTTGTCCTTTAGGGTGTTGTTGTCCGGGAATGAGAGTCAAGGGAAAAGTCGTCCATGGAGGTGTTTCACAGAGATCCTAAGTTGAACTTATCTTTAAGTTGGACTTCAACATTATGGAAAGCGATTAGCATCTTTGAAAATATTTTGTAAAAGTTATTTTAAAAGGCATAAAATATTGATTCAAATCATTCATATTTTCTATTATCAATTAGGAGATTTCATGTTCTTGATGTGGAAATTATGAAAAGTCTAAAATACTCGAATTTTTGCTTTTGAATATATTTTATTTCAAGGCTACAAATGTCTCTCCATTATGTTAAGTCCAACTTAGAGTTAAGTTCGATTTATGATCTTTGTGAAACACCCCCTGGAACTACAAAGAGGTTCTATCTATCTACTTACCTCACACCCTGATGACGTAGGTTGGATGTAAAAGCTTCCGATTCTGTACGTGTCACCTGGAAATGCATCATCGACCTCAGTATAGATGAAATAGCCTGATGATTTGAGAAATAAAGGCATTGAATTTTAATTTCCTCTAGTGTCATCTTTTAACAGGTAAATGTATTGTCTTGCGCTGTAAGCCTGTAACTGTCTAGTTTTTGTGTTTCATACAATTTAATCAATTTCGTATTGTTCTGGTGGTGGATGTGTTGACTTCAATAGTATGGAGTCGTTTTACGATGCCTATTAAAGCCAAACTGTCAGGAGTTAATTTCTATGGGACTGTAGTTCGGAGTTTAAGTGTTTTTTTAACCGTCTTCATAGGCTACAGGTTATTGTTTGGTTAACAAGTAAGCCAGGATGAAAAGAATATAACCGTGCACTAATGCGTATGATTACATTTCCCTAGGTCAATATGTTTTAATACATCTGATAATAAACTATACTTAACGAGAAGAAGAAGAAGAAGGAAAAGAAGAAGGAAAAGAAGAAGCAGGAGAAGAAGAAGAAGAAGAAGGAGAAGAAGAAGAAGATGACGACCATTTCCCCCACTTTTCTTGGGCTATATGACTCTTTGAAGCATTCTATTTATCTATTCTATCAAAGAAATACTCATTACCTTATACTAATTATGATTATAAAAATAATGATAATGATAATAATAATAATAATAATAATAATAATAATAATAATAATAACAATAATAATGATTATAAAAATATCGAGTATTTAGGAACTCTAAAAACGAAAAGCACCATAGCGCTTAGAAAGTAACAGAATGTGAAGAGAAACATTGAATACATAGACTCGTAAAATAGTCCCAACATGTTTACAAATATATTTTCATGAAGTGGAAAGGTCTTATTTTATCGTTACCGTTGTTACTAAAGGTAGTATGATCTTTCCAAGGGCCGGTATCACCGGTACCCGTTCCACCGGTCTTTCTTGTCCAATCTAAAGTGTCATCAGTGAGCTGCCCCCAGTAACACATGTTCGTCTCAAAGTCACACATCCTGTAGTCAGCTGAGATCGAAAATGATTAGAGCAAATATTATTAGTTCAACAGATTCATCTGGATAATTTCAAATTAGTTATTAGAAATTAAATTATTTGACGAGTCCAAAAGCTAGTTTACCTGTTTGGACTATAGACATCGAAAGTGTCACAGGTGAACCTTTTGAATGTGTCATTGAATTAATTCTTGATGAGAAGATTGGTAATGAGATGTTACGAAGAGAGAGGTAATGGTGGCAGAAATTATTGAAGTAGTAGCAGTAGGATTAATAGTGCTGTTGATGGTGGTGATGGTGATGGTGGTGGTGATGGTGGTGGTGGTAGTGGTAGTAGTAGTGGTGGTGTAGGTGGTGGTAATGATGATGGTGATCGTGGTCGGGATGTTGTTGATGATGGTGATGATGGTGGTGGTAGACTGGTGGTAGTGATAGTAACATACCACAATTTTGGGTCGACTCGTCCGTGCCATCACAGCAGTTTGGTGTATAGTCACATCTCTCACTCTTAGGATAACAATGTCCCGAGTCGCACGTCTCCTCTGTATCGGCATCACACGACCCCCCTGGAGGCAAAGGGAGGGTATACGCACACCCCTCGAATCTTAGATCGTCAATTGCGTAACCTCCCGTGTCAAAGTAGTCATTTCTGTCCTTTGCTTCAATCGAAAGCTAGAAGGATAATGAAAGTAGAAAATTTGTATCGTTAGAGAAAGAGAGAGAAATAGAACGAGCAGTTATGTTTTAAAGTCGACTTGCAGCATTTAAATGTCATGCCATGTGTGTCATTATCATAGTCATATCATATCATATATCCCCATAATGTTCTGACTTTCACATATTTCAAAATTATCATGGCATTTGAAAACGTTTGTAGCTTAAATACTACATCTAATTCAATATCTTATATCCAGTGGCCTATCCAGCATTGAATGGGTCGGCGTATGCCCCCCCCCCCCTCTTTTGAAGGCACAGGGAAGTAGATCAAATAATGCCCAGACTCATTACCCTCCCTCTCCCCGACTCCCTTGTCTCCCCCGCTTAAGAATTTCTGAACACACCACTGGTTAAATATTTATGCCTTGTGTGCACGAGGCGTCATTACCCTGACGTAGTACTACTTCAGTGATATCAATGACGCAACATGTGATATTGACATTATACACAAAGCGATTGTACAATGATCAATGCAAACAACGCGTTAAAGTATTGGCGCACGGGCTTATTGCCTTGCAAAGGCTTGATCAGCGAAGGTAAGGACGCAATCGAATATACACACCACCAACGGGCACAAAATCTGACCTGAAAGTTTTCAGCGCAAGCTTCCACTTGGACTTCGTACAGGTTCCATCGATCCTTGGTGGACATGTCTTCGCCGATATCGACTACGGTCATGAGGTTGTAGTTCCGGTCGTTCGATGGGGTGTACTGGAGCACCTTCAAGGTTCCCATGTCCACGCCGTAGACGTAGTACCACATGGAGAATATGCAACGTCGGGCAGCCATCTGGTAGGTTGGGCTACGGATGATGGCTTTTTGATCGAATTCACTGTAGGTGTCGTCAACGTAGAGATAGTGACCTGCCATTAAGGTAGGATGCCAATAAAAATAGAGATAATTGTGACAATAATTTATTGTAGGTTAATAAATACATGAATACATGAATAAATAAATCAATGACTGAAAAGATAATTGAATAAAATGAATAAATAAATCAATGACTGAAAAGATAATTGAATAAAATGAATAAATAAATCAATGACTGAAAAGATAATTGAATAAAATGAATAAATAGATGAATAACTAAATTAATAATTAAGTGAAATAGCAATAAATACATTTTCTTTATGCTTATCGCCGTCTCAGTCGTTTTCGTCGAGCTCATCAACGACATTACGTTTTTTTTAAAGGGTATAGACATCATGTAATCGTCATCATTCCTATCAATGTCACTATTATTATCATAAACAACATCATCATCATCATAGTCATCATCATCTTCATCGTCATCATCACCATCACCTCCTTCATTTATATTTCCCTGCTGGAAAGAACACACTCATTCACACTCATTCACACTGTGAATCACAGTGTGCTCCACAATGTTAAATTGGGCGTTTTCACATTGTGGTTCACAGTGTGGATAACCGGAAAAGAAAAAACACACTCATTCACACTCATTCACAGTGTGAATCACACTGTGTTTCATTGGGCGTTTTCACATTGTGCTTAGTTCGTTTCACATTGTGCTTAATTCATTTCACACTGTGGTTCACAGTGTGGATAACCGGAAAAAGAAAGAACACACTCATTCACACTCATTCACAGTCATATTGCGCCGATTGTCTCATTTTCGCTCGCGTGAACATTGCCAGCACAAAACACTGACCTCTACCTCCTGGACGGATCATCGCCCATTCCCATTCACTCTACGTTACGTACTAAAAGTCTGTATTGTCTGACCGTTCATGAATATTCATGTTTTTGCTAAACTCGGCAAAATGTTTGCTTTTACTAAATGGAAAAATTACGGTGGGGGGTTGGGTGAAATGGACATAATGAACATAGCAGAAGTGATAATTGATAATTCATGCTTCTTATCCTTCGTGTGCTTGACCTATATTCTTACAATCACTTGGCAGACTGAGTCCAAAGTTCGACTTGTTTCACATGTGTATTATAGGCAATGGCGAGCTTGCAACCTATTTTGAAAAATTACGGTGGGTGAACTTTCAAAAGTCAATGAGACATGAGGGCTCCAATGAAAGAGCTAGTGATAACGTACGTCGGGTGGATGTGCTTTTCGTTTAAACAAAAAATGAATTTTTAACGATTAAAAAAAAAAACTTCCATAGGCTAACATGTATGGCTGCCGACTCTGACGATAGGGGGCGTTGTGAAATGAGACTAAACGGAGCTATATGGTGAATCACACTGTGTTCACAGTGTGAACTGTGATTTCACACTGTGATTCACACTGTGATTCACATTGTGAATGAGTGTGAATGAGTGTGTTCTTTCCAGCAGGGATTCCTCCTCCTCCTCATTATCATCATCATATCATCATCGACATATTCAAATCATAAATGATACAATGTTGCAAACTGAGAAAAACTGCGAGTTAGTGAAATTGGCTGAAAAATCGTGATTCGTTTGATGATGAATTTCACAATGATTATTGGTTAAAAAAAAATCATAATTACGAGTTTGACTCTTTTTTTTTCTTCCACAAGTGGGGCTTTTTTTTAGACAGACAGTTTTACTAACATATTCAAATTGTATGCATACTTTTTTTTTTACTGGACCTCTAGGAAAAACAGAGCTATTTTAATAATGGCTCTGAATAGATTATTCCAGCCGTTTTTAATTCATGATTTGTATTATATTTGTAAATTGTATTCTTGTATCTATTTACATTTTTATACGGAAAATGAAACCAAACAAAAGAAAAGCTTGGCTGAGTGTTGCCCGACATAGCAACGAGTAATATAAGCAGACTGGATTCCGGGCATTGTAGTTCATTCATTAGAACTGTCCCCAGGAAAGAAAAAATTAAAAATTTGAAGATATTAGTAAACCGGTCTATGGGGAGGGACCTTTGAGCAAAAATCGCCATTCTTATCTCTCGAAATGGTCGACTCTGTCAACAATTCGAAATGTACCATGATACTGCATGATACCCTTAAATTATGATATCTTATCTTCATGCATGGAATGTAATGGGACACATACAGATAAATGGGTGCTGTAATTGCTTGTTATACCCGTAACAGATACATAAATTATAATTAATGTGTAAATATTACACTTTTGAGTGTTTACATTTGACTAATTTGCATTGATACTAAATCAGAGATAAACATAGCATTTGCCAACGACGGAAATAAGTACAGATTTTTTTTTTAAAGTACAAATCAAGGCACTTTATCTACTATACAAATGTAATTTGTTTAAGTGGTGACAATAAAAAAATGAAAAAAACTCGAACTTTCCCGAGAGTGCAGTGGGTTGTTAAAGGTCTTATGTCCCTTTTGCAGCCAACCTCAAATTCTGTAGAACTTTGCAGGAATTATGAATATGTTATGTATGTCCTGTCTGTGAAATTATGATGTAAGCAGTGTCCTAATATTCAAATTATGCAAGGAAACCTGTTTACTTGCTAGACTTCACTGTCAGACATTATTGAGTGACTGACTGGCTTTTTTTCTTCCTTGATAATAACATACATAAAATGAGCTGTAAAAGGTACATGAGCATTTGTCTACATCAATAACCCACTTCTTGTGATGGCCACAATTAAACTGATTGAATCTTTGCGCAGCATAAAACGTATGACCATTCAGTACAATGGTCTGAAAATCAAGACTATTACTTATTGGCTCTATAGCTCCTAAGTCGATTTGAAAACTAATAGTCGTTATTTTCCCACTTGAAGACATTTTCAAGCCCCACCTTTTTAGGGAAGTTCTAAATTAGTATTATCTTTCAAGTGCCGTTGGAATTTAACCTTTTCATTTTTTTGGCCTGCAAATGGGACATAGTACCTTTAATGCAGATAAAGAATGTGAATTGTGCTCTCAAGAAATAAATTATCATCATCATCATTAGTATTATTATCATAATCACCATCGTCATCATTATTATCATCATCAGTATGATGAAACATTTTAAAGCCTATCTGCACTAGTTTGGCTAGGAGGGATTATAATAGACCTCCCTGCATGGTCACTGATATGTGGTTATCTCATCAAATCAGCTCTCAATTAACATTAAAAAAGGGGACCATTCGGGACCAACGGTCACCGCTTAGGCATTGTTTGCTATATAGTTGGCGCAAGTAGCTATAAGTAGTGCAGTGGGGCTTTAAATGAGGCCAGAATAAAGACTTACCGTTAACACTGTTTAGGGTGTGGTCGGCTCCTGGACCGTAATACCACTCGGGTTCATTGTTCATGAACATTGTCCAGTTCAGATCGAGACTCGCATCATGATACCACTCACACAAACCACCCTCAAAATCACATGTCGCAGCTAGAGGGGGAAAAGAGGGGGAGATGGGGAGATGGAGGGAGAGGTGGAGGGGGAGGGGGAGAAGGGGAGAGGGGATAGGGAGAGGGGGAGAGAGAGAAATAGGGACAAAGATAAAAAGAAAGAGAGTTAGATAGAGGGAGAGAGAGAGAGAGAGAGGGAGAGCAAAAAGGAGAGATGGTGATAAAGAAAGGAAGGAGGGAGAGAAAAAGAGAGAGAGAGAGCAAAAAGGAGAGATGGTGATAAGGAAAGGAGGGAGGGAGAGAGAGAGAGAGAGAGAGGGGGGGGGTGAGAGTATGGAAGAGATAATGGCAGAGAACAAGAAATATATGATTATTATGATGATGAACATGATGAAAACAGATTGAGAGAGTGAGTGAGAAAGAAAAAAAAGATAAGATAGAGGGAGAAAAAAGGTGGAAAGAGGATAAGAGATATATCTGATTTCACGAATATAAATCATAAAGAGTAAATGTAATAAAGAAAACACAAATAATATAGAAATTTGTCTTAGAAAACGGTGAAACATGCCAAGATGGTTCTAAAGCACTGAACTAGTTTGTTGATAATTTCCAGCTCCATATTATTGCTTTATTTCCACTTGTACATCTTAAAAAATAAATTGATGATTTTCATAGATTCAATTTCTAATTTTCTAATCGTACATAGATCTATAGTCAGAAAATATGTTTTTTTTAAATATTTATTTCAAGTGTATATTTTATAGAATAGAAATTCAGAGGATATAATGATAGCCACCCCCCCCCCCAACCAAAAAGAAAAGAAAATTGTCATAAATACGTGTTGTTTCACTTTCAGACATTTGTTCTCAAATCATTCAACCCAAACTCCATACATCAAGGCTAAAATAACTTGACTCAAGTAAAAGTCATTACTTACGACACGTGCTTTCATCGAGTCCGTCAGAACAGTCTTCCCTGAAATCGCACACGTTTTCGTCGTCGATCACCAGCCCATCGGTACATCTGTAGCCTTGGACTGGATACGAGTATGAAGAAAATCATACCAACATGAAACATGGAGCATTAACACAGAAATCATGTACATCCCGATGCAGAATCATTATCATTTTAATTATCATTATTATAATTATCATTCTTCCTCTTCTACTGCTACTTCTGCTTCTCCTCTTCCTCCTCGTCCATCTCCTTCTTCTCCTTCTTTCTTCTTATTCTTCTTCTTCTTCTTCTTCTTCTTCTTCTTTTTCTTCTTCTTCTTCTTCTTTCTTCTTTTTTTTTCTTCTTTTTCTTCTTCTTCTTCTTCTTCTTCTTCTCCTTCTTCTTCTTCAGTTTTCTTTTTACATATTATGTAAGGTGTAGAAATTAAAAATAGATAGATTGCTTAACTGCACGTCAATGAGGTGGCGGGTGCCCTATGGTAATTTCAAAATTCTCGAAGGGCGCTGCAGCCCCAGTCCCCAAGCCTCTATCCCCTGCCTTACTTTTAAACACAATGAAATCAAATAATACCTGAGACTTATATTGAGAGTAATAATATGTAACTCACCTGATGTAATATAGAGTATCAAAAACAATCCCGTCAAATACAACTTCCTATTTTCCGCCTTCATTATTTCCATCGAGTATTTTCTTCAGGACTATTTTCCACTGTAGCTATTTCCACACAGAAATCACAACGCGTTTTATCTTTCTGGTTGTATATCTAAAAGTAATCTGACTCAAAAGTTTGCAAAAATAATCCACACACGGTTCAAGAATCAAAGTGTGTTTAATCACTATCAACCCTGATTGTTTGTTTTCAAATGAGAGGATAATTATGGTTATCATTTAGAGCATGCAAACTTCGGTTGCTAATTTGTAGCCTATCAAGATAAAAACAAAAACAAATGTAAATAAGATTACATCCTAATGAAGTTCATTCGCAAATCGGATGAAGCTTTGATTGAAAAAGAGAATAGTGAATAATATGAAAGAATGTAAAATATTGTTCTCATTTAATTTATTAAAGTGAAGAGTTACTTATAGTTTTAGACGTCCCCATTGTACATCTCTCTCTCTCTCTCTCTCTCTCTCTCTCTAGCTCTCTCTCTCCCCCTCTCTCTCTCTCTCTCTCTCTCCGAAGTCTCTCTCTCTCTCTCTCTCTATATATATACACACATATAATAAGAACTGATTCTGCAGACAGTTTAGCTTCAGCTAGATTTTACAAAGCGCAACATGCATACATGTAATATAGTCGATGCGCGCTCATTTGACATTGACATTGACTTTGACATTTCGCGTAACCTACTTTGCTATGCGTATTCAATGGGCAAGGGTGGGCAAGTGGGGTAGTAGCAAAAAATTACTTTACAAAAGTACTATCTAGCCTAAGGTAGATAGTACTTATCTATATTTTATCATGTGACCTCGTTTAGACCGATCAGATTGCAAGATTCTTAGTATGCGGGATATAAATATATTTATGTTTCCTCCTCTCTCTTCATTTTCTCTTTCTTCTTCTCCCTCTTTTTATCTCTCATTTTTCCCAGAACTCTCTTCTCCCCCTTCTGTCTCTCTTTCTCTCTCTCTCTCTCTCTCTCTCTTTCTCTCTCTCTCTCTCTCTCTCCGTCGATCACCTCTACCATTCTCGCTCTTCTTTTTTTTTTGCATTCCAACCTATCCTACGACAATGAGTGTCAATTAAGGTAAAGTTCGTAATGAAACACTGATGATATACTCTGTTTGTCTTGATATACCTTTAGACTGTCTTTATCACACAAATTATCAAACAAGAAGTTAAACAAAACATTTGAAGAGATAATATGCAAGGTGAGTTGCAACAACCTACTTTATGAGTATGAAAACACTTTATCGAAATTATTTACCTTGATTTACCTTTATGTTGGGCTTCAAGTATAATTACTTATATGTCTCTCTGCAGCAGGATTAATGTCTGAAGTACTGGGGATTGCGCCGACGTCGGAGCTTCGGACATGCAATAGCAAGGGAAAATACATAATAATAATATTCGGTTCTTGCATAGCGCATATCACATTATATAACGTTGTTGCGTTAGAATTCAGTGAGCTAGTACGGCTTATGATCATAATATACCAGCTCATTGCACAACATTCTCATTTCCTTATTCTTCTGTGTCTCATTTCATCATGTTTTCTGCTTCTTCCCTCTCTTTCAGCATAACCATCATCAGCATCATCATCACAAAGGCGCCTTCTTCTTTTTCTTCTCTCTCAAACGTACACCCTAACCCACTCACGTGCGCATAGGCATATACACGCCCAACCGCATACGCAAACAGACTCTCTCTCTCTCTCTCTTCTTTTTTTCTTCAAAATAAATCTCAATAAGCCATACTAAACAAGACGTTTGCTCAGATCATTCTGTGTATTTATTCATGTATTATATAGCAACCGTAAGTAATCAACTTTAATTCCACAAAGAGCTACTATACGTGAATATTGTGATTATAGTGAAGGAAATCAAGAAAACATAATTACGACACTTGGTGATCGAGAGTTATATACAACATAGGAAATAGAATTTATCTTTATGCTAGATAACAAGAGATGTTTATATATTTCTCGGATTTGAATAATTCAATTTCTTCTAAAGCAAAAGGCGGGAAAAGTATAGTAAAGTGTGTACTAGTTCCTTATAAAAAAAATATTTAAAAATCCTTTTTTTAGTTATGATGTTGACGCTCTCCAGTCAACATTGTCTCAATGATACATTAGGGGGTTTAAGGACGTCACACTTAGCAGTCAACTATGTCGACGTGCAAATCGAAAAGTCTCTATTGATAATTGTACTACCTGGCATTATATAGAAACGAAACACAGTGACCATGAAAAGCATGTTTGAAGCAATCAGATCATTTCGAAGAACGGGGAAATAATTTGTAAATACCAAATGATTTTTAACTATGCTTCGTTTGAAAGGAGATACGCAAAATTAGTGACAATATTAAATGAAAATGTTTTATTTTCTTTATATTTTTAAATGGCTAAATGCCAACAAAATTGATTCGGCATGTACAGATTACCTTTTTCTTTCGGGGGTAATAAAAGGATGTATAGCAAGTTGAAAATGGCAGTATTCTAATGATATTTGAGACTATCCGTGTAATTTACAGGTAAAAAATCACTTGCTGTTGATAAGCAGCTGCCAGTTGACAGAAATCTTCAAAGACCTAAATAATTCCTGCATATCAAAGGTATTTTCTCAGTTTGAAAATGATTATGGTAATGATTATAGTGAAGTTGCTCATATATTCATGATACCATGGAATGTTACAAAACATAGTGATAACAATAATTACAATGGCAATTAATGAGAGCATCTGGGATAGGCATAAAGGATGGATTCCTTATATGAAAGCCTACCCCGAAACACAAACATACAGAAAAAAAGAACATACTATCATTATCATGTACAATCAGATTTAAAAAAAACTCTAACAAGAGAGTTTAACTAATTTACTTTACAAAAGTGTCAAAGTTGCCCATGCTATTCTACTGATTATTATACTTATTTAACAGAAATTGTTTATATTTCATTTTTAAAAGATTGAGAGTTCTGCATTTTCTAATTTCCAAAGTTATACTATTCCATATTACTGGTCCTTTAGAAAATAGAGAAATTTTCATACATGTCGTTCTTATTTTGGGGAGGACTCAAGGTTGAGAGTACTCCATTCTAAGATTGTCAATAGTTTAATTCCTACAAATAATTGTTTAAAATAATGCATTGGAAAAAAGGCAATGAAAGAATGCACATTTTGTAAAATGTTTGATAAAACACTTATTTGTTCTTTTTGTTCCCCTATGTTTCTACGTTTTGTATAGCAGTACAAAACAAATTGTTTTCTATTATCAACTTTCTACAAAATACAACACTACTGGGAGTTATATTTGGTATAATCCAAATAATACTTTTGACACTAAATCTGTAATTTTGCATGATGTTGTTTGGTAAACAAATTATATTGCTGTGCAACATTATATCTGTCACACCTGGTGTATACGTTTTCTATCGGCTTTCAAAATATTAATATGCAATATGCAGGAAAAGAGTATATATCTAAACGAAACAAAATTCATCATCCTTATTTCAAAAAGTGACATAGAATATCAGAATGTGTAAAATAATGCATACACATCATGTGTATTACATGTACATAAGACTTCCTACTATGATGTCTCACAAAAGTCTTCTTTTTTTTATTGCGTTTTTTAAAAAACATATTCACTATCTTGCAAATATGTCAACAAGAATCACAATTTTCCTTTATATGAATGTGATAGACAGGCGCGTAGCAGGGGGTTAAACCCCCCCCCCTTTGGTATTTTAATTTGTGTATTTTTTAGGAAACCCCCCCTAAACCCCCCCCTTTGATTTAAAAAAAAAATAAAGTATGCCCATGGCTGACCTAAAAAATACCCCCCCCCCCAACGAAGAAAAATGTCAAATTTTCAAATTTCGAGACCAAAAAAAAAAAAAGTATCCCCCCCCCCCCCCCCCCCCCCCCCCCACTGAGCGACTTTTCGGTCGGCGCGATTTTCAAATTTTCGGGAGCAAAATAATAAAGCTGAGTTGTTGCGAAATTTTGGGCCCTATTTTTAACCCCCCCCCCCCCCCTTGAAAAAATCCTGCGTACGCCACTGGTGATAGACGATGTGATTTTGTAGTTTGTTATTATTTTGTTTGATCCAATAAAATAGTTTTGATTGAAAAAAAAATCTTTGATATTGCGTTTAATCTTTTGTTATTTGTATCTGCATAATACAAGAAACTGCTCTTTTTTTAGGGGGGGGGGGGGTAGATCACGATAAATGTTTGTATTTTCTACTCATTGATGATTCCCTCGATCCAGTCAACATAGTGTGGTACTTTGGTGAAGACACCGTATGTATTACCACATCCGACCCCGTAGCTCACGATCCCGATCTGCTTGTATTTTCCTCGCCGTTGCACGACCATGGGGCTACCTGAATCGCCTTGGCATGAATCCCTCCCGTTCCCAGATCCCGCACAAAATTCAGTAGTCGTGTTCACAGCTACCTCATGCATGATCATCTCTCTGCTACACGAACTATCTAGAACCGGTGGTATCATGATTTCCATGAGAGCAGGCGAGTTATATCCGTTGAAGCTGGTATAACCCCAACCTGTGACGAAAGCCGTCCTTTTAGGATTCACGTACCAATTAGCTAAAAAATATAAATATTCAAGTACATAAAGGGGAGAGGGGGAGAGGGGGGGGGGGGTGAAAACAAAAGAAGACAAAAATAATGATAGACCTACAAATAATCATGCACAGAGAAAGCGAAGAACCAACATAAACTCTTGTATAAGTTTTAAACTCAAGTTTGCGAATCCTCAAGTTTTAAACAACGACCACTCACAACAACACGAGTTCACACAGGACCGAAGCAACGAGTGATTGAATATTTTAACTACAAGTCAAGTTGGCAGTAGTATGTTACAACAGGTTGGCGAAAAATCGACGTTAATTGCATATTGCTCATAGTTTTCACGTAAACCCTAAGATCGTTCGAATAAACTTATAGGCCTGCATTCACAAAGGAGGTTTGTCGACAAACCTTGGTTTTCGTGCGTCATATGACGCGTTTCGACGCGTTTTTACATACCAGGTTTGTAAAAAAACGTGTAAAAACGCGTCATATAACGTATGAAAACCAAGGTTTGTCGACAAACCTCCTTTGTGAATTCGGGTCAAAGTGTGCGAAACCACGAGTAACCTATAGTTAGCGAAACCACGAGTGCATCGATCCGAACGGTCCTTCATACAAATGATACACAGCAGTGGAGGCAATAGTTTAACCGTGTTTACACAGTGATCCGCCTCGAGGGTTGAAGCCGGGTTGAAGCCGCGAGGGGGTTGAAGCCTCTAAAGCGCGCAAATGTGATCGTGTTTATGCTAGGAGTCCACTGGGCCAGCGCCAGTTGGTGCCAGTTTGCGCCAATGCAATTTACTGTGGCGCCTAGTGTCGCCAATAAGGTGCCTAGTGGCGTGTAGTGGCTCAAACTGCCTCCCAACTGGCTCGTGGTGGCCCGTAACGGCACCAAATTTGAATGTGGCGGCAAGAAAATTTCAAAATGTTTGAAATTTTCGTCGCGCCACATGCATCGATCATTAGCGTCAAGTGTCCGCCAAGTGGCACCAAATGGCGCGAACATATCGCCCTTTGGCGCAAACAATCCGCCTATTGGAATCCACTGGAATGTAATGGCGCGCGCCAAGTTGCGCCAATGAGATTATCGCGCCACATGGCGCCACTTGGCGCCAAGTGGCACCTTGTTTGCGCCACTACGCGCCAAATAATTCCAACAGAGGCGGATAGCCCGCCTAAGCGCGCCAAATGTGCAGTGGCCACCTCAGCATCTCTCATCATCTTCTGATGGAGCAGCACCATCACTCCAACATTATCAAAAGCCTCAGACATATCAAAATTGTAAATATTTAGTAGAGATGTTCATACAGCAGCTGAGGAGGGTCTGAACCCGGTAGCCGATGGCCGGTATTTATATAGTCGGCAAGTAGCGCCAAGCGGCGGCAAGTTCAAACCAATTTGGCGACCTTTGGCACAAACTAATCACCAAGTGGCGCAAAGTAGCCGTCTATTGGCGCGAATGGCGCCAACAGGGTGAATTTTGGAATCAAATGGCCGTGTAATGGCGCGAACTGGCGCAAACTGGCGCAACATTTTGGAGCAAGCCGGGTGGCATTTGGCGCACGCCATATGGCACCCAGTTTATTCCACTTGGCGACACATGCCGATCGGACATTAATTCGGCGCCACAGCGAGCCACTACGCGCTAATCACATAATCTTTGGCGCGAACTGGCACCAACTGGCGCTGGCCCAGTGGACTCCTAGCATAACACAGCAGAAAAAAATGCGGCTTAAACCCTCGAGACGGATCGCAATGACGTCACAATACGGGGAATTTGACCTACATCAGCTTCAGCTATGACAATGACAATTTATTCTCACGTCACCCACATTGGAGTATTGGAGAAGTTTACAATCAGTTTGAATTTGTCAATTTAACACTGTGAAATATACAATACAAATAGAATTAATGATAATCCATACAAAATAACACTATCGACAATAGTTAGACAAATTATGATGATAATGGTAATAACAATATTGATGATGATAATAATAATAATATAAAACAAAACGATAATATTAATTAAAACGATAATTAATGACGAAATGAATTGAAGCTATTAAAAAGGAATTTACTGGCACCAATAAATTGATATCTGAATTAATGAATTACTGATAATATTCTTGATATCAATTTAATAAATTGATATAAGACAAAAAAAGAGAAAAATTAAGTTAATATTGAACTCATAACATGTTTTTTGCACATACTTAAATTAATGAAAACGAAGCATTATTTTTCGACAGAATTTTACTAAGTTTAAACGTGTTTGTACATTATTGGAATTAAAAAGCTGATCCATTTCAGTGTATTTGGTCTTTCAATAAAAAATTTATCGATGAACAATTTTCTGTCTGAACGAAAGGTAGGGCATACAAACAAGTAAATGAAATTCATCCCCAAGCGATTGCAAATTACACAGCGTACATAGCCTCATTTCCCTTGGAGTATTTGAATATCTACCAGCTACAATCGGCAGGTAATGATTGCCATAGCGAAAACGACTTAATATTGACCGACCTCTTTTAATGAGATCGATTAAGTATCTTTCTAAACATAAAGAATGTTTGAAGATTCGATAGTTAACACAATGCGAATTATCGTACATACAAGCAGACCAATACTGAGCATGAGAATCTCTCAATCGACGTTCCACAGTTTGTTTGACCCACTCACAGCTAGTATTTTCACAAATTTCCATTAAATTAGACATCCCCATATTGTCCAGAGTCAGCTTGATTTTTTTTAACCAAGGTGCCTGATATATATTCTTCTCAAAGAGTAATTTTAAGATAATATACACCTTACCAGAAAATTTATCTTGTCCACTATGTACAATCCTACACCAGAAGTTTATCATTCTGCTTTCGAAATATTTCTCAAGTCACTGGGGGGTCCAGTAACATACGCGCGGCCTATTTATACTTTTTAGGTTGCGCATAAAAGAAAGCTATGCGCGAATATCAGTACTACAATTTTCATTGGCTGCTCACGTCGGCCCACATCTTCAGCTAATGAATAATACATGAAGTGTGCAAGTATCAATGAGCAGTAGTATACATGAAGAATTTTTTATCAACACGAGCACATGCTACTCGTAAAACTAGTCGCTCATTCAGAGCAAATCCATTGATATATGGCACACATTATTAACGATATGGAAGAGATTTTTATATATTCTATCGTCAGAAAAATCATAAATTATTGAAGATATGAAAGAGAGAGAGAAAGTAAAAGGTAATTTTCATAAATTCGTAACAATACTGGTAATAGTCTATGCAAGCAGTGTATCAAATTCGCCTCAGATACGTGTTAACTCTCATGAATCTAGACTAGGCCTAATGCCATACCGTATAGTAGGAGTATATTATTAGTAATAATGTAAATTTGCTAAATTCAACTTCACGTTGAACAAACTTACTTCATTTACAGGCAACATTTAATATGGTATCTTTCATTTCAATGAAGTGAAAATATATTAATCATGATACTTAAACATTCATGAAAAAGAAAAGTTAAATTCATTCAAGGCAACATAAATCTAACGGAGATTGGAACACTTTTTGTTGTTGAAGACTGATCGTAAGCAGGGGCAAAACTGAGAGTAGATGAGGTCTAGCTAGCTAGCTGGCTTCAACCCTCGAGGCGGATCAGATCCCGTTTACACGACAACAAAACTGCCGGGTTGAAGCCGCGAGGCGGGTTGAGACCTGCAATTCTGGTGGATTCAAAAGGCGGCTTTAACCCGGCTTCAATCCTCACTGGGATCCCGTTTACACACATAAAACTGCAGGCTTCAACCCGGCTTCAACCCCCTCGCGGCTTCAACCCGGCTTCAACCCTCGATGCGGATCACTGTGTAAACACGGTAAATTACCCACACAATTGCGCGGCCAAATGCGCGGCCAAATTGGCCGCGCATTTGGCCCTGATCTGGAGGTAGTCTCGGCCGCGGCCAACTGTTACCCCGGAAGTGAAAGTTCGCCGTGTATAGGAAATTGGAGAAAAGATTCACTGCAAATCGCGCGCGACTGGATCTGCACTGTGACACCCGGCGCGCCCCCAAATAATCGTTTGTTTACATGCAGAGCGCCACTCTGACAAAATATTGAAAGGTTATTGAAAGGATTAGGCCTGGCTCGGCCCGGCCCGGCCCTGGCCCTTTTCCATATGGAAACGTTGTATCATCCTCTCAATCTGACTTGCGTGCATAGGACAAAAATGCTTATTTAATAAGCATTTTTCCATGAAAAAGTGAAGTTTTCTCAAATGTGCGTTTCTTTCCAGCATTGGGGTGCCCGGAAGTCACTCGGGTAACATTTCATTAAGTATAATATAAAAAGACCATATGTACATTTTCTGTTCTTTTGTCGGAAAAAATATATTTATCCAGCACAATGTCGTCTCTTTTTGCGTTGGAGAAGAGCAAATAGCGAGTTTCAATCACACGTTGGCCGCTCTTGCAAGCTCTCACTCGTTTCACTGTGGTCAAGCGACTTTGGGGCAAGCGGTTAATGAAAAGACTAATCGTTAGCATTCTTCTGGTATTAAACTTGTTTTGATCGGAATAAAGGAAACAAAAAGGCTAGACCAATAACTTATCAGCGTCTGAAGTGACATTTTGACCTTAAATTCCCTGATGCAAGCGCACATAAACAGGTTCTAATGACGTCATCTTCGATAAATCGGTGTCTTTTATCCATCTTTTTCAATTATTAGTAAGATATAAAATATTTTGTCTGATATCACTGAAGTTTTGGGTTTTATTTAATGAGTAATTTAAAAAAAAAAGCCATTTTACTGTTTTAATTTACTGGATCGTATCAATAAAGTCGCAGGGTAGAAAGATGCATTTTCCAACCGCGCCAAATTTAAATTTAACGTTCCGACATTCTGTTAAATGGGTTCGTGTTGTTAAGAATCCACTACTTTCTGCTCCACCAAACATCCACATGCGGAGTCGTTTATCAACTAAATTATTCAAATTTATGGATGCTTCCTTCCCAGGTGTTTGTGTTGTTGAAGCATTTCATTCACCTGCTATCATTCTTTGTACTCCAATTGCCAGAACGCAAATTACATTTTGGTTTTATAGTTTCATGCGGATTCGTTTATCAACTATATGTATTCAAATTTATGAATGCTTTCTTCCCACGTGTTTGTGGTGTTTATGCATTTCATTCACCTGTTATTATTCTTTGTACTCCAATTGTTAGAATACAAAATGAATTTTGGTTTTATAGTTTCATTCAATAAGTAAGTCAACAAAAGAGTATGTTCTGCACAATAAAAACAATGTGTGCCCCTATTGTCCAATGTAATGTGTCCCCTCATTTGTAATAGTTAATTTACCCATTCACATAATGGAACTACCTGCCCGGTGAAGCCAGTGGCCCGTGACCTCTGAGCACTCAACATCGTGTGGGAGTCAGTTTGTGGTCAACTTCTTTTATGAGGCAAATCCCAGCAAGCGTTTCCATATGCACTGTAAACGGGGTCTAACACGCCTGAGGCGATAGCCGATGTTTTTTTTTAAATGTTTCGAAGGTACGACTGTGGGTAATTTTACTAATGCGCGAACAAAATGATGTGTATTATTTGTTGTATAAGATGATTTTTTATTTGTTTTATATTAAACATGATTTTACTAGTAAAATTACTTGTTAGGCAAAATAAATGCCTGGTAACGTTTACGCTCTCAACCAATCATATGATTAGGATCCGCTTCATCATCTTAGAAAACAAGATAACCTTGAAGTTTAAAACCACAAGCTAAACTTATTTTACGGACTTGTGTGAACCTAGTTAAAGATAGATCGATGAAGATGGAGAGACAGGTAGAGAGGGTGGGTGAGAGAGGGAGGGAGAGATGTAAAGACAGAGAGAGGGGTGGGAGAGAGGGAAGAGAGAGATGGGATGGGAGACAGTGTGGGTGAGTGGGAGAGAGAGAGAGAGGAGGAGAGGAAAAGGGGAGTGGGGTCAAGAAGAGAGATGATAATTCCACCTAAACATTAGGAGATACAGACCACCATTTATATTGATATTGTGCACACTATACAGTGCAAGAAATAAACAAAACTGATTCCATATTTCTCCTTTCTATTTCCTCTTCTTCAGGATCATCCTCATTATCGTCATCAGTAAAAGAGAAGATTTGTGAAGCGCGGTGGGGAGACTAGAAGGAAAAGAATGGCCGGATAAAACAGCTACGAAAGATTGCAGATTTTGAGCTCTATTCACTTTAAGGAAGGCTTGGGATTGTTGCGGCTAAGGGATTCTGTACGACATCGGCAGTGGAGCATGCAAGAGCAAAAATAAAATAATTAGTTAGCAGTCTTTATGATTTTAACTCTAAAATTTAAACTCAAGTTTTAATCAAGTTGATAAACCATTGATATTAGCTTGGATTTTAACGCAATTGAAAAGAAATAAAAGTCCTAAATACCTGATCATGATAGTGTGGGAAATCACCAGTTGTGAGGAAAACGTCACCATGTCGGAAATACGTTTGAAACGGTGAGTAAAAATGTGAAAGACCTTTATAATGCGAGTATTATTTTACATTATGCAAATTTTTTGATAATATCTAAAATCAATTTCACCATCCTGTCCTATTTCATACGTCAAAATCGTTTTCAAATACCTTTTGGGGGGTCATTTGGTGGAAGGCAGACAGTACGTACGAATGGACTCAGCTCTGCTTCACGATCCAAACGCAAGAGGGCGATGTCATTGTGCTCTCCTCCGTCGGGGTTCTTGAAGTAGTCCGGGTGCGTAATCAATTCGATCACATCGAACTCCTGGGCCCTTTGCATATCCTTCACTCTATGTGTCAGTCCTAAATATATAAAACAAAAGACGAGCATTTTGGATTGTACAGAGATTTAACGCCGTAAATAGGTCATGTGATGACAACATATTTTTCATGAAAAAAACAACTATGAATTTAAGAAACTGTTGTTTTTTTGAGGCAAGATTTTTTTTTTTTTAGGCAATGTTTTATATTTCTGGGAATTTACAGGTAAAAAAAAGACTTCATTAATATATGAAAATTAAACAAAGGAGAGAGAGAGAGAGAGAGAGAGGGGTCGAAAGAAGGGATGTTGAATCGAGAGACAACGGTAGTCAACCAAACGAGACGACATTCAGAGAGTCAGAAAGCCCACGTGACTCAGAGAACCACAATTTTGTACCTGTAAGAGATATCGAATATAATTACATACAATGACTTACAATATCCCTTTTATGTACTTCCCTTTTGAATTATGACTTCGAGTATATTTTGTTAATTTTTTATCTTTAGGCCATTGTTTTTTGTTGTTGGCATGTACATTATGAGAGATATTTAAAATACATCTCTATTAAATTAAAATCTATATCATGTATTTATGATTTTGATTAACATAACACCAAATATCTTGACTTCCAAGCTTTGTATGTACATTTGTTTAGATAAATAACTTACAGTGTCTTGTGATCCTAAATATATCATATATCTCGTATTGCAACATCTGTTTATACCATTATACATTTAATGTATCACCACTTTTCATATTGCATCCGCCACCGAGGGTGGGACCAGAGCTGTTATATTATCTATTCTGGTTGTCCATCGGTACATCCGTCTGTTCGAACGTCAGTCCCGCCTTTTGTTACCACAATAACCTAAAGGTACTAATGCCTTGGTCTCATTTGCTCTACGGCTAGAATACGGCGGCCGTCCGCCCCCAAAATTGAGAGATACTTGCGGCGACCGCAGAGAATCTGCGGTAGCCTCAGGGTCACCCTAGGGCGTGTCCCTTTCTTTACAGGCCGTACCGGTCGCCGTTGGATCATAACGCGGAATTATAACTGTTTTTATTTATAGGTTGGCCATAGCGATCAGACACGCCGTAGCCATGCCGTAGAGCGGTTCCACGGCGACCGTACGTCCGGTGGCCTTGCGTTTTATATACTCCAGGGGTGAAGCGGTAGCAAGAGTCTGGCCGCACGGTCGCCGTATGTTTCCCCTTCGACCGCTTTGCGGACACCTTGCGGCTACCTTGCGTCTGCCTTAGTATTTGTCAAAAAACTACGGCCGCCGGAGGGAGGCCCTAAAGCGACCGTTCGTCATCACTTCAAAGGCCGTACGCCAGCCGCAGATTTTCTGTCTCCACAAATTTAAAAAAGCCATGCGGCTACCCTAACATATGTGACCGTGGGAATGCTGCGGCGGCCCTATAATTGCTATTGGCCATAAATAGTTAAGACCGCACGGCCGCCGCGGCAAATGTGACCTAGGCATTAGTCCATTTAAAGGCAAAATAATGAAAAGGTTCAATTCCAACGGCATTTGAAAGATAATACTAATTTAGAACTTCATTTGATGATCATATGCTTGGAAACTACTGTATGTTTATGTCGTTTTTGCTTCATGGAGCTGGTTGGGGGTGGGGGTGGGGGGAAGGGTTTAGGTTGGGGGAGGGCGTATGGGGCATGTGACTAATAATGCCATCCCTTTGGAAAAATCGATAAATACACGAATACATCTGATGCTATGCTCATACTGATATCAGGTTTTATGAGACTTGTTAACAATATGTACTTGATTTATAAGGATGATACATGTATTAATTAAGGTATTAATATGCACATTCAATTTTTACATGATTGAACTTCAATTCATAACATCACACTTCTCAAAACACCATTTTTATGCACAATAGGCATATTAGCTGCAAAATATTCCAACAAATATCTCCCCTTGTATGATTGCTCGGAGGTAAAGTCCATAGCAACCAATTCTTAACTTTTTCTTGTTTTTTGCCGTTATTAATTAGTGCTCAAGTTTCAAACTTGGGAACATGTCATTTTTGTTTCAAATACACATTTCCAACATATTTAGCACATTTGTAGGCACTTCCCAGTCGGAGACCACGGAATTAAAAAACTAAGCAAGAAAACAGGCCTTGGCCCATGGTCTATGTAGGAAGTTAGGTGATTATAATACCGCATACGATATCAAATATGAAAGATCACAGGGTCATGAGAGCGTTAAAATCCCCAATTATCTTATTACATTGAGAAGAGTGATAACTTTAAAATAGAATCAAATTCAACCAATTTAGGCTCAGATATGTATGAGCAAAGAACGAGTTTTGGGGTATGAAGTGAGATGTTTAAGTTCACAGAATCGTTGATCAGTGAAATTATAGGCAGATGCATATTGTAAACACAGTCGAATTCATTTCGTCTAACTTCAGATCTGTAATACACTTGAAATATTTGTATCTATCCCTTTCCGATATAAAATTGTATATGATTAAATATGATATATGTTAATGAACATAATTTATTGGCGTATATCAGTGCTGTTGAATAAATACAATATAGTACGTAACACCACCTCAATGAACAGGAGCAGTATTCCCGCATGAACTTTTAAAGATTTTTCGAAGTACCAGAATCTTCAAACGAAGACCCAGACGATTTGGTCATCAAATTAGCAACCGAATCCCTTGGGATTCAGCTTACCAAATACGGAAAATCTCGCGACAACAAACCAAAAGCGATTATTGCGAAATTAAAATCCTACAGGAAACGGGACGAGGTCATGAAGAAGCGTCGTAAGTTGGCGGGAACTCGTCGGAAAGCCACTCTGGAGGATCAACGCTCAAAACGCAGACCTTCTAAACAAAGCCAGAAACGGCGAAAACATCAAAAGGCTGCTTGGTCACTGGATGGTCGCATCTTTGCAATAGGAAAGAGCCCTGGAAGTGTGAAGAAACTCATCCATTCCACTGAAGACGTAGGTTGCAATAAATGATTTATATCTGTACTCCTGGTTGACTCAATTACTTCAACATGACTTTCAAACTCTCTTTAATCGTTCATATGAATTATTTTCTCCCTGTGTTACTTTATCGTTGTTTTAACGTTGATTTGTGTTGATCGTAAACTTGCAGTAAGAACAGATTAAATTATAGGTTCTTTTAGTGAAAATAGTTCTAAGTTGAGGGCTGCGGGCACGTCAAGCTACTTTGCTTATCTATGTAGCCCTCCTGCATCTAATGTATGTTTATTATGCAATATATTTGTTTAATTTCGTTTATTATCTGTATAAAATATCATCCACTTAAAATATTGTATCGGACCATATTATGTTCATGAAAATGTATGATGAAAAATGAAAAGAGATGCAGAAACCAATAAATCAAATCAAATCAAATCAAATAATGCATGTAATGTTCATTCCTAAGATGCTCTCATAAATCTCTTCTATTTAATGAAATTGATGACAGCGATTTACGAAATTTATTTTGTAATGATACACATTCAAATACCGGAAGGCTACATGATTTGAATAATGTATATGCTGATTTTAATCTCAACATAATTTATGAATTTGAATTTCAATTGGTAAATAATTCTAATTGTAAATATTATCTGGATGAACATTTTATAAGTCATTTAATGGATGTAAAACATCATTTTAGTTTATTGCATTTTAACTCACGTAGTTTGAATACAAATTTTAGTGCAATATCAGATTTTGTAATCAAATTTATCTTTTTCAATTTTTCATTATGCGGTTTCTCAGAAACCTGGATCAATGAGTACACCTCTTGTATTTATTCTTTTATTCACTCTGACCAGAAGCACGGGAAAGGTGGAAGAATGGCTCTTTCGATTTCAAATTCACTCAATTTTAGATTGAGAGGTGAGCAAAATTATGAGTCATTGTTAATCGAAAACGTATCGTTGAATCGAAAGAATATTATTGTAAGTATTGGAGGTAGGAAACCACAATCAAACATTAATGATTTTAATCTTGAATTTGAAAATTGCCTTCAGAAAATGAATTTAGAATGTAAGCCAGCCTACATTACGGGTGACTTTAGTATGGATTTAATGAAATGTTCAGATAACAATAATGTGAATCAATTTTTAAAGATAATGTTGAGTTCTGGTCATGCGATTGCATTGTGAAAAAAACGGTGTGGAATCGACCAGAAAGGTTGATCATCTAGCATATAAGAATTTGTGTGTATTTCAAGGTTCTGGAATCATCAAAATGATAAGAAATTTGGCCAAGTCTTGGTAAAGTTTCATACACTGTACACGGAAAGATGTATATGGGACTACATGAACACGTGGCGTAAAAATCCTACCCGGATGTTTACGATGTTACATGACATATTTAGAATATGAAGGCATTTGAAGAGCCATGCTTTTTAGGGAACATGTCTTTTCTGATGTTCTTCCACACTTGCATAATAAGAATGATAACGCTCAGAAATTTTTTCACCTCTTCCCAGAACTCAACCTTCTCTTTAAGTGCAATATATTCCTTTAGTTTCTTGCCTTAAAAAAAAACATCCACTTAATATATTAATAATATAACATTTTTACTATTCATTTTGATTCAGACATTTTCTCTGGTCTGTTCCTCAATGATATATTTGACCATTTCCCTTTTTTTTTTTTTAAATACCAAGAGATACACTGTAGATTTAAAAAATCTTATATTAAAAACTCGTAAAATAAACAAAAAAATACTCTCAATTCTTTTATAGAAAAAATATTGTTATAGATTGGAATTATATATCATATAGTGAAAATGTTGATGCTGAAAGAACAATGCAATTTTTAAGAAAATATCGAAAATTAAAATGATACAAATTAAAAAAATATATGTTAAACTAAGAAATGAAGTAAATAGATTGTCGAAAATTGCTAACAAGTAATTTTATGAGCGAAAATTTCACGAATCTAGTGGAAACTGAAAAATGACTTGGAATATAATTTAAAAAATGCTTGGATATACCGTTAATAAGAAGAAAATGCCAGACTATGCAAATGTCGATTATAACATTGTATATACATGGAGATAAATACTTAGCTGACTGTTTTAATAATTTTTTTGTGGAAATTGAAATATCTATACATGATTCTACTAATTGTTTAGAATGGTCATACCTATGCCGATCTTTTGCCCACACCCTTTTGTAAATCAGTATTTTCAATCCGGTGACTGAAAATGAAATATTTGATATCGTCAACAAATTAAAGTGTTCTAGTAACTGTGGTAAAGATGAATTAAGTCCTCCTGTAATCAAGGAAGTTGTTTCTTAAATTTTAAAACGGTACCATGATTATGTCATATATTCAATTTATCATTGTGTTCAGGTATCGTTCCATCAAAATTGAAAATTGCCAAAGTTATTCCTGTACATAAACAAGGTGATGTCAATGATGTCTCAAATTATCGTCCAATTTCCGGAATTTCAGAGAGAATTGTATATAATCGTTTTCATGATTTCTTATGTGGCAGTTCTCTATCAACTGAAAAATCAATGTGGAATTTAATTTAAAAAATTAACTGAAATAGCTCTAATAAATTTGCATAATTATTTAATTAATTCATTAAATATAAAACTGTTTATGTTTTAAAAAAACATACAGTGGGGATCTTTAAAAAAAAAATGTTATGATATCTATTATAAAGTTATATTTTACACCTTCTTTCATGTCTTGTTATATACTTCTTGATAATTTGTTCGGTCGGTCGGCCGTCCCGACAAAAACCCCTTTTGTTTGTTTATGGCCATCCTAATTCCTATAATACCGTGTTTAAAAAAAATTGTATTGTATGATACTGTATATATCTATTTTTTAATACTCGTGTATGTATGTATATATTTCGAGTCTTTACCTATGGACTTTTAATGTATTTGCTGGAATAGAAATAAACGAATTGAATTATAATACAACAGACCTACCAAGATAAACAGTTGTTCCATTCTGGCTCAGTCCGCGATCACTATATCTCCAATCTCCAATAAAACATGTTGCTGCAGTCAAGATCCAGTTCTTGTGAATGAGAGAGCCCCCGCAAACAACCTTTGCACCAATTTTGAATAAGAATAGCAATGGCAAAAGAAGAAGCCATGATTATTTCACATGATATACCTCACTTAAGGAATCCAGCCATCTGATTGGTCGAAATTGCATTCCTAAACTTGATTTATTCCTGTAAAATTCCCGGTAAAATTCCAAACCCATGTAATAGTTCTAAAATAATAATTCTAAAATCCCAGTTACCATGGTTACCGGGAAAATAGTTCAGTCTTGGTGAAATACCCATCGGTTCACATGTTAAAAACTGGTTTGAGCGATCGCGGATACCGTACGTGTGCGAAGAATTGGTCGGTAATTTCGAACCGAAGGCAAAAATGGCTGATCTGAAGAAAGTCTCCCAAGATTTCAACTTCTTGATGATGATCAAATGCAAGACTTGCTGACAGCAGGGACATGCTAGACAGAGCACCAAAAAGGGAACGTTAAATTCTTCATAATTTTTGTCTTCAAAAGTCTAGGCCTAGATTCTAGTAAGTAGGTCTAGTAGTGCTAAAATCCTTCCAGTAGCGATTGCACGGAATTCAGATTGCACACACCCCTATGCATTGGCATTGCGCACTGGCATTGCATTGCATTATGCATTGGCGTTGCACACTAATATTGCTCTTTATTTTGAAGGTGATACTCAATAAGTGAGGTGTCATATGAAAGCGCAGGTTCTTCTCCATATTCCCCACAGGGCCGGCCCATCCCCAAAATTTTAAAAATATCTTACTTAGACTAGAATCTGCATCTAGTCTACTCTCAAAGATACACTCATAAAAACAACCGCAGATAAACTAGAGAAAGGCCAAAGTGGTGTCATAAGTTGACTCTTTTGTTTTCGGCATATAACAATATTAATGACTGCTTTAATATTCGAGAAATGGTTGTTTTTATACGCTCTCGGGAAGGTTACAATTGGGCTATTGCCCTCGACACGCCTCGGGCAATAGCAAAATTCTAACCTTCCCTTGAGCGTATAAAAACAACTATTTCTCTCAAAGCAGTCATTAATACTATAATATCATCTCTAATACCACTCGGAATAGTACAAACAGCGATCCGTTTTTGACATGGTGGAGGGGGGGGGGGGGTACTGCGCACAATTCAACAGTATAATAGTCTCCAGCCCCCCTCCTGCCTTCCTGTTTCCCTAAAACAACTCACATCGGTGTACGTTTTGTATAACCTAAGGGGGGGGGGGGGGAGGAGGAGGGGGAGGGGGGGGGGGGGGTCACTCCCAAAATGACTGGATACGTACTGGCGTCCATAAAAAGCGTCAAAAGGGGGTCTTTTTCAGCTATTAAAAGGGGTGTTCTACAAGCACCTTTTCAGGTTTACAGCTTTCAACGTTTTCTTATTAAATCCCGTGATAAAACAACCATAGGCGCCGGAAGTGGGGGGGGGGGGGGGCAGGGTGGTCATCCCCCAACACGATACAGTGGGGGGGGGGGGCAAAACGCATTTCGCCACCCAAAGCCCCCCCCCCCCCCCGAAAAAAACCAGCAGTAAAGAAGTAAAAATGGTTTGTTTAACCCAAAATAAAATAAAATATTATATTACATTCAAAGAAAAGTAAACAGGAATTTAATTTCCTAAACATCAATGAAGGATTTGATAATAGCGATACGCGCATATCGTGGAAATTTTGTTAGTGGATGGGAGCAGGCGCGGATCCAGGATTTCTTAGGGGGAGGCCCGAATTTGAAATCAATTTGAAATTTAGTGTGCTGGAATTTGAAAAATCATGACGCCCTATATTTCGCTCAGGGGGGGGGGGGGGGGGGGAGTGGCAAAGTGAACGCCTTTTAAAATATTTTTAAAAATACTTATCACCTTCCCCCCTTGAACAAAAAAAGGTAAATTTATGGCATGGTTTTAAAAAAAATTGCCAGGGGGGGGGGCAAGGCCCGCTCGGACCACTTCGATCCGCGCCTGGATGGGAGAGCGTGTGTGTTTTTCATTAAATGGGTGAGAAGACAGGAGCCCCTAAACACAGGCGTAGGCCTAATGATGGGTAGGGGGGGGGGAGGGGAAGTTGTCCCCAAATAAGAATCAAACGTGGTTTATAACTAATTCGATACCAGTGATTTACAAATGGTGTGGAAATGACATGATTTTGTTTGATATTTTCTCATTTTTGGTCCCAAATTTACAGTCAGTCAAAAAATATGCTTATTTAGAAGCCTTCATGATTGTAAATAGTGGTGGTAATGCGGATTTTTTTTGTTCTGCCTCCCCCCCCCCCCAAAAAAAAAAGTGTTTTTGTTTATAACGCCACTGCTCCCTCGTCCCTCGCATTTCGTCTCTCCCCCCCCCCCCGGTCATGACAAGAAATCGCCGCCCCTGCTTGGATAAGAGCATGGGTTATCATTTTGCAATTCTCAAAGAAGGTTAAGATTTAACCAACGGTTTAACAGCTTCATATGACGTCATATTTTTAGCCTGGTCAGTATGGTGACCCTGAAGGGACATCGCGAATAGACTAAATCGTGAAAAATATGCGATAAAATTCACGATATCGTCAATTTTATCGCATATTTTTCACGAAGAAATTCACGAAATTGACGATATCGTGAACTTTATCGTGAACTTTTCACGATGAAATTGACGATATCGTGAATTTTATCGTGAAAAGTTCACGATATAAAGTTCACGATATCGTCAATTTTATCGTGTACTCTATCGTGTACTCTATCGTGTACTCTCCTGACGGGCGCTTCGTAAACAAAACCAGCCCTAGCTGGGGGAGACAGAGAGAAGGAAAAAAGGGAAAGGGAAAGAGAAGATAAAAGGAAAGAAAGAATAATAAGAAGAAAAGAGGGAAACGGGGGCAAAGGGCTTTTGCCTCGTCCCCCCGCCCCCCGCCAAAAAATAAATAAGAGAGAGAGAGAGAAGGAAAGGGAAAGAGAAGAAAGAAAGAGAAAAACGAAAAAGAGGGAGAATAGGAAAGAAAGGAAAAGAAAGAAAAGAAAGGAGGCAAGAGCCCTTCGCCCCTGTTTCCCTCTTTTCTTATTCTTTTTCCTCTTCTTTCTTTCCTTTTATATTTTCTTTCCCTCTCCCTTCTCTTTCCCTTTATGGCGGGAGGGGGGGGGGGAGGTAAGAGCCTTTCGCCCTTCCCCCGTTTCCCTCTTTCCGTCTTCTTCTTCTTTCTTTCCTTTTATATTTTCTTTCCCTTTCCCTTTCCCTTCTCTCTCTCTCTCTCTCTCTCCTATTTATTTGTTGGCGCGGGAGGGGGGGGGGGAGGAGGCAAGAGCCCCTCTTTTCTTCTTATTCTTCTTCCTTTCCTTTTTTATTCTCTTTCCCTTTCCCTTTTCTCTCTCTCTCTCTTATTTATTTTTTGGGCGGGGGGATGCAAGAGCCCTTCGCCCCCGTTTCCCTCTTTTCTTCTTCTTCTTCCTCTTCTTTCTTTCCTTTTATCTTCTCTTTCCCTTTCCCTTCTCTCTCTATCTCTTATTTTTTTTTTTGGCGGGGGGTGGGGAGGGAGGAGGCAAGAGCCCTTCGCCCTTCCCCCGTTTCCCTCTTTCCTTCTTATTCCTCTTCTTTCTTTCCTTTTATATTTTCTTTCCCTTTCCCTTCTCTCTCTTATTTATTTTTGGCGGGGGGGGGGGGGAGGAGGCAAGAGCCCTTCGCCCTTCCCCTGTTTCCCTCTTATTCCTCTTCTTTCTTTCCCTTTCCCTTCTCTCTCTCTCTCTCTTATTTATTTTTTTGGCGGGGGGGGGGGGAGGTAAGAGCCTTTCGCCCTTCCCCCGTTTCCCTCTTTCCTTCTTCCTCTTCTTTCTTTCCTTTTATATTTTCTTTCCCTTTCCCTTTCCCTTCTCTCTCTCCTTATTTATTTTTTGGCGGGGGGGGGGGGAGTGAGGAGGAGGCAAGAGCCCTTCGCCCCCCCCCCCGTTTCCCTCTTTTCTTCTTATTATTCTTTCTTTCCTTTTATTTTCTCTTTCCCTTTCCCTTTTTTCCTTCTCTCTGTCTCCCCCAGCTAGGGCTGGTTTTGTTTACGAAGCGCCCGTCAGGAGAGTACACGATAGAGTACACGATAGAGTACACGATAAAATTGACGATATCGTGAACTTTATATCGTGAACTTTTCACGATAAAATTCACGATATCGTCAATTTCATCGTGAAAAGTTCACGATAAAGTTCACGATATCGTCAATTTCGTGAATTTCTTCGTGAAAAATATGCGATAAAATTGACGATATCGTGAATTTTATCGCATATTTTTCACGATTTAGTCTATTCGCGATGTCCCTTCAGGGCCACCATAGCTCAGGGTGGTGGTATGAAAATTAGGTTGCGCAGGAAATAGCCTTCCAAGATGTACTTATTCTTCAGGTTAATGGGTAACCTGAACTTCCTGAAGAATAAGTAGCCAACATCTGTGACATTCCTTCTTTCAACAAACCGTATTTGAATAATCAATTTGCATAATCCCCATCTGGTTATTAAGTAAATCAATGAGATGTTCAACTAATCTTACAATAACTGAAATGTAGGGTTTTTATTCAAAGTCACAGATGTAAAAAATAACATTTTGTAACATGGAAATTACAACATGTACCATCACCCCATCTTGACTCCCATAAACACACCACTGAGTCTACAAGGGAAAGTTACAATGCTACAATAACAAATGTAATTCCTGTTCACTCATGCATACAAGTTTGGCTTAATAAACCATGAAATTCACTCAGCAAATCATGAATGTATTATATCACCCTCAATTTTGTAAGCTCCAAAGGATTTACCTCTCACAAATTGGAAGGCTAATTCCTGCGCAACCTAATTTGTATACCCTTTACAAAAGTGAGCAGTGCTCACCCAAGCATGGATTATTTTCGGGAATTTTGGTGTCATACGAAAGTTGAGCTTATGAGCTTTCGATACATATAAAACTCGTCCCCCAGAATCATATATTTTTTTATTCGGCAGCTATTTCAAAAGTGTATTGTTTTTGGACGCACGGTACAGTAGGCTGACGGTCGGTTGCATCATGTG